ATAGCCTTTATGGGCATATTATTTTTTCGATGATTATTTCAATGTGTGGCAAACCGAATAACAAATTTAATATGCACTCCATCTTATAATGGAGGGAATATAACATAATCAGCAAGGTAGTTTGCCTATTCAAATAGCGGACAAATCTTTTTGTTAGCAAAAAAATATGACAGCTATTTAAATTATGTTGACTTTCAATGACTCACAGGATGTGATACAAATATTCAGGGAATACAATTTTACTTACTTTTTTTTAATATAATAATGTTGATATTTAAATCCTTATTTGTTTCTGAAGAAAAAATCTGTGATAATATCCAATTGAAAAAAACAGCTGTAACTGCTACGCCTTTTAGTTGTTTTTTTTTTCTGTTCGTCAAAATTAAAACAGAACGTGGGCTAAACAATAGATGTTTTTTTAGTTTCCAATCACTCTCTGATCTCAGCAAAATGCATGGCAGCAGCTGCCTATTGACATTTTCTGTGAGTATGAGTGTGTGTTTTTATTTCTTTATTCGTAACACGTTAAATGTGTGATTCTGTGACACACCACATTAAATATCGTAATGCAGGCACAAGCAGGCAGACAGTCTTCTAAAGCACGTTTAATACCAAATTACAACATTTTATCATGTTTTTGTTGCTGTTGTTGTGGTGTCTCAGTTTTATTTGTTGTTGCCTTGCAATTTCGCAAACTAACCACCGCAGATGCGTAGATGTTTTCGTTTAAGCAGAACAAAAGACTTAAGACACAAACTCATTGAGTTACAAACCGAAATGTGAACACACGCGAGAGAGCAGCAGCTCTTGACAATTTGCGAACGATGTACACAATAAACAGCAAATGAAAAATGAATGGAGCTATACGTTGCCTTCTCCTCTCACTTCCTCTTTCTCCTCTTATATGCCTATGCCAAGAGATGCACTGCACTGCACTTTGTTTTGTGAATTAAAAAATTGCAATATTAGAAATTGTACAACATAATTGCAGTTCTCTTATTTTCCTTTACTTCTTCTATTTATTGTTGTTGTTGCATTTTGAACTCACATTCAATACACACATATGCTTATTAAAATTGAATATTCTATTTGTTTTTTATTTCCAATTTATTTTGGTAAATAATAATTTTATGAAAATTTTAAATATTTGTTAATAATTATTTGTGTGTAGGTTTTGTATGTTTTTTTTTTATTTCACACTCGTTTCTCGTTCGCCACCGCGATATTGTCAACCACTCGCTTCGAATTGTATTTCATAACTAAACAAATAAAATATTTGTTTCAACTGCATTGTATGTGGTTATCATTTGTTCTGTTTCATTTTTTCCAAAATGCTGTTGAGCGAACTAAACCAACAAGTATGACAGATAAGTTGGATAACTAACAACGGCAACATGTTGGATGGTATGATCACTCTATAAACCAAAATATCGTTTCGATAGATTGAAATGCAATAGAAGAGATCTTCAATAGATGATATCTGTCATGGACATTTTATATGGAAAGAATGATATTAAGATGAGGTCTTATCCCGGCCAACTTCGGAGGGCAAACAATTGTTGTTTTACATAGACCACTGTCTGCAGGTATTTGGAAAATATAATTGCCGTATTACTGTCACTTCGATGGAAAAATGCAACTAAAATCGGAAAGTTAAATCTCAGTTCCTTTGCTTGGAAAATGTAGCTAAAATACTCAAAGTGCCGCAAATGGGACGGAATGTTAATGTGGGGGTATATTTCAAACATAAGGTTCTATTAAACAAACTTCTACGAGAGATGTTTATTACCCGAGAACCCGGAATGCCAAATTACAAATACTTAGGTGGGAAAAATGGCTAAAACCAGGAAAATACCAAAAATTGAGCCGAGACCAATATATTGGAACTATGACAAAACAGAGACCTCTATATACAAATTTTTCTGCAGATATGTTTATCGTTTTATATGGAATAATATATAATATATAGTAGAATAATTTTCGTTATTTTGATGATTTCAGATTTAATTTTTTTCCAGCGAGTTAGCTACAATTGATATTTTGGGCTCTCATTGGTTTAAAAATGTTCTACCAAAAATTATAAATATCCATCGATATTTGGCTATAGACCCCATATAAAAGCCCTGCTTCCTTTATAGGCGTTTTAATGGTCCTAAATATTATCTATGGTCCTTGTGAAGGTGTTTGCAAAATAGTCGACCTTCCAAAGGACTATTCTCTTAATTGTCTTCATAGAAATATTATTGAAATGGAAGGCTTTCCAGGTATCTTTTATATTGAAGATCCTCCGGAGATTTTCTCCATATAGGTTTTATAGACTAGGGATATGTAGCAGAGCGCAAAAGTGGATTTTTAGACTTTCCGATTTTTGATCCAAACCAAAAAGTCGATTTTTTGACTTTTCGATTTTTGTCTTTGACTAAAAAGTCGATCTTTCGATTTTGTCAAACCTGTTCAAAATCGAGTTTCGACTTTTTCGATATAATATCGAGTCAAATTTTGATTTTTTTATTTAAATTGTTTGCAGCAGATAAAATAAAGTTCTGAAAAAAATCAAAAGTCGATCTTCAAAAGGTTGACTTTGGTATTTCCTCACCGACCAATGACAATCGGTAGACAGGAGATGGAAATATTTTCAGGTATCTTTAATATTGAATACTTTTCTGAGGCCTTCTCAAAAATAAACTTCTCAATCATATTGTAACAACTCTATCAGATTTTTCTAAAACTTTTTTTAGAGGTAGGTATTTTTACCCTAATACTTGGGGGACGAACCCGGTTATTCGACCCGGAAGTCCGGTTATATCCGGTTCTACGGATCCGATCTCAAACCGTTTTGGAGATACAGTTAAAAAACTGGGTTTTGGTCCCCGATTTTTTTTTTTGGAAAAACTCCCTAAAAGTCGAACTTAGGTCCATTATAATCCCTCTCCAATCCTGTCTCAAATGATAGACCACAATCTGCTCTTTCCAAAATGGTGCGATATGTGTCTGTATCTGGATAAGAATATATGGGCCTTAGAACCCTATAATGGGCCTTATAACCCTACAATGGGCCTTATAACCCTATAATGGGCCTTAGAACCCCCATTTTTATATATAACCTGCTATCCGTACCTGAACATTCGGGACAAATAACCGGGCACGTCCCCAAAAAACGATATCCTCTTAAAGATATCCCCTCTGGAAAAAAATCAAAAAAATCTGATCGTTTTCACTAAACTACATTTAAACCATCATATTTTATAAATTGAAAATTACCAGATTTGTTTGATCTTCTAGAGAATTTTTAAAGACAGACGATTACCTGTATGTTTTTAATTTACAGAAGTCCTTCCAGAGGTATAAACTATCAACCAGGAAGACATATGTCAATAGAAGAGGTCTTCTGAGGATAGAACGTATGTATTTGTAGAAGTATAGACGAAGACTTATGTAGTTGGATAGGCTTTCCAGATGTCTGTTTTATTTCCAGAAGTCTTCTGTAGCTAGCTAGTTAGCATTTTAGTAACGTATCGTACAGATTTGCAGATATATACTGCCCCCTAATAGACTTCTAAGGCAGAAGATCAATAGAATAGGTCTTCTGTGGCTTGAATATTTCCAAGGACAAAATTCTAGGAAGAATATATTCCATATATATATCCTCTTAAAAAGGGTTATAGCTAGCCCTCTGCCTTGTGTAGTAGCCGACATAGACGTCTAATAAATATAGGAGCCCCTTGAATGGGGTTTTCTCACATAAAATCCACACAATTCAGTCTACAATCTATGGTCGAGTCAGTATTCCTGGCTAGATAAGGCTCTAGGGGCCTTAGTAAATGGACAGATGTTTAATTCAAATAATAATAGAGGTCTTCTTTAGATCGAAAACATGTGATGATTTTTTTTTTCATAAATAGAAATTTTCTGTAAAAATATAAAAGGTTTTACAGATGTTTTTTATAATTTGTAGAGGTTAGCTATTGAGGTTTTTATAGGATTTTCTTTAGTTATAAAGGGACTTTGGTGAATATATCGATATTTTGCAAACGGAATGACAAATAAGTTAAGGGTATCAAAAGAACAGATTTTTTCGAAACATGTTGGCTTACAACATGCAACCATTGCACGTTCGACGAACTAAATACTTGCGTCACTCTATGTATGATTCGAACATGTGAGCAAAATAAGTTATTAAATTGTGTTTTTGTATGTTTTTGTTGTTGTTGTGCTAATACATTCATTCATAAAACTCCCATTGATGAAGAATAGTAGCACAGTTCATTATTTTTTGGCTTCTTATTTTCTGTTTTGTATCTATTCATGGTGACGGCATACTTAATACATTAGGGTTGTTTTAATATTGGCATTTAAAATAAAACAAAGGTCTAAGCGGAACGTATAAATATTATAATCGGAAATAAAATATGTGAAACTATTAAAAATATTTTTAGGAGACTTTATCATGGGAATTTTTTACTGGATATATTTGCATATAGGATCGGATATCATGGAATGAATTTGTATCTGGGATTGGTTATCGTAGAACTAAATTTTAAATTTGAGCAAAAAATATATAAGATTAATTACCTTTTATCAATTGCTAAAAGCATTGCTTAAAATATAAATGCGGACACATTTTGTAATTAAATGGATTGCGGTCCCATCTGCAGTTATTCACAAATATGATTGAAAAATTCACCACGGCAAATACCTATCAGTAATTAAAAGTCAATCATAAATATCATCCTCTAAGAATGATATAATTTATACTTACACTTTGTATACCAAGTATTTTGTTTTGAAAATCTTTTGTTTTTGTATGTATGGATGTTTTATAGTATAATTTTTAATTCAGCATATTTTTGTCAATATACACATATAGAATTGCAGTGTTGAACTTTTTAGAATCTACTGGGTATAATATAATTATGGTTTTCCAATTTGAAATTTAAAAGTAATCTTAGCCTATCTGCGTAGTTTCGTCAGCCACTAGAGCTAAGTATCGTCTTGTAACAGCTGTGGCCTAAAAAGAGTTCTTCATGAACTACTATTTGTCAGGCCAGCTAAATTGTCGGTTGATTCAGATTTTACTTGTAATGTTGAAGGTATTAGCGAAGCAGGTATATTAAGAGTCTAGAAAAAACGGAAAGTATACAATTTAATTACATTTTTTACAAAGTTCCTCTTATAAAAAAAAATACCTTTCCCGGACATGCTGCCTCATATTGATGCTTAAGGCTTTCCATTTCATAAATGCATGTAGATAAGGCAGTGCGTAATTCACACAATAATACCATATCTGAACGTAATTCATTAAATGCATTACATATCTCCTCAGTGGGTGGGGGAGCGGGATCTATGAAATAAATCAAAATTAAGCATATATTCTTTTAATAAAGATGAAGTACAATCGAATTTCCATTTAGTCAAAACACCACATACAGTGACAGTAGCAATAAGAAGGCAAGTTAGAGTTTTTGAGACAATGGTGCTTCGTGACATTGAAGTTCGACTGATTTTTTTTTTTTACTTACCCACTTTAAATTCTTGTATGGCCTGTTCCAAGGCTTTTACCTTACGCTGTCCAATGTTAGCTGGTAGCTTCATTTTTTGTGATCTCAGTGACACTCCGGAGCCGCGTAAATCAGCAAATTTAATACCACTAGTACCCACTTCAATGGCATTGACCACTGAATCCACCTTCGACGGTCTGGGTTGATGATGCATTTTCTTCTTGTGCAATTTCTTTTCATATTTACGGGCATTTTGGGCATTTGTAGCAGCATCACCCTGTTGATCGGCTTGTGAAATGAGTTTTTGCAAATCTTGTGTCTTACGCTCACGTTCCTTTTTACGTGCCTCAATTTTACGCAATTCATTCAATAAGTTTTGCTCCTCTTTCACCTGTTGACTGGTACGTTCAAATAGTTTCTTCAATTGATCTTTGCGGCGGCGTTCATGTTCTATGTCAAAGACGAAAGGTTTCTTATCACCGCCACCAGCAGCAGGAGCACCACCACTTCCACCATTGTTGCCATTTTGTCCCTTTATTTTTGAAAGTATGCCAATTACTTCGTAATAACGTTCTTTGAGATCTTCAACACTTTTCAGGCCAAACTGAACACGATCCCATCGATCGGCCATAATGATGAAGCGTAGATCAAACCTAGAATTTTTAAAACACGGAATTATAACATTCTTTATAAACAACTAAAATTTAGTAATAACTAACCTTTTTGCCAAATCAAACAAATGATCTGTCTGCTCCTTTGACCATTTCTGTGTGTTAGTCTGCAAATGCTGATTATATTCCGCTATGGTATATTGCGGAATTTCCAATTGCTTGTTAAACTTGGCAAATGGATATGGCATATCCTTCTGCTCATCACTTATTCTACGCCAATGATGAAACACGGCTCCATCCGTTCTTGCTGGATTTGAAAATGGTGCCCATTCCCATTTGCGTACCTTCTTCATGCCCAAACGTGCCTTAACTTGTTTATAACCCGAACCAATACCCAATGCAGTATCGGTGGGCAACAACGGCGGTGCATCTTTGTTATCATTGTAGAGCAGCGCAAATACTTCACGATTCATGCCCTCCGGACGTTTGGAAGTACCTTTAGCTCTACAAGGGGGAAAACAATCATTCATAAAATCAGTCTTATTTTAGGCACACCATCATGTTCAGACTTACTTTTCAAAGTTCCTCTTTTTGGTGGCCAAAAATGAATCTCTGGTTATTTCCGGTGTTGCAGGACGTTCAATGTCCAAAATATCCCTAACGTCGGTAGTCATTGTGTTATATTTTAATGTTTTACACTCAACTTTGTATAAAAATGTATAATTTTTTAATAACGTTGTATATTTCCTGCAATAATTACAATATGTTTCTTCTCTACCAGTGCTACAAACGGGGAGAGAAAGAAAGAACGCCTAATAAAGAAAAAACGCAAAAGGAACAGACAAATATTTACGAATGAGGTGTAATAGACATCGGCTGAGAGAGAGCCGTTTGTTGAGAGTTCTTCTTCTTCTAACCAGTATTCACTGAGAATGATATATTTCATAGCAATAATCTTTTGCATATGTCTGCCTTGGCTCGCAATAACGGAACAAAGATGTTATGAAGTATCCCGTATGGTGGAGAAATCCGTGAGTATAATTGTATGGTTCTGTTCTTTTCAGAACATCATGGCATAATTATATCCCATTTTATTTTTAAATTTTACTTTTGACAACATTCAGTTTTCAAAATATAAATGAAAATATTTTCCTTCAAAGTGTACCCACAGCAAAAATTACTAAAAAAATATATTTAGTAAAAGTTCCCAGCCTTTAAAACCTATAAATATAAGTTGTAAAGCAAAATTGTTTACATTTTATGGAATTTATTTTTCATTTTATTTCAAAATCCATTATTGTGAATTGACTTCCAATGTAAAAATGAAAACAAAGTCCAAATTTTTTACATTATACTTGAGAAAAAACCGCTAACTTTCGCCAGCTGGGTGACCTTATTAATAGATAATAGATCTTGGTACGGAACATCTATGTTTTTCATAGTTGTTTTCTTTTATCTTCTTTCCTTCTCATTTGATCTGGCAAATTTCCCTTTAAAAATTCACCGATATGGCAACTCTTCTCATTATTTTTTACGTTTCCCCCTCTTCCCATTCATAACAAACACGGTGTTTTGTCATTCTCCGCCGTTCGTAAACAAAATAGCCGGTCAAAACGATAGCAATGTTTACATGTTTTTGTTATCGAAAATCGATATATAAAAATCGATTTTTCTCCGAAAATCGAATATCATTTATCGGTTTTCATTTCATCAAAGTCGTCAATTGGCATGCACGTGTTATTTTGGTTGAGTTTTTGTTTGGACAAGTCGTCGAAATAGAAGAGGGCAATAATTTCTTAATTTTTCCAATAAATTGAATTAATAATAAAAAGACTGAAAACATATACATATATATATTGTTGTGATAAAAAATACTAAAAAATAAAAGTGAAAACTATTAAAATACATCATGGAATTCAAGGAGACTAGAATTAGGCAAAATATACAGCACCTCGTGTCGCTGATAAAATTCCAATGTGAACAAAAGAAGTACCTGGAGGCATTTTTACAAAAGAAGGTCGGTGGTTTTTTTTGGTTTTCCAATGGCTTAGAATTAATTTACATTTATCATTTTTTTCTATTTACAGTTGTTACAAGAAAAAGATGTTGAAAATTTATTAAAGTTTTTAAGCTCCTCACTGCTGGTGGAGGATCTAACAGTACCCATAGCATTGGCATTCGAAGACTGTTTGTTGTTGTTGGTAACAAATGCCGTGGCTGATAGTGATGTCAACAGCAGCATCTCTAGCGGTTTTAACGATGAAAAGTTCTATGAATATCAACGTAAAGCCGTGGCCCTAGCCAAGCTGATACATTTGTCGTTGAGTGTAAAAAGGTACGATTGATTGAACCGACCACGTTTTTCTGCACAATCTTGACCTACATCAACATCACAGTTTTTAATGATCGCTACCTATATCACATTTCATATCTTATTTAAGATTTAATTGAAAATAATATTGAAATAACTTGAAAATTTTTTTTTTTTCCAAATTCGCCAACTAATTTCCTTTTTTTTATATTTCCTTTTCAGATACGCTCTCACTTATTTCTCCAACAAACCGGCAATATTTTCTTCAAATCTTATGACTAATGGTGTTTCAAATAAAAAATCCAAATCGAATATTGATGAACGCACTCCCCTTAACGAAGAAGTCATAATCAAAAGTTGTTATTATCTACTGAAAAGCAATGTGAATTATTTTAAAGAACTATGGAATTGGTCTGATTTTATTGAACGCTATGCTAATATGGTCCACGATGACAAATCGCCGCCATCTCTTCTAAAATTGTATATAAATCACATTTTGGCGCTACTAACCAATATGAGTTCACAGAAATTACGCTCTCTTAATGCCAATATCCCCGAAAAATTGCTATTGCAATTTGAAGAAGATTTAACGAAACTTACCAACAACAAAAACTCTATACCATATGACACACAACAACAGGATGACGACAAGCGTATTATCAAAGTGAATTTAAATTCTTCTTTGGTTACAAATATCGAAGGAGTCCTCTTACCCATTTACAACAAGGCCAATTATGAATTCTATTCCAAAACTGATGGTTTGCATGATAAAATTGTACGCGTTGATTCGACTAAAGTTAATTTACGTAGCATTGCCTTGGGCACGACAGCTGGAAAAGCTATCTGTTTATCCGGCCCTGTGGGTTGTGGTAAAACCACCTTAGTAGAATATCTGGCACGTAAAACGGGTAGAATATGTCCAAAGCAACAGGAAATCGAAAATGAAATGGATGCAACAAAGAAAAAACTCTCGAAGGAAAATCAACAAAATGGGCACGCCAATATTCCCAAAGTTGGTGTTAAACGTAAAACAGAACCAACACCACCTGCCGTAGATGTTGTCAAGAATGCCGATGAAATGTTTAAGGCCGCTGAAAGTTCGGAACCGGAAAACGGGTTTGTTCGTGTACAATTGGGTGATCAAACGGATTGCAAAACCCTGCTGGGTCAATATCATTGTACCGATGTGCCTGGGGAATTTATATGGTTGCCCGGTGTTTTGACACAGGTAAGTTCAATATTTGGATTGCATTGTAAAATTCAAATTTAGTATTTTGAAATGAAAAAAATCTAATATTCCTACACCTTCTCTCTTTTCAGGCTGTTATGAATGGTTATTGGTTACTTTTGGAAGATTTAGATAGTGCCACCACCGATACCTTTACCGTGTTGAGTGGTCTATTGGAAAATCAATATCTAAGTGTACCCGGTTTTAGGGACTGTGTGAAGATTGCACCTGGTTTTCAACTGTTTGTAACTGTGAGGTAAGTCCACGCATTTCTTATCTCACTTCAAAATTTAATATTTTGAAGGAAAAAAATCTCTGGCGTCATAATAAAAATATTTGAACTTAAAATAAAATGTTTGTGAATATTTTTCAGAAACAACAAAACCTCTTCGAACTCCTCACAAAAGGCCTTGTTCTCGCTATTGGAAAAATATCTGTATACCATTAATATATTACCCCTGTCACGCAATGAATTGTGCAAGGTGGTCAGTACCAATTATACAAAATTGGCCACAGTCGCCAATCGTATTGTTGATGTCTTCCTAACCTTTTCCAAAGGTAATCATGATGTAGCCGATAATTTGCGACAACAAGAAACTGAAGATCGTGCCAATAACACTGAACAATATCTACAATTACCCCACGAAGAGGTGAATTTAAATTCCGTCACCAATTCAGGACGTCTAGTATCCACCAGAGATTTAATTAAACTATGTCAAAGATCAAATCCTGTATTCTCTGTGACGAGTGCTGAATGTGCCTATTTTGTCTTCCAAAATGCGGTGGATATTTTCTGCTCCTATTTACCACATAGCAAGGAGAAAACCAAACTGATCACAAGTATCGGTGCCAAATTGGGAATTATTCAATCGCGGTGTGAACATTTTGCCGAAGAATATAAACCTGAAGTGCAGTTACAAGCTGATCGCATAAAAGTTGGACGTGCTGAACTGCAGGCAAGGTCACCAATTGACGATGTCGTCTCCACATCCGTGACGGAACGCGTAGAAGAGCAAGCTTTGAAACGTTTTAAACTGACCAATGGCTCAGAGAAATCCATTAAGGCCACACAGAAGAAATCCGCCACCTTTTCATTTACTCGTTTGGCATCGTGTTTGCTGGAACGTGTAGCAGTTTGTGTGGCGAATGCCGAACCCATTCTATTGGTTGGTGAGACAGGTGTGGGTAAAACTTCATCGGTGCAATACTTGGCAGAGAGGACAAAGCACAAACTCGTTGTCATTAACATGAATAATCAGTCGGATGTTTCTGATTTGGTGGGTGGTTTCAAACCCGTCGATTTGGCCTGTGTCATTGCACCTCTACGTACCGAATTCGAGATACTATTTCGCAAAACATTCAACCAAGCCAAAAATGAAGCATTCCTCACGAAGTTCAGTATTTGCTATAACCAAGGCAATTTCTCTATCGTTGTTAAACTGATGCTAAAAATCGTGCAATCAGTATTTGAAAAGTCCGAACGTAATGAATTGAGAGATAAAGATTTGCTCCTGCTACCCAGATGGTTAGATTTGAAAATTAAATTGCATAAACTCAACAACCAACTGAACAAATCGATAAATATATCCTTTGCCTTTATTCCCGGATCCCTGGTGAAATGTATCAAAAATGGTGACTGGGTGTTGTTGGATGAAATTAATTTGGCCTCAGCCGAAACGTTGGAATGTCTGTCAACAATTCTGGAACCCGAAGGATCAGTGGTGCTGCTGGAAAAGGGCGACTTTATTCCCGTTAAAAGACACCCTGATTTCCGTATCTTCGCTTGTATGAATCCCAATACAGATATTGGCAAAAAGGATTTATCTGTGGGCATTCGTAATCGTTTCACCGAATTCTTTGTGGATGAAGTCTCCACGGAAGCGGATTTAAGTCTATTGATATCGGATTATTTGAGTGCCACCGGAATACAAAAGAAAAGTGTCATGAATATTGTAAAGTTGTATAAAAAACTCAAACAATTGGCCAAATTGGAATTAAATGATGGCCTTGGCAACAGACCGGTGTATTCGTTGCGTACGCTGTGTCGTTCTTTGGCGATATGTGCCAAGAATTTATGTGGCTCCATAGAAAGGAATCTTTACGAGTCATTTTGTTTGAGTTTCCTTACACAGCTGGATCCTGTGTCGCACAATGTGGTCGAGCATTTGATAAAAGAGGCAATGTTAAGCAATGCCAAGGCCATACTTAGCCAAGGTATACCCAAGCCAGGAGAGCAGTACTTAAATTTCGAAGGATATTGGATACAACAAGGACCCAAAGAGGTGGAGGAATGTAGCAATTACATTTTAACAGACAGTGTCAAGAATAATCTGAGGGATTTGGCACGTATTATCTCCATTGGAAAACTGCCCATTTTGCTGCAGGGTCCCACATCGGCTGGTAAAACTAGTTTAATCGACTATGTTGCAAGACGCAGTGGCAATCATTGTTTGCGTATCAACAATCACGAACACACCGATTTGCAGGAATACATTGGTACCTATACCGCAGATGCTACCGGAAAGTTGTCCTTCAAAGAAGGCGTTCTCGTACAGGCCATGCGTAATGGTTTTTGGATAATTTTGGATGAATTGAATTTGGCTTCAACGGAAATTTTGGAAGCTCTCAATCGTGTTTTGGATGACAATAGAGAGCTGTTTATACCTGAAACCCAAACGGTCATCAAGGCCCACCCCAACTTTATGCTGTTCGCTACACAAAATCCTCCTGGTCTCTATGGTGGACGTAAAACCCTATCACGAGCCTTTAAAAATCGTTTTATTGAATTGCATTTTTCCGACATACCACGCAATGAATTGGAAATCATTTTGGAGAAAAAATGTCTCATACCACCCTCGTATGCCCGCAAAATGGTATCCTGCATGATGGATCTGCAAAAGAATCGAAAAACAACAACCAAAAATGTATTCACGCTGCGTGATCTCTTCCGCTGGGGTATACGTTATACATTGGCAGATAAGAAGCTTTTGGAGGATGGAAATTACGATTGGAATCAACATTTAATTGAGGAAGGATACTTGGTATTGTCGGCCAAAGTTCGTAGCCAAATTGAAATTGAGATAATTGAAGAGGCTTTGTTTAAGAACTTTAGAAAAAAGATTGATTTGTCGAAGTTATTTGATGCCAAATCGGAAGCTACACCTTCGCCTGTGACCAAAGATATTATCGAAGCCATAAGGAAATTTACTCAACGTTCGGATATTGTGTGGACTCGCAATATGTCCAGAATGGCCGTGCTGACAGCCAAAGCTTTGCAATTCGATGAACCGGTGTTGCTGGTTGGTCCCACCGGTTGTGGCAAGACTACGGTGTGCCAGATATTGGCTGCCATCAAAGGTGTTAACTTGAGAATACTCAATTGCCACATGCACACGGAAGGAGCTGACTTTTTGGGTGGTCTGCGCCCCTGCCGCACCCAGTCGGAAGGCGAGAAGAAATCAAATGCCAAACTATTTGAATGGACTGATGGTCCTTTGATTCAGTGCATGCTGGAAGGTTGCTACTTCATGGCAGATGAAATCTCATTAGCTGAGGATTCGGTATTGGAACGTTTGAATTCAGTTCTGGAACCTGAACGTACCGTGCTCTTGGCTGAAAAGGGTGGCCTCACCAAATCCTCAAGTGACACGGAGATTGTCAGTGAATTTTTGGTCAAAGCCAAAGAAGGTTTTCAATTTTTGGCCACCATGAATCCTGGTGGAGATTTTGGTAAAAAAGAACTCTCGCCCGCTTTGCGTAATCGTTTCGCAGAAATTTGGTGTCAACCGTCAGATTCCCGGGAGGATCTGATACAAATCGCCAGTAATTGTATTTTGAATGAACAAAAGGAACTGAATCTGGATAAAAATGAGGTCGTGAAAATTGCCTCCTTCATTGTGGAAGTGGTATTGTATATTAAGGATGTGATTGAGAAGTTCAAATATTCGGTTCGTGACATTTTGGCCATGGCCAATTATTTGGTGAGAAATAAATCGCTTAGCTTCCCCGAGAAGGCTGTCTTTGGTTTGGAAACAATATTCTTGGATGCTTTGGAAATGTTGACCAATGACAGTATGGATAAGGTGGAAAATCTAAGGATGCAAATTTTGGAATATGCCATTAGACAAGCCAATGTCATATTGAAAGAGAAATTTTCCCTCGGTGAACTGAAAGAGAAGAAAGGAACAAGTGTTGAATATACGCAGGACAATCGGTTTGGCATTAAACCCTTCTTCATCGAAACGAATTTGAAACATCAAGGCGAAGTGGTTACAAAGGGACAAGATTTCCTGTTCGATGCACCCACCACAAAACAAAATCTGTTCCGTCTGCTGTCGGCCTTGTCTTTGCAAAAGCCCATACTCTTGGAAGGTCCACCGGGTGTGGGAAAAACTTCAATTGTGGAAAATGTGGCCCGCGCCATTGGCTACAATATTGTGCGTATTAATTTGTGTGAACACACCGATTTGGCAGATCTCTTTGGTACCGATTTGCCGGCTGAAGATAATATTCTAAATACGCAACAAGAAAATGGAGAGACAAAATCTCCACAAATTGGTTCATTTGTGTGGCGTGATGGTCCCTTGTTGTCGGCCCTTGAAGCTGATCACACATGGATTTTATTGGATGAATTGAATTTGGCACCTCAATCGGTATTGGAAGGTCTCAATGCCATATTGGATCATCGTGGTGAGGTTTATATACCCGAATTAAACAAAACATTTGCTCTGAATAAACAAACTAGGATCTTTGCAAGTCAGAATCCCCTGAAACAGGGTGGAGGTCGTAAAGGTTTGCCACAATCCTTTTTGAATCGTTTCACCAAGGTGTACGTAAGGAAACTTACCACCGAGGATTTGCTGCATGTCATTGAAGGCAAATATGAAACAAACTTTGCGGAATTGAAACAACAATTCATCGAAACATTGCCGGCAGACAAGTCGAATGGAAATTTATTTGATATCTATAAATCGATGAAAGCCAATTCGGCACTAAACAATGAATCCTCCGCACAAGATGAAATAACCTTTGATATTGCATTGCGTTTGGTACGCTTCTCGGAGACATTGGATCGTGGCATTACCACCATGGAATTTGGTTATAGAGGTGGCCCCTACGAAATCAATTTACGTGATATTCTACGTTGGTGTGATTTGTTGATTGGTCCCCAAACGGGCTACACAGTGCGCAAACAATCCACATTCCAGCAGAATTTCGAACATTTCCTATTGGTCCTGTACGAACGCATGAAATTGGTCTATTATCAGCGGATGCGTTGCGAACAGGATAAACAATTTATACGCAATGCCTTTGCGCAAATATTCCAATGCGACGTAGACTATTTAAATGCTATTTCCGAAGATGTTAGTTTATATTGGACCGATGATAAGATTTATATAAATGATATAGTCTTGGAACGGGATACAAAGCCATTACGTTCGTCAAAGGATAATGGCGATTCGACCCTGCCATTGCTATTGGCCTCACAACGTGAAACATTGAAAAATGTCATTGAATGCCTGCATATGGAGAAACCCGTTTTGCTGTGTGGTTCCACCGATTCGGGAAAGACGAAAATTATTGATGCTGTCTGTTGTCTTTCCAATCAATTGTGTAATACGGACAATATTGATGACTCCGTTACGGGAAGTTTTCAACAGGTGTGTGAAAGATGAATTTCTTTTCGAATTCAGTATAACTTTGGAAGTTGTATTTCCAATAAATCTTTGAGATTTAATTTCAAACTTTGGTAATATATGTGATTATTTCCTCTTTTCAGATCGATTTGAATCGTCATCTGGAAGAGATATCAAAACAAGTGGAATCGATATATTTGCACTACATACAAGATGCCATTCTCGACTCATCCAGCTCTAAAAAAGATCTTATTGATGTCTATGATGCATGGAGCAATTATAGCATTTTATCAAATGCCAAATGCGGTAAGATATATATCTTCAAATATTCCAAACTAGAATTCAAAATATAACTGCATTTTTTTTTTTTTTTTTTTTTTTTTGTATCACCCACAGAATTCCGCAACAAATCTGTTGTATCCGAAGAATTAACAATTTATCGCAAACGTATTGCAAATCTTAATATTTGCATCGAGAAATTGTGCCAACGCCTAACGAATGAAAATGAAACCTCTTTGGCGGAATTAAAACATTTGCAGAATCTATTACAACTACTAAAGGCCCATGTGGAAAATGCTGATACCCTCAACACTGGCGGCTATTTTGAGTGGGTTGATTCACAAATTGTGCGCTCGCTGAAATATGGCCAATACATTTCATTGGAACATGTTAATTTATGTTCCTCAGCCGTATTGGATCGTTTAAATCCCGTTTTTGAACCCAATGGTTGTTTGATGATCTCCGAAAAGGGTGTATCCAAAGATAATGATCTTACCGAAGTTGTAAAGAAATCACCAAATTTCCGGGCCTTCTTAACCATCGATCCTAAGAATGGTGAACTTTCTAGGGCCATGCGTAACCGTTGTGTAGAATTGGCCTTGACCGGTAAAGGCTCCTTGGATTTGGATGATAAACGTTTATTGGTCTACAATCAGGGAATTTATGATGTGGATGCCATCAACACTCTCATTGCCATACACGAGGGAATTTCAGGACTAACTGAAATCAATAACTTTAGTATTTCCCATTTGATACAAATGGCTTTCCTGGTGGCATCTTACAAACGTATAGGCTATCAAATGCACCGGGCAATTTATGTCAGTGCCATGGAGGTATATGTCTATTCAGCCCACATTGATTTAATGGGTTATGGTTTGGCATATTATCAAAATAAACTAAGAGAAATTGTTGCTGACCTTTCGCAAAAATATGCCGATTTGAAAGTTACCCATCCTGAAGGACAACAACAAGAAGATTATTTCAAAGATGTTTTGATGAATTGCAGCAGTCTCAATGAAACCTCAATGATTAAATTACAATTGGTACCATTACGCATTGCCTTGAACCAGGGTATTACATCGACGGCCGAATTAAAACAGATTTTGGAACAAGTCTTCGCAGGGTTCGCACAAACAAACATTGAAAACGTGGAACTTACAGCGCTTCGCAAATATGTTATTTATATGTTGTATGAAAGCAGTTCGGTAAAAGATTTGAAACTGCGCCACCTCATGCTTAGCCAGTTATTAGAACGACAACCGGAATTGAAACAATTATCAGATGATTTATATGAAAGCATTAAGTCTGGTGTCCAAGAACTGGGAATTGACAGTGTATGCCATAATTTACCCTGGAATCCAAAATTATATTCACGTATACGTGATTATAGCATGGAAACATTAGATGTGCTAAACAACAAATCCCTGGCACTTAGCTCAACGATGATTGTTAAAACTTTGTTGACGGAAATCCCCCATGAAGCTGTCAACAAACTCAGCAATATCAATGCCATAACATATTCCCAGGCTGTGGCCAACAAAACCATAACCGATAAATTAAATAATGAATTTTTACAAAACTATTCAAAATTAATGGAGAATTTGGAAAATGTTTTAAAATCTTCACTGAAACAAGGACACATTGATATGAAGAACTTTGTTAAACTCCATACCTCCGTGTTGTGGTTCAATAGACTATTGGCAGTATCTAAAGGAAATATTTTCCTCAACAAAGAAGTCAATGTTGATCTGATGGATAAACTTCAATTACATTTTAAATGGTTGGATAAGAAGTTAATTAAAACGATCGAGCAGCTATTACCGGAAGATGATGCATTGCTGAAATTAAAGCAGAGTCTGGAGATTGTTCGTAACTACATTGAAAGTGTCAAACATCCATTGAATATTGTTCGCAAACTGTATGCCAAACAGCTGATGCAGTTCCAGCCATTCTATAAAGAGGATCAGGTAAGAAAAGTTATGTTGTAAAATGATATCATCATTTTTATTTGACACTCTCTAATATTCCAAGGATAGTGGATCGTAAAATTTTCGAATAGTTTCTATGTTACAGCAAGACTATGAAATGTGTGGGGAGAGTTTGTTTCTGGATTAGATGCTAGTTTAATAACAAATACTCCATGTTTAAAAGAGGAGTGATGGAATTGCTAATAAATGTCCTTTATTTTCTATTTTCAGATCAAACTGTTCACCATTACCCAACAAATGGATCAATTAATTCAATTGATACCACAATATGGTAGTTTCTCAGCTGATGATGTGACAAGGAAGTTTACTACCCTCAACTCGGATAACAAACGAAAATTGCAGGCCTTAATACAGCGATTCTACAAGAAATATGATTTCACCAAGTTCAATGAAATCCATTTGAACGGTGGTGAAAATGCAATACCCGAAAATCTTAAACAGGAATTACAACGTTTTATCAATAACTGTTCGCCAGATGACAATAACGGCGAACGAGTCAATGATATTTCCCCCGAAGAGATCGATGAAATTGAAGAAGAATTAAAGAAATTGGCCGCTTCTCTAAATGTGGACCAAGCCGATGAAATGCATGTAGATCAATTTTTGGAAAAACCTCAAGAGATGAATTTATTACTTTTGGCTCTGAGGGAGTACTATTTACTGAAATATTTCATGGCAATTTTACATAACAGAGAGTTGAAACAACTGCCCTCAATTAACTATGAATACTGTGAAGAAGTTGTTAGCCTTAATAACAATGCCATGGCTTTATTGAATACCCTAAATAGCAAACAATATGAAAATTATCGCCAAGTGTATCAAAATTTGGAATCCAATTTAAATACACCCGAAAGTGTGCAGCAGTTCGTTAAATATTTAAATGGTGGTTATCGTCAATTTACATCGTTACAAAGATTATTGGATAATGCCCTGATACGTCTACAAATGTCAAGTATTAGTAACCAGGGTGGTTTTATGTTGGCCCTTCGCAATAACGAAGACATCTCCAGTATGTCGGTGTATCAAGGTCCATCGGTTATAAATACATTGTGTGATTTACTGTTGGCTTCTGATGGTGGCTTTAAGCCGGTACCTCTGTGTAATTTGGATTTATGGCGAAGTTCTTTGGAGAATTTAAATCAAATTATATGGCATAATTCGATGATCATGACCAACAGTTATTGTGCCTTGGAGAACACTGGCAAGGTGGCATTGGCCAAAGCTAAACGTTTGATTTTGGAAATTGGTTACGTCCAACAGTTGGCAAAGGGAAAAGAAGAAGTAATGGATGCTAGCAATTATATGAATGGTTTCCAGAAATTATTTGCAAACCTAAAGCAACAAGTCTCCAGGGTGGAGGTTGATTCCTCCACACTGCCAAGTGTACACAAATCCCTGGAAAATCAATTGAAATTATTTAACTCCGGCATTTTAACTACGCTAAGTGGAGCCTTGGAATTGTGTCTGCTCACCTTTACGCCCCTGATCGATCCTGTTGAAAAAAGCCGCTTGAAAAACAATTATCTTTTGGAAGATATCCAATGTCTATTGACCATGTCGGCGGCCTATGAATTCCTAAGAATACCCATGAAATATAAACACTTGGGTCAAGAGATCTACGATTCTTTGCAATTCGACATGGAAGAGTTGAAACTGAAACAAAGCAAATTTGAAGAAAGAGTGGCGCTGAGACCCAACAAATGTATCTACACCAATTTGGTCAAGGATCTTACACATTTCCTCAACACAAATTGTGATCCAAATGTGTTGTACAATTTCCTGGAGAATATAAAACAAATATGGTCCCAACTCACAATGGGCGATAATGGTGCGCAGGGTTCCATTAATACGTTGGATGGTTGCAATGAAATCATCAACAAACTTGATTTGTGGTTGGCCAATTCCCAGAGATTCATACATCACACCATGAAACCTTACTATGGCCATTACCAAGATTTTATGCAGCCCATCGAATGTGCCATTAATCACTTGAGTTTGGGTTTCCAAAATCTTAAAACGGCTCTCAGCCAAGTCAAGGAAGCCATGCTTAGCAAGGATAAGGACCAGGTGAATAACGTAAATGCCAATGGAAAACTGCATTTGGTATTGGAGAATATTATGGAATTCCCCAGTAGTCAAAATTTGGCAATTTACAATGTCAACTCGTCGAGGGATATTTTGCAAAACCGCTGCCCAATCTTTAGTGTTCTGAACGAAGTGCCCGGCAGTGAAAGAGATTACTTCCTCTTGCTTAAGGCCAAGTTGTTGGAGTTGAAGAATCGTGTAAACATCTCCACTGTCATCAGTGAGGAGTTGTACAAAGAATTGGACTTTGCCTTCAATATTATCAATCAAATCTGGCAACAAGAAGAAGAACGAAGGCGTCAAAAGAAAAAGGAAGACGAGAGCCTGTATGCCACCAAAACCAAATGTCAAGATGAAGATGAGGAGTTAATGGAGCTGCAAGAAATCGAGGAGATGTTCCCCACCGGCTTGCAAGAAGATTTCGGGGAATTTGTTCAGGAGGATACGTTGGAAAAGGTTATGAAATTGGATAAAAAGAAAACCGAAAAATTGAAGGATTTAAAATCACCCATTGTTAAGGATGAGGATTACGGTTTCATTGCCACTACCTTTGCGGATATTTTAATCAATTACACCCAGGCCTATTATCATCAACGTAATAAATCCACATCGACAGAGAAACTTGATTTTGTCGAGTACTACAAAAAACGTTTGGCCGTCTTTTCGAGGATCTACAATAGCTACAAGGCGGCAGTGAATGAGATTATGGACGGTCAGTGCTACAACAGTTTATGTTTCAGCATTAGCCTGCAACAGGATTTGTTGAACGATACCGGCAATTATAAATTACCACAGAAACAGCACAGCTACAATTTCTATAAAGATTCCAATATCAGTGAAATACTCAATTGTACCGATGTTCTGAAGGCCATAGAAGAACGTGTCGACAAGGAATTGGAGCTGTATCCCGAACATGCCACCCTGTTGGATATTAAGAGAATTATTGCACGTATACGACTGTTGCCCTCCACGGCTTCGGTTGTACGTTTCAATACCGGCTTCCAGTTGTTGAGGCAAAAGGTTGCCCAATGGAATGAAGTGGCCCATAAAAATAATCACTTGAAGGCCGAAGAACAAGAAATTGCCGAGTATGTACAACGTTGGACCCGTTTGGAATTACAGTTTTGGCGCAACTGCATGTCCCAAACCGAAGAGAAAGTGGAGACATCAGCATATAAATACTGGTTCTTTATATACAATCTGTTGCAAGAATATTTGGCGGGTTGTGAAATTGACAGCTCGCTGAGTGACATCAGGGAAACCGAAAAACGTTTTGCCAATTTGGAAACTCAAGAACCTGATTCTTCCTCGAAACCAGCTGCCGATTGCAAATCCAAGGTTGAATTAAAAGATATTTTACAAATCCTCAGGCAATTTGTTGAGTCCTCGTGTTATGGCGATTTTGAGATACGTTTGCAGTTGCTAATGGCCTTCGAATTGTATTTGCACAATTCCCTTAACTACTGCCAAGAAGGGGGCGAGGAAGAGAACCACAAATTACAACTAATTTATGGCTTGAGAAATTTACAATTGTACTTCGCCCAATTTGGCAAAGAAATTGTTGAACACAATAAAGCAATAAGGGGACCCATCGAAAAGAAACTCAAGGAATTGGTTAAAATCGAAAGTTACAACAAGGACTTGTCCTACTTTAGTATGAGAAACAATGTGGCCAGGGTTCATCGCAATCTCAATAAATTCCTCAAGGAATATGAAAAACTGCTGAAGGAAAAAATTACACCCGTATTTCAACCCCAAGATGCCACAGCCAAGGATTATAATATGGCCAATGACAAGGGCAAGGATCTAAGGCAAGACTCGACCATACAATATTGCCGTGTGGATGGTAAATTGTATATGCTGGCACAGAAATTAAAACCCATTACCAACACTGCCCCTGCTGGGGAGGAGGATGAGGATAAAGTGGGCCATCTCACTTTACTCCACAAGGTACAAAAACTCTTTAATACCTCCCGAAATGTGGTCAAGGAAACTGTTACAAATGCCTTGTATCCCAAACTAACGATTGCCTTGGACACTTTACTCAGTGAACAATTGGAAAGATGTGAACATTTGAGGAACCTCACAGTGGATCGTAGCAAAGAAAGACCGAAACAAGTTTTGGAAGCCAAGTCCATTTTGCAGCAGAAACGTAAAGGCCTTACCGATCTCTTTAAGATCCTCAGCAATTTGGGATTGAACTACAAAACGGGTCTGTTGGAGCTGCAGTTGCGCAGTGAATTTGAAGATTTCACCCTGCCAGCCTTTTGCATTAAGACGATGTTAATCCCCCTGGGTAAGGCGAAACGTTTGCAGCCCCAAATCTTGCAATTGAATGAAAACATCGATCTCTACTTCAACAAAAGTGTATTTAAATTGAAACTCTTGCAAAACATTATGCTGACACCCCTGTCCGAATTGGGTCCTCCCAATATTGAAAGGATTAAAGGTTTCGCAGTCGATTTCTTCTTATTAGTACAAAACCAAAGACAGCTACTCGCACAAACTACCAAAAATATATACGACTATCATCTGACTTTGCAACAAATTAAGGAATTGGATTCGTCGATTCAACAAAGCGGCCAAGATTTGAAACATTTGGATTTCCAAGCCCTAAGAGATCAGTACAATATTTTCAAAGCCGATTTTATAAAAATACGTTATGTCTTCGAACAATTTAAACTATTCTGGAATTGTGTACCGAAAAAACAACAACCGGAGAATGCATTATTCCAGGGCAATAATCCACTGCTACAAAATAGCGAACAGTTCAACACCATCCTCGGCTATGCCCAACAAATATTGAAACTTTGCAAGTCGACATTGAAAGACATAATGGAAAATAATCACGAATTCCTGGGTCAAGCGAAAATACAGCGCTATCAGGAAGCCCACAACAGTATCCTAGATATAATGCAGAAATTACTGGAATGTTTTGAAATTGCTGCTGGAGAATTTTTGCCCATTGCTAGGCCATTAATTGATTTAAGCAACAGCCTAGAACAAACCAAGAACCGGCTTCATAAAGAATCCTCCACCTCCTCTGAATCATCATTAATGGAAATAAAAGAAAATTCCTTGGAAAATATTACACCCGAATTGGAAAACATTATCCATTGTATTCTCATGGCTTTACAAAAACTCTACAAGAAATATCCCTCCTCAAAGTCCTCGGAAGAGAATAATGGCTCACCAAAGAGAAAAGAAGAGGAGGGTGCCGAAGATGATTTACAAGAACAACATTTGAAATCGAAAATTTACAATGAACTGAAAGATGATTGGCTGACAATGCAAGTGGATCTGATCAATAGTAAACTTTCGAATATTCTATTAAATCTCAAGCTAACCCAACCCTCAGCGGAAAAACAACAACTCATACAACACTTGTTGACCGTACAACCTCTGTTGGAACAATTCAATTTAATGGCGGAGTATTATCTACTCCAGCAGCTGGGTGCCCATAAAGTATCCGTGAAAATTCTTTCGATTGTCTTGACGGTCTTTGTCGAAATATCCACCAAAGGTTTTTGTGTACCCCAAGACCTCATGCAGGACGAACAGGGCGAGCAGAAGAAAGACCAAAAGGAGGGTGAAGGTTTTGGTTTGGAAGATGGCACGGGAGAAAAAGATGCATCCGATAAAATCGAATCTGAGGATCAATTAGAGGATGCCAAACGACCAGAAGATCGCAAGGAAGAACAAAACAAAAACGAAGATCAGCAAGACACCAAGGAGGAAAAGGGCATTGAATTGAGTGAAGATTTTGAGGGTAAGTCGGAAAAGCCCGACAAACCTGAAGAGGATGATAGTGGGGAATCCGAAGATGAGGAGGAACTAAACAAAGAAATGGGAGAAACGGAAGATGGTGCTGAAAAGCTGGACGATCAAATCTGGGGTGATGACGAAGAGGAGCCGGAAGAAGAAGAAAAGGAACTTGAAGAGGAGGAAGATGGTAAAGGTTCCAAAGATGAAAAGGACTCCCACAATGATCTCAACTCCAAAGATGAACAGGCCAAGGAAGGTGAACAGAACAATGAAGAAGAAACCGGTTTAGATTCCACCAATGATCCCAAAGAGGATAAACGCAAACAACAAGAAAAGGACATTGAAGACATGAAGGATCAGGAACAAGATGATGAACAAACGAATCCCTATCACAATGAATTGGAGGAGCCGCCAGAACCGGAAGATTTCGATATGGGTGATGTGAACATGGACGACAAGGAAGAAAATGAGCAGGACGATGATAAGGGTGGAGATGACAATCCCTTCGACATTGATACGATGAAAGAAAACATGCCCGAACAAGAAGACAAATCACAAGAAAATGATGATGAAAATCAGGAAGAGAATCCCGACAAAAATGAAGACGGTGACGATAGTGATGATTCCGATGAGGATGAATCTGGGGAAAAAGATCTAATGAAGGAAGATAAATCCCAACAACAAGAAGAAGAGGGTGAGGACAACCCTGAGGAGGGTGAACAAGAAGAAGAGGAGGCAGAACAACAAAAACGTGCCGAAACCACACCGGAGGGGGAAGAAGAAGAAAAGCCCAATGAAGAGGAATCGGAAGAAAATAAAGAAGAGAAGCCCGAAAACTATGAACAATCTAAAGACAAAGTCAGTAAAGAGGAAAATATCCAATCGACGCCAGATACTGAGGTTGACGGCAGCAAAGATCAAATGCCAGCCGAGCAGACGGAAAAAGATGTGCAACAGGAGCAAACAATGGACGAACAGGACACTGGGGAGGAAAAAGATGGTGTGGGCCAGGCAGAAAATGATGTAAGTTACAAATGAGAGAGAGACACTTCAATTTGTTGATACAAAAAATAATTTAAATTGTTATATTGTAGACAACTGATGGTGGCCATCAAGGTGTAGCAGAAACCAAGGAGACTGCCACCCAAGAGGAACGCAAAAATGAAAGGAAGACAGAAGAAAAACGTAGACAGGGCCAAACGAATGAAGAAAGAACATTAGGTAAGATGATCTATTAATATTAAATTCAATTTTTATTCAAGACCTAGTTCCAAAATTAATGGGTCATTGGTTCATGCGAGCAACTCAAATAAATAATTGTATATTTCTTATTTTCTTCTCAGGTGAAGCTGAAAAGAATAAAATCAAACAATTGAAGACCATCGATAAACTCAATGAAAAACAACAAGAAGATAAGGCCAACGAAGAAGACAATCAGGAGGAACAGGATCAAGAAATGGAAGCTGATGAATATCAACATGTTAAAGATCCCAAAGCCAACGATATGACAACATTGGATAATGCCACTGAAGAACAATCAAAGAAAATGCAACATCTGGAAGACGAAGAGAAAAAAGACAACGAAGAAGAAAACGACGATGGTGAAACAAATGAAAATATGGATTTAGATGAAGAGCCACCGGTCGGCGCTGAGGATGAAAATGAAGAAAATCTTGAAGAAATGTCAGCTGAAAAAATGGAAAAGAATAAAGATAAACCATCTAAGTCATCCGAAAAGACCAAGGAACGTGCCGAGACCCAAGAAGAAATGGAAATTGAAGGAGAGGTGGTGCAAACGATAACAGTGCCCAGAAGTAATGATACCACAGCGCATTGCAAGTAAGTTTAATCCGTAATTTTAAACGGAATTTCAAAGACAAATTTTAACAAATACGATCGTGACCAGAAAAAATAATGACATTTTTATTAAAATTATTAAGAACTTCTTGGAAATAATACAGAATTCAAATTTTCAAGAAGGGTGAAAAAGGCGCATAGAACTCCCCAGAAACTTCATATTCTTCCTTTCGCAAAAATCAATTCAAATCAATTTATTTCATAAACGAGAACCTAGCCCAAAGAGCCATAAGCGATTCCAAAAACTTCAATACATGGGCTGCTCCAAATATCGTAGAATTGAAATTCTATCTGTATGACTTCGTGGAGAAAAAAATTACAATAAGGGTGGTCTTGACATCGTAAGTCAATCGGGATCAGCCTGGTCAATTACCTCTAGTGTTCGCTTGGGAATGTTTCGGCTTTGTTGTAGAAGGTTCCTGCGAAACCCTAACTCTTGGTCCGACTTTTGTCTTAAGTCGACCTCATTAGCTTCATTGTCACAGGCTATGAGGTGAAATTGATTTCTTTAAAAGTAGCAATCATTGAAGTCACTACATTCGTTTGGTCCGACTTAGGTCTTCCCACCTTAATTTTTTGCCACTACCGAAGCGTGAATTGTCTGTAGCAAGGCATTTTGCTATTTCTCACACGATCTCATCCTTTCCATTGCCAGAGGCCATGGCGATTACGGAGAACTGTCTCCCAACACAATATGTTATTTTGGCTAATATTTATAAAGTTTAAACAAATCACACTTCAAACCCTCAAACCCTTCTGTTTTCTTTTTATTTCCAGCACTGAATTACTTATCAATGACAGTTCAAATGTTGAAGATATGACAACAGCTGAAGCTTTGGAATTGAGAAAACTATATCAACAACAAGTTACCACACAAAAGCCGGTAAGTATTCTCAACAATGTTTCGAGATTCACAATTAATAACAACAACAAAAATCGTCGTCTTACCTTCCACACAGGCCGTTCCCACTTCGGACGACCAGGAATCATGGCAAGTGATATCAAATCGTATGACACAAAATGCCCGCGATTTATGCGAACAATTACGCCTGATATTGGAACCGACCAAATGTACTCGCCTAAAGGGTGATTACCGTACTGGACGTCGTATAAATATGAAAAAGATCATACCCTATATTGCATCTCAATTCCGTAAAGATAAAATTTGGTTGCGTCGGACAAAGCCTGCACAGCGTGATTACAAAATTACCATAGCCATTGATGACTCGAAATCAATGCATCATAACAATTCTAAAACTCTGACATTAGAAGCTATTTCCTTGGTCTCGCAAGCTTTGACATTGTTGGAAAGTGGCCGTTTAAGTGTGGTATCTTTCGGAGAACAACCGCAGATTTTATTAAATCACACGGAGCAATTCGATGGACCCAAATTGGTAAATTCATTACAATTTTCACAGGATAAAACAAAAATTGCAGGACTATTAGATTTTATACGAACAATAAATGCCGAGGAAGGTGCCATGGGTAGTTCAGATAATGGTTTATTCGAAAATCTGTTATTGATTTTAAGTGATGGACGTAATATTTTCAGTGAAGGCAAGATGAAGGTATGTAAAGAAAGTTAAACTTGAAACATAATTTTGTATTTATGTATGTGTTATTTTTTCCAGGTCAAAAATGCCATTAAATTGGCCCGACTCCAGAGAATTTTCCTGGTCTATATAATTATTGACAATCCGGATAATAAAAATTCCATATTGGATATTCAAACAATGGAAATGTTACCGGACAAACGTATAAATATTAAGTCCTACTTAGATGATTTCCCCTTCCCCTATTATGTTATTGTTAGAGATCTAAATCAATTGCCTTTAGTTTTAAGTGAGGCCATGCGTCAATGGTTCGAAATGGTTAATAGTGAACAGTAAAAACATGGATATTTTATACAATAATTGATTTTCATATATACCTACTAGTATAAGCATGTAAATTTGTATATAAATATAATGCAATAGTTTGTTAATAAATAAAAAAATAGAATAAATATAAAGTGGTTTTTTGGTTCACTCACCTGTCAGGTAAATAATTCAATTCAATATCATCTTGCTAATATATTTGCTTGTTTCTCACCATGATGACATGATTATATTTTTATTGCACACTTTTTTTCGTATTCTTGTTATTCAAATTCTAATTGTAAATCAAATGGATATTCCGATGAATTTAAAGATTGACGAAATAGCTGAGCATGTTGCCAGGACACATCACCTTTACCACCGGATAATTTGGCACAAATTTCAAAAGATTTACAATTCGCTAGAGATGTTAGCACTTCTTTGGTTTCGCCATCTCTTATCACAACCTCCACTTGACCCTCACCAAATGTTTTCTTTTCCAATGTCAATTTGTGGGATTTCACTTTTAACGGGGAATGGGTGAAATTAAATTTCCACACTAGTTCGCCGTAATCACTGTCTTCCTGACGTGCCAAATAGACCATTTTCCAATCACGTTCTACTTTGCGTAAAATATTTTTCGATGAATGTTGACAACTTTGCCAGGTTTTATATTGCGTTATTGTGCGACAAAGACCCGAGGAATCTGAAATGTGTGAAAAAAGGAAGGAAATTAGATTTGAGAAGAATACAGATGAAAAGTTTTAAATCAAGAATTTGTTGTTTTTTGAATTTCTCTTGGCCCTTTGGGCTGGATTCTCGTTTATGAAATAAATTGAAAGAATGACTGTTTGAAGCTTGGCACTCCAACTGAATTGTAAACGATGTGACTGCATTTTGTGAATATTTTGAGAGATTGCATTTTTTAGGGTCACCAAAATTAAACTCGTCCTATCCAAGGATCATTGGCACTCTGTAATGTCATGAGAGAGTCTTTCCCCTGAATTTTCACGATTGCTTTTTCATTCGTTTTTATCCAACATATCTATGCTTCCCGCAGACCCTACAACAAGCGGACGTGGCGACGTAGAACATGTTCTGTATGCAGACTTTAAAGAATGTTCCAAGGTCTTAAAAACAGGATACTAACATTAACGAATAAAATGACAAATATAAAATATTACCTCTAATATAACGTTCATAGTTATCACTGGAACACGAATAGCGCAAATTGAATTGTTTGTTGTTCACTTCTTCTTCCATTAAAGTGAATTCAAAAATCTGCAACAAAAAAGTAAAAACCACAATAAAATAAAAATCTATTTTAAATACAAAAAAAAAAACATTTTACTTACATTTTCAAAAGAATGTTCACCTCTAGATTGGCGCCATGCCAAACTACCCGAACTTCTACCCTTCAATTCGTTTTCGGTGGGGGATCTAAACAAAAACAAATCGAATTCCAATTTAAATTAACTTATGTCAGAAATGAAATTTATACCTTTCCACCGTTAATTCTATCAACTCCACCATACATCGTTGACTTAGCAATTTCTTACGTTCATCACTTAGATGGGCCTGTCGTTTCTTACGTATAGTAAGCAGTGCCTCTATTAACTCAGTTTCGGTGCAAAAACGGCGTTTTTGCAGAGTTTCTTTGTGATTGTTACAATAACGCCATGTAACGTCTTGGATATCATCACACGAATAGGCAAATACATAGTCGATATTACGCTTCCAGCCGTGTTGATACATGAGTGGTGAATCGACCACATTATCGGAGGGATCTACATGCAACCAACGCATTTGGGAATCAGAATAAACCTGAAAGAAGTATATTTTGTTTTTGGTAATATTGAAAATGCATTTCACCCCCTTCTACAACACTCACCTCTGTCCACACATGATCAAACAGAGGATGAACAATACGCGCATCGTAATCCAAGCAACGACACAAAAATGTAAAACAGTTGGCAAATTCTCCGCAACGTCCCTTGCGTGATACCAACAGTTGGGCAATGTCATTATAACGATGAAATTTCGTCTCCTGACCACAACATATACCAACTTCAACGCGACAATCACCTTCGGTTATGGTACGCCGCAATTTACTTTCTTCACTGCCACAAACTTTACAGGGCAGACAATTAACCCATTCGAAAAAGTCGTTTTTAAACCATGCCACCAATTCAACTAGAATTAAATCACGTATACAGGGTTCCTTCAAGGCGGGTTTACCCTCTTCCACAGCCTTTGACGATTCTTCTTGTATCCTTATTAGTGTTTCACTAGCCCTTTGGGTTAATTCATCAATGGGTATTAATTGACGACCGGCAGCCAATAACTTTTCATCTTCATATTGCATTACAGCATCGGAATAATGTTCCAAAGATTCGAGAAATTTATTGGTGGTACGCTAAACAAAAAAATTATTGATATACGTTTAACAAGGAATATGTGAACAAATATTTATATTTACCAAAACCCGAGGAAAGGTAATTCGTTGTCTGTAGGGCCTCGAAGCTTGTATGGGAACCAAAGATTGTGTGGACTGGACATTCATATTATTTAAATTTGTTGTTATCGTTTGGGCAACATCTAAAAAATGAGAAAACATTTTACCAATTGTGCATTGATATTGAGAAACGGTCTCTGTCAGCCCTTTGTTATAAGGCTTCAACGGCTTTGAATTGACACCCATTTTGGCTTAGTGCAATACAAGGGTCACAGCAAAGCTCCAGGAAATATGAATTTACACTAAGAAAAAATTATATCCTTGTTATCAGCACCCTAGGGAACGAAACGATGCGTCTTTTTATAGATCCTTGCGAGTATTTATGTTTATGGTTATATTTTTTTTGTTAGTCCCCCCTTCACTTACCATCTTTTTTATTTAACCAAAATTCTCTACGTTTCGCCAAGGCATCACGATATTCCTGTATTATATCCAAAGATGATTCTTTTGGTAACGTATACAAATCATTGGTTCGACGAAAACCAATGGCCGTCAAGAGTCCATCACAACCTTCCAATGTTAATAGCTTTTCTTTAATAGTTTTATTTTCCATTCGTATCGTACGATATTTATCTTCGCTTGGATGATTAATTATGTTATCTAAAAGTAACAAAATTATGCGAACCGCTTCTAAATACGTCTCTTTGGTATTTCGTTGGGAACATAGAGTATTTGCATTGGGTGGTCGGGATGGGTTAGCAGCAGCAGCTGGTTCGATAGAACAAATAGATTTGTAATTAATTTCCTTTGTTGGTGGCATTGTAGGCAGCTAATGCGATCAGATCAGTTGATCCTAGTTGTATACTTTCGAAATTAGTAAATTTTAAAAAACAAGATATAAGTTTTTCTTTTACACTTACATAGCCTTTTTGAAGATCAGATATTTTTAAATTTTTTTTCTTAGCAAAATTTCGTCGTTATTGGAATGTAAATCTTGTAAATTCGGTGATCCAAGGTATTTCGGAAATCAATGAAATCACTTGTAATCCAGCTGTCTTTTTTGTTGTTGTAAAAACCTTTCCAATTGCACTCTCAATTTTCTCTTCTCCTCTCTCTGTTATCAACGAAATAACAAAGCAATCAGTTTAGATGTCAAAATCAGTTGTTGTGGCTGAAAGAAATAATTCACCTTGAAAGAAATTCTTTAAAGCAAAGTTTTTGTTGCGCTTTTTTTGTTTGAACAAAAGTAAATAGCAATAATTAAAAATCTTTGGCAAAAAAATTGGAAAAAATTATGTTATTAAATATAGGCCTCAAACCTGTTGTTGTTTATATTCTACTGCGACGAATTCAATCACAACATATGACTTTGACAGCCAATTAATAGTCAGCTCAAGGTAGATATACAAGGTAGCCGCATCGGCGAATTTCTACAACAAACATCGGTTGTTGTATTTTGATATGTCAAAAATATTTTGCCAAAACAAACAGATTGACAAGATTTTTTTACACAAATTCTTGTAGAAAATGTTAATAAAAGTATTGCCAAAAAAGCTCTTCGAAATTCGGAGATTTTAATTTATAATTTTGTTTTTTAATTTTTTGGTTCAACATTACAACAATATTTTTGACATTTATTTGTCCAACAGCTGGGCCGATGCGGCTACCTTATTAAATATACCTTGAGTCAGCTGTTCTGTTGTCAAGTTTGTTTTTAATTCGTTATATGTTGCCACATGCCATAGAAAATAACGTCAGTTTTGGATTTTAAATTTCAACATGAGGTGCGTTACCCTTATTATAGGGGTATATTTTTTTCTTGGGGGACGTACCCGGTACGGGTACTTAATATAAAATGGGTTTCATTTTAAAGCTTATACAATTACCCATGGCATAATTACGGAAAGTAGTCTCATTTGAGAATTTCTATTATTTTTAAATAATATGAAAAATAAATTCCATAAATTTTATATATGTCGATAGGCTTCCAAACCACAGTTTTTTGGCTGCATCAGTGCAAAGGAATTTTTAGAACCGGGTACTCGTACCCCTCTGTGTGTGGTTGTGTTGTAACAGGTTGGTTGTTGATGAAAGTTCTTTCCTGATAATGTTGCATCGTCGTGGACGCTATAACTAGCGCCTGAAGGGCTTACACGCACTTTATGGACACCTCTCAGATCATTTTGAAATGTGATTGTAATCAGCTCCAAAAAGGACTATGTGTTGTAAAAATATTAAACGTTTCGGAGTGGTATTCTTAAATGTATTTAAAACGGCATATACATTTGAACTTTTTACCGGGTTAATCTACTTTATGAGGATTTTTTTGACATATATACAGAGGAATTGACAATTGAAACCCACTAGGTTAACGAAATCCGGTTAAATGTAAACGTACTATAATAAAAAGTGGGGGTATTATTTGAACTTTGGAACTTGGAAAAATGTATGTTGTTGTAATCAGTATCAGAAGGGCTACATATGGTAATAATTTCAGAAAGATCAGAGCGTGTCCGTAAAGTTCATTTGTTCCGAATCTCCATTGTATGCCACTAAGGAAAGAAGTCCAGACTGGGGCAGCATAATTCAGGATGGAACGGCCTATGGCCTTATAAATCGTTACCAACGTTTATTTATCCTCGCCCAAGGCTAAAGTTTTCAGAACTTTATTCCTAGCTTTCACCTTCTGGATGATGTAATTGGAATGCGAGGAGATATGGATGCTTTTCGGATTATGGACAGTGGGGATGAGCCTACCTTCAACGGAAATGTCAAGTTCTAGATTGAGTTATATGTGTTTGGTTGTTGTTTTTGTTCCAGCCTTACTGCATTTACACAAAACGAAGTTAGGCGAGTGAGACTGAGGTCGTTTCGCATGATATACACATCTATCATGATTTGAACTGACTGGCGATATGGCTCAATTGGCATATTTTTTCTGATCAATAAAATATATATCTTAAGGTCTCCGGTAAATATTTTGAGCTTCGAATACTCTTTCCATTCGTTCGATGCTTGAATTCCTGCATTTGTATTAACAGACAAATATAGACTACCCAAGGATTTTCGAGTTCTAGATGACTTATATGTGTGGTTGTTGTTTTTGTTGCAGCCTTACTGCAGCCTTTCGCTTGGTAGACTCCTATATTGTGATTTGAACAACAATGTTGCATATTTTTTTGTAAAATATATATGTTGTTGATAAATATTCCTAGCTACGAATAACCTTTCCATTCGTTCGATGATTGAATTCCTGCATTTGTATTAATAGACAAATATACAATAATTTATGGAAAAATAATTATTCAAAGGCCAAGTTTCAGCCGTTTCGTCTGGATGTCTCTTATACTTTAAAACGTAATATAATCATTCAAAAAACAAAACACTGATTATGTTTATATATATTTTTTACGTATAAATACATTTTTTATTTATTTAATAAGTAGAAATAGACATACACATATTAAATAGTAATAGTAGTAAATAAGCAATGGGAAAATGTAATATTCAAAGGCAATTGAATGGGCGCTTCTGTTTTTTTTTTTATTGTGAAAACAAACCGAAACATACGAAATATGGGTTGTGTACGAAGAAGTAAATACAGTATTCCAAAAAAAGTGAGCTAGGTTGTTTTTTTAATTTCTCATTCTTATCATATTACAAAAAAAATTAAAGTGGTGGGTAAAAATATTTAATACACTCTTATTGTTGTTGTTGCTGGATTTCTTTACACAGTAATACATATAGTTTTAAGCTGATGCCTGATTTTTTAACACCACTTCATTAGATAAATGAAAATGAATATAACGGTCTTTATGGTGTAGAATAGGCGGTTTTTTATATAAAACACAATGTATATTTGTGTGTGTATGTTGTTAGGGAGAAATGTTTAATTGTTCCATAGCGTATGATAGGTAATGTGAAACTTAATAATTAAGACAATTATTAAAACGAATATTTTTATTGAATAGTTTTAAAGCATTCCTTCTGTTGTTGTAAGGTGTTTTGTTATCATAAAAAATCTACACAATATGCAAAATGTGTTAATTTACATATAAAGAGGAAAGGATGTTGTTTGTTTGTTCTGTGATCATTTATAATGACTACAAATACAAACACCAAATAAATTGATTTTATTCCATGTCAAGGTTGTGCATGCCAAGCCATTATAAAACCAAATCAAAATTTTTATTACATTTATTGTGTTACAAGATTGTGTTGTTTTTTTTTTTGCAATATTGTGTACTCTTTTCTTTTCAGCTTATGCAAGACGACCTTTCACCGAGCTGCAAAATCTATAGCTCATCACGGTTTTAAGGTGAGTTCAATCCACCAGTTGGTGAGTTATTTTCATTGAGAGCATCCGGGAAACTGCTAACCGATCCAGAACGAGAAGTAGACACTTTTGTCTGAAAAAAAGAAGAGAAGTTATAAATAAAAATGTGAGAAAAAAATGAAATTATTTCGTAAAAAGCATGCTTGCGTATGAATGTAAATTTTAGAGTAATTTTGCACAAATGTGTTTGTATGTGTGTGTGGGTGTTATCGTATTGTGTTAACCCCCTACAAAGAAACTGTTTTAATCCCTATGTTATAATCAATATTATAAGGGGTTTTCAACAAGATGAGTTGATATGAATTACCCGGTATTTCACTGGCAGTCAACTTATATTTATTTAAGACTAATGCACTACAAATCATGTGAAACTGTTGGTTTGAAATTTGTATATCCTCCATCATGAGTGGCACAATCAAAATACGAAACTGCGCAAAAATCGCCAACATTCTCTCTGTGATTGTATCAACTAATTTTGCGTTAATGCGAGTACCCATGATCCAATTAACAGGTCGTGTAAGAGGCGAATATTATCGGTCATTTTGGTAGAAAATCCCACCAAACTGTCAATTTTTTTGTTTACGTTTTCACACGATTAAGTCAAATTTTAACAGTTCGGGTGAAATCATTTCGCCTCTAACACGACCTGTTAGTTGGACCATGCGAGTACCCTTAAAATGTCATTGATTACGACAAAACCAACACAGGTGGCGACACACAACTAATTTCCCTTCCTTAATAATCAGGATGCCCAAAAATTCGCTCGCGAATGAATGAAAATGCATTCTTTTTGTTTTGTGCTCATTTTACGAATGAATTTATGGCGGTAAAGTCTTTATCAAACGAGCATTCGCCCAAGAAGGTTCGCACACACATAACAATTGAGTGAGAACACAGAAAAACGATCATTCGTTTCGTTTGGTGGTTGAAATTTCTTCTGACATTCTCTCACGAATGAAAACAAACATTCCCGAATTCTCGCGAATATTCAAAACAGCAACAACAATCGTTCGTAAACTCAATAGTTGTTGGACATGCGTTTTGTTATTACACACACATTCATTCTTTGTGTGTGTTTACTTTTTTATGATATGTTTGTTTGTGGTTGTTTTTAACAGCGCTCGCGAGCATTCGCGAACATTTGTTTTTTTGAGTTTTTCAAAAGAATGTTCTTCAGCAAAGAATGCTTGCGAATGAATGAATCGGCGACGCTTGCAGTGAAGTTTTATCGTTCGTGAATTTTTCGTGCAATGCGAACATTCGCACGAGATTGCATATGCTTGTTCATTCATTGTAACTTTATCATTCGCGATAAATTGAAAAACATTCGAATTCTCACCGTGAGCATTCGTGAGAAAGAGTGTATTTTAATTATTCTCCGCACCCTGAGTTTTTCAAAAGAATGTTCTTCAGCAACGAATGCTCGCGAATGAATCAATCGACGACGCTTGCGATGTTTTATCGTTCGTGAATTTTTCGTGTAATGCGAACATTCGCGAGAGATTGCAAATGTTTGTTCATTCATTGTAACTTTATCATTCTAGATAAATTGAAAACATTCGAAATCTAGACGTGAGCATTCGTGAGAGCGTATTTTAATCATTCTTCGCACCCTGTTCATAATCTAATTTAGTAAATTATTTTGTTTTCATATAGTTGTTCTGTTCATGTTTGTGCACGAAAGTGAAAAGTGTTTTTGTAATACAAGTTTCTTGTTTGCAGCAAATAGGAAAAATACATAATAGAATATAAACGTAAATATTGAATAGTAGTTACCGCATGAGATTGGCACAAAAAATTGTTGTGTTCATAGCTTACTTTAACATTCTCATAGGCTGAGCCAACTTTCTCTTCAATCGATCGCATCGATTCGGAATTTTTCATTTGGGAAAATTTCGAAGTAATGCCACTGGTAATGCTACCAAAGACCGATGCAGTTTTCTCCGATGTGGTCTTCAAAACAGACTCGGTACGTTGGAAACTGGAAAAATAAAAAAAAAACACATTTTCCAATCAATATTAAAAATAGAATTAAAGAAAATTGCATTAAATATAAATGAGTAATTATAAATTTGTGTTATGCGTTAAAAAATAAAACAAATAATTAAAAAAAATGTGTGTTATTCAATTTAATTTTCAAACGTTTTAGTAGCTACAAATGCTATATGAATAAAATATAGATGTTGCAAAAAAAGATCCACCACTAGCACATTTACTTACATGGGGGCATCATGTACTGCCTTTGTGAAATTACCAACACTTTGTTCAACTGATTGAAAACTTAAAACAGATAAATATGTAAAAAAAACAAATTAAAAATAAATAATAAAATTATAAAAAATAAAGCAAATAAATAAAATAAAGATTTAATAATAATAAATAGACAAACTAAACAAGAACGAAACAAATACATATAGGACGGACACGTACTGAAATGGTAAAATGGACCAAAACAATCGGATGCGTTATGTAAATCGTATCGAATTGCCATAAAATAGACAGCCGTTGACCAACTCCACTTAATTTTTCAGGCATTGAAATCGAAATTCTTAATTTTTTTATTTTTAAAATGTATGAAATTGGAATAAATAAAGATATGAAATATAACTCTATCCATTCCTTCTTCAATAGAAAACAAAACATTTGGAATACAATTCCGTATTATAGTTTATAAATTAGTACCCTCATTAATATAATACATATCAAGTATTCAATTTAATTTTAAATATCGTGTGGTCAGCGGGTTCTTATGCAAATTTAATCGATTGAAAAACTTTTTTCCATTAAATCTTTTTTTTCAATTTTAAGTAATATTTGTTTTTGAATAGTATTCAATACTTACACTGAACTTTCTTTAACCGATTTAATGCCCTGATTCATGTCATCGGTAATTTCCTTCCAAACGGTAATGCCCAATTTACGTTTTAAGTCCGAAGCATGGCGTGTTTTTGAAGCCAATACAGTGCGTAGCGTATTGATTTCTTCTTCGACACGAGCCAATTCCTGTTATTTATAAATAAAAAACACAGATTTAAAAATATGAAAAATTGAAATTAAAAAAAAAAATAATTCTTACTTGACTCCATTCAGCTCTTTGTCTCTCTTGTTCTTCAACTGTTAATGCTGCAAATTCGGCAGCAATATCAGCTGATGCAACCGATGCTGCAGGTGAAGTATTTCCAGTGTTATCTGCAAGCAAAATGAAAAATTAAATTAGATTATAATAATGTACAAAAATATTAAGATAATAAAAAAGGACTAATTAATTGAGGAAGTACAAAAAAGGTATGGTCCATAAATTACTTACACACTGACAGAATGACCATTCAAAGAATGCAAGAAGAGAAAAAGAAGTAATACAAAATAATTAGGATTGATAATATTTAATAAAATTATTTCTTATCTGAGATATTGTTTTGATAAAAAAGCGATGTTAGGATGAGAAGGTAACAATAGGTATAACATTCCCCCCATTTCAAGAGATTTGAATATATTCGATTTGGGGGTCTTTTCTGTCCCATTTTCCAGAAAAGATTGAAATTTCATTTAAGAAGGGATTATATCCATCTTATTCTAAAAAAATAAACTTTTATTATAAGTCTCAGAATAGAATAAATCTCGAAAATCCGCCTTAACAGCAAAAACAATGAGAAGGAGTCTGCCAAGTGGGACTGGCAGTAAATGGCGAAAAGATCAAACTGATGGTATCAACGCGCAAGAAAACTACAGCTTCGAGGTAGTGAAAGATTTTATATACCTCGGTATCGCCGTCGTAAACAAAACTAATAACATCAGCTCTGAGTAAGCAACTCAAAAGCACGGCCACTTCTCGTCAGACCAAACTCACACTCTACAAGACGCTGATATTACCCGTGCTTTTGTATGGATCTAAAGCATGGGTACTTGCGCAAGCAGATGAGGCAGCTCTTGGAGTGTTTGAGAGAAAAATTCTCCGGAAGATCTATGGGCCGATCTGCGTCGATGGTGAATATCGCCGTCGAATGAACCATGAGGTATACGATCTATTCTCGAACATCGACATGTTCAGACGGATCGAGCTGCAGCGACTGCGTTGGCTAGGCCATCTTGTGAGAATGGATGAAGATGCCCCAGCTCATAAGGCACATAAAAGCGAGCCAAGTGATGGTTCACTCAGAAGGGGAAGGCAACGAATCCAATGGAAAGATCAAGTAGAAGACAACATCTCGGAAAATGGTCTTTCAAATTGGATGAGATGAGCACAAGGCGTCTGGAAATCTTTTTTTAATCTCGGCTTATGGAACAACCGTTTGTCATGAGCCAGAACAGAACGTTTATTTTTTTAAATATATTTCACATTTCCATTGTTTGAATTTTCTTTAAGTGCAAAATTTCCATAACAAATTTTTAAGACACACAAACTTGTTTCGCAGAACACAAACACACACACAAATTTAACTGGAATGTTTAATAAAAATTGTACTTTCCGTTACCTTTGGCATTTATTGTTGTCGCGGATGATGATGGTGATCCAATATTAAGGAACTTTTTATAATTTTCACTACTAGAAATTTTCGCTATATACGGTTTTGAAAAATCCACAAATGTCACTTTGACATCACGCATTGTCCGTTTGGTGGTGAAAAATTTCAAACGAAATCGCTTCGCTATTGACATTGAAGGACTTTGATTGGCTAATTTTGAGATAATAAATTCGGTTTCCACGGTTTGTAATTCCAGCTGATTGCTGTAATCGGAATCGACATCGTAGAATATTTGATCTAAGGTAAGATTGCGTAAATACAAATCGGTTTCAGCATCATCAACGGCAAGATTAGCGGACAATGATGATGGATGATTCCAATCGCAACAGTTGGCACCATCTATATCCAGAGATGGTGTAGCATCTTCTAGGCGAGGTATATATGGATCTTCAATAAATTCCAAACTAACTGGTTCCGAGTCGGACATATTTTTGTTTGGTCCAATTCGAAAGGAAAAAATATGACAGTGATGGTGATGATGATAACAACGAAACAATGATGCTGCTGATGAGATGATGTCGGCGGCAGCGATCAATGTGTAATGGAAAATGCGTAGTCTTGTTGTTGCTGCAATTTCCTCCTATACAATATTTCTGAATAGGAGTAATTGTTTTTCTTTTTTCCTTTGATTTGATAACGACGAACGTTTGTTTTTTGTTGATCTTCTGATGGTGATGTTGTTGTTTTTGTATATTTTGTTAAGCTTCTGCGAAGCGTAAAATTCACTAACAACTAAACTTTCTAATTTGATCATGCTATGTCTATTTTGTTCCCAGCACTTTTCTATATATTTTGCTTTTTCTTTGCTTCTGCTCGAAATTCGTCAATTTTCAATAAAAAAATAATTGAAGATTGCCCAACAAAGAATAACGTATTTAATACTTTATTAATTCTTAAAAACGTTGGGTCAACTCATTTTCGTTTCTTTTCAAGTCTACGAATATCTAAAGTCAGCATAAAACTAAAATGTATTTGGTAGAATAAAGTAAATATGGATCGTGACAGACAGCAACGGAGTAACACAGCCAACCAACCAACATCATCATCAACATCAGCAGCCACCAGTCCGTCCACACAAAGCAAGGTAGTAGTTAATCGAGTGTGTATGCCAACAACAAGCAAATAGAGTTGGTTGGCCAAAGAAGTCACCTTTGTTGTGGTAGTGTGGTAACAAACTAAAGCACACACACACTCATTGAAAATGCTTTCACAATTCTGGCCACAACAAAACCCAGTCCCGAATAACAACAGAAACAAGAGTAAGAGTACAAAATGAACAAAAAAAAAACAATAAACCTAATAAACGAATATACATATATGTATGTAATATACGAACACATACATACAATATATAAACAAACAAAAAATATATAAGCAAACGATGCTGATTAAAACTAACACAATTCCAAGTAGATCATTATTAACCCTGTTAGTACCAGTGTTTGATAGCTTCCAAAATAATATTCAAAAAAGAGAGAATATTCGAAATAAAATATTGCTTATTAAATTGTCTAAGTTCAGAATGAATTTAATTTTTTTTAATATTCCAGTTAAATGGTGGATTTCGCGAATATAATGTCATAAAATACTCAATGTGCTAAATGTAATTTTGAATGAGTAAAACCAGCAAGGAAGGTATTAAAGTCTGACTGGGCCGACTATATGATACCCTTCACCACTTTGGGTATATTCTATATATGTATCCTAACAGACGTTGCCTTTTCGAAGGAACATTGACATGAAATTGAAGGAACTTAAATATGCGATAAGTAAACCGCTATATCTAAATCTGAACCGATTTCAAAGAAACTTGCCAGAGATTAATTTATATTAATTTCAGTACGTTGTGTTAATCGGCCTAGCTATGGGTCTTTAGTGCACCATTTTTTTTAAATCAGACGAAAGTATATATAGGAGCTATATGTAAATCTGAACCGATTTTTACGAAACTTAGCACACATCATTCTGGACCTGGGGTACTGACACCCCATGCCAAATTTCGTGTAAATCGAAAGATATATAGAAACTTTCTAGACCCATTTACCTGTACTTTATTTACAATTTAACATCTACAGACTGAAGAACATGCATAAATCGACTCAGAAAATGATTCTATGCCTATTCTCAAAAGGAACCATGTGTCTATCTCGTTTCCTTTTGCATGTTACAAACATATGCACAAAGACATAATACCCTGTACCACAGTGTGGTTAAGGTTATAAAAGGTGTCAGTCGGTGTTGCTATCCACAATCCGGATTAACAAATTTTAAAAATGTTGAGGAACAATTTGATTTTTGCCACAGGTAGATCTCGTCTCCCTGATCACGAAAATATATGACTTTCATGGGGGAAGTCCATAATTCCCGAGATATGGACCTCTGAAGTTCCGAAATTACTATGCTCATATTGGTATGGACAGGTGGAAAATTTGGATATGCGATTAAAATATGGCTAACGCATCAACATTTTTGGAAACTCGACCGGGTTTTTAAGATTTTCTCCGATGGACAGGTGGGAAATTTGGCTACGTGATTAAAAATTCCTTTATATGAAAAGTTTTCTTATAAAGCCGGATTTCGGCCGGGGATTTATGACTTTCTCCTATGGACAGATGGAAAATTCGGTTATGTGATCGAAATTTAAAAAAAAAAAAAAACATGTTTATCTAAATATCCGCCAATATTACCATATGAGCATATGAATTCCGGAAAATTTGGAGATGAGCCCCTAAACTCAACTTAAGCCTTCCATAGTTCTAATCAGACAGTCGGTTCATGTGATATTAAAAAATATTTTTTTCAACATTTTGGCCATTTTGTGGGGGGAACGATATACTCTATCTTCGAGCATGATCTAAGTTTGGAATAAAAATTACGATGTGCACATTTTGAATGAAATCAGTTGCTTCCTTCCACGACCCCAATTGTCTGTTCACAAGTGTAAAAAAACATTGACTGATTTAAAATCAATTCTTACTGGCACCCTAGAACCATGCCTTACGTTTTTACTATTAGAAAGAACAAAAATAAATTATTCAAGTAATTCAATGTGAAAGATTAAATCAACACTGATAATGTCACACTTTAGCATTATCAACTGCATAAATTTCGAAAGAATTTAGTAGCGTTATGACGTTAACTAGATTTTCGTAACTAAAAAGAGATTCTAATTAGATATAAAAGCATTTCTAGTAGACCACCACGAAATGGCATTAACACGTTTTAGTTTAACAACATAAAAAATGTAGGTATGTCGACGACTTTTTGAAAAAATTCACATTCAAATACTCCTGTATGTTAATATACAAGATGATTACAAATATACCTATATAATATACATTTCCGTAACCATATTCTTCTCAAAGTAAATCTCAATCATCATTCTTGAGGATATTGACCATTGTCCTTCATATAAATAGAATAAAAAAAATCAAGCAATTCATTATAAAATGGCACAATGCCATAATAATAATTATTTAACCAAAAAGGCCTATTTCAAGATATGAACTTTTCGCGTACCATACAATTGAATTCTATTAAATGAAAAGAAACGATAGCAGAACAAAACATAAAAACAAGTTTATCAATTAAATTTTAAATTTATATACTGCGTTGTGTTGGTTCGTCTTCCTAAAACCTCAAAGAGGAGGAAACAAAAAACAAATTCAAAATTCAATCACAAACAACATACCAACACAAAGAACATCATATTTGAGTATCTGGATATCGTATTTCTTGCAACGCTATTTTTCACATAGTGAAACATTGGCTGCCGCATGGACTAACTAACTATTAACAACATCGTGGATGCAAAATAAAATAAAATGCCACGTCAAAATGTTGGACGGAATAAATACTCCCCTCGTTTTGTGCCACAAAAAACTAAACTAAATTTTTTCCACGATTTAATTCTACGCTGTTGATGAGACAATCCACCAACAAAAACTCACCCTACTCCTACAATTTGTTTTTTGGAAGGCGACACATTGTCCAGCCATGCGAAAAAAAAACTAAAACTTCTGTGAGTCACGTTTTTCACCCAATTTTCCCAACATAATTTGTTTATATTTGCTATAGCAATTGTCGTCGTCCATAGCAATTTATCACCAAGAAGCAAATGTAATATTTAATCTAGTCGGCATATTTCAATTGATATCATCAATCAACTCTTGCCTCATTGTTTAAAACTATGAATATGTAAAAAAATCATTCGTTCGTTTGTATTTTTGTTGTTGTACTTACGTTCCTCCATGTTTTATTAGTTTTTTCGTCGTAAATCTCTTTGAATGCTATGCAATGTTATTTATATTATACAATAATTGTTGTTTTAACAATGTAAATGTATTAAATATTCTTTTGATTTTTTAATAAATGCTGTATTCTTCTAATATTTACGTATCTTTTCTCTCGTATTTCTTCTTTCAGAGAACAACTGAGAACGAACTGAACTGAACGAACTGAGAACGTTGCGGAACGAACTAGTTCATTGGAACTATTCCGAGAAAGGAACGAACGGAACTAGTTCCAGTTCTTTAATTAATATAATTCCTTTCTCTGATCCAGTTCCTTTTTTGAACTATTTGAAGCAAAGGAACTGTATGGAGCAAAGGAACTATAAAGAGCAAAGGAACTATATGGAGCAAAGGAACTATTTGGAGCATAGGAACTATAAAGAGCAAAGGAACTATATGGAGCAAAGGAATTATATATGGAAAAACGAAAAAAAGAATGATGAAAGAGAGAGATTCAAAAGAACTATGTAGGAGTCGGAACTATATGGAGCAAAGAAATTGTATGGACTAAAGGAATTATATGGAGCAAAGGTACTATATGGATCAAAGGAACTATATGGAGCAAAGGAACTATATATGGAAAAACGAAAAAAAAATAATAAAAGAGAGAGAGAGAGAGATTCAAAAGAACAGTGGGAAGCCTCCAAGACTCCAGCCTTCATAAAATTCGCTTGTTAATCGTCGTTCTGCCAAGACTCAAGCGACGTCGTACGCAAACCTTCGCCAACAAATGGTCTGTTCCAGTACTTTTTATACCCTCCACCATAGTATGGAGGGTATATTAATTTTGTCATTCCGTTTGTAACTCATCGAAATATTCATTTCCGACCCTATAAAGTATATATATTCTTGATCAGGGTAAAATTCTAAGACGATCTAGCCATGTCCGTCCGTCTGTTGTAATCACGCTATCTTCTGAAGGAATTGAGATAGGGTGCTGAAATTTTGCATAGGGTTGTCTTTTGTCTGCAGGCAGGTCAAGTTCGAAGATGGATATATCGGTTCACGTTTAGGCATAGCTCCCATATAAGGGTACCCCCCAATTTTCGGTATTTTGGGGTTCTTGAGCGCGTTTTTCAAGCGAATTTGTAGTAAATGTATCCACAAAAAATTATAAATATAGGTCCACTTTTTCTTGTAGCCCCCATATAACGGTACCTCCTAATTTTCAGTATTTTTTGGGTTTTTATCGTATTTTTCACCGAATTGGCTGTAATTTAGTATTTTGAGTTCTTAGCAGGTACCAAATCTCTCCACAAAAAAATTTAAATATAGGTCAATTTTTTCGGATATCCCCCATATAAGGGTACCCCCCAATTTCGGTATTTTGGGGTTCTTGAGCGCGCTTTTCAACCGAATTCGCTGCAATTTTGTACATTGGGTTCATATTGCGTACCAAATATCTCTACTAAAAATTATAAATATCGGCCCACTTTTTCTGGTAGCCCCCATATAAGGGCACCCCAAATTTTCGGTATTTTGAGGTTCTTAAGCGCGATTTTCAACCGAATTCGCTGAAATTTGGTACAGTGGGTTCATATTGGGTACCAAATATCTCTATTTAAAATTATAAATATCGGTCCACTTTTTCATTTCAAATACCTGTCAGTATACCTGTGGTGGAGGGTATCCAAAGTTCGGCCCGGCCGAACTTAACGCTTTTTCACTTGTTTAATAGTAAAGCTAGTAAAAGGGAAACATTTCAAGTCTCAGAGTACAAAATAATTTGAAAAGTTCGGGAACGCAAATCTAGTAAATATGCCAAAGTTACATGGCAATACTTCAAAATCAACATAACAGCCAATCAGAAGTAGGCATTCCTGTTTACCATTTTTATTCGGACAAATTTTTCGAGAAAAAGGTTTAGAAAGAGAAAGCCATTTTGTTTTGTGCTCTCTTAAATTTGATTCAATGCTTTACCAGTTTTATGGGTTCAGGAACGGTTTTCGAGTAAAAAGTAAAAAGTTGCAAAACTTGTAAAATTAGTAGATTCTTTTAGGTTTTGGAACGGAGCTAAAATAAAAACGACGACTGAAAAAATTGAAAAACGTTCCACCTGCTAACGAATGGGAGGAGAAGACAAAATGGCCGATAAAGATGAACTCAAAATGGTATACGCTAATTAGAACCATGGGGAAAGAAATTCACATTGCATTATGTAGATAACAAAATTTACATCCTGCTGCATATATAAAAACTAGACAATTTTTTACTTTTCATTCATCATTTTCAATATTACTAAAAAAGTTTGAAAATTTTATAAATATTTTCAAGCTGTCAAAATTAATTTATTTTCGATAAATGCTCTCAGTTGTTAGGGATGGGACAAATTTCTTGGTGATTCAGAGAGTGATTCGAACTGAACAACGTACAAAAGTCGGTGTTCGCTCAGACAATTTTGTATGGGGAACTAAGTAATTACTTCCTAATTAAGGGTCGAACAACGAATGAGAGAGCGAACAACGCTCGTCTGTACATGGCATAAGCGGTCTTTTACTCAATTCGTCATGGGCATTCGTCAATAGAGTTTTTTTCTCTCTCTCATTTTAATTCCCAATTTCAAGACTCCAGCTCTATCTGTTCACCTAAATCCAACTTGTACCAAAATTTTAGAACTTTTTGGTCACATAAGTGCGATTTTTAAAGCTACCTCAATCCTGTACTCCAATAGTTCATATTTTCAGGATTCCATCTCTATATACTCAACCAAATGCAGTACCATTTAGTACTTCTGAGCCGATGCGGCAATGTTAACAATAGGTGACGCCGTAAAAAGCAACATTTGATGAGCAACGGCGCCAAAGGTTTGATGTGTAGCCATTAGCACAATAAAAACGTTTGACGTTTTACGGCATGGCGCTATTTTAAAGGTCGTTTACATTGAACCGGATTTGGTTAACCGAGTGGGTTTAAATTTTCAATTCCTTTGAATATATGCCAAATAAATCCTCATAAAGTAGTTTAAACCGGTAAAAAGTTTTAATATAAATGCCGTATTAAGAGCTAATATGTTGGTTGCTTTGATTTCAAAAAAAAACTTGTGTACTTTTTTTTAAGAAAAAACAGATAATTATTTTGAAATATATATTTATTTTTGTATGTGTTGAAAATAACTCAACAAATCTTGAATGGATCTTTTTGATCAAATAAAATTATTCTTAGTTGTTTACGTTTTCATCATACCATGAATTCATTTACAATAATAAATTTTGACACTAAAAATTTGGTCGTTGTTTACGTTTTCATAAGGGAAGTCAATTCACAATAATGAGTTTTGACAGCAAACATGAGAAGCAGCTGATATTCCTGGAAGACCTTATTTATAGGCCTTGATCTGATCTTGCCGAAAAAATGTTTTAAGCCAACTGTCAAAAAATTGAATTATTAGTTTGTTGGAAATCAAGTCCTATTCGAAACGAAAACAGCAGTATTGGGTTTTTTGAAAGTGGGATATATAACCGCTTTGTTAGTTTTAAGATCATAGACTCAAGTTGTAACCAATGTGGTTCTGAGGTGACATTCCAAATTCTTGGAGGGTGTAAAATCGTTGAAGATGTTTTTTAACATAAGTTTATCAGCCTGTTTTTGTAAAATTCCAAACGAACGAATTCGAGTGACTTACGACCAAACTCCTTGGTTTTGAAAAATATGTCATTTATTTTGTTTTGAATCAGAAAACCTTTATAAACATAAATAAAGGTTTGGTCGTATGTCACTCGAATTCGTTCGTTTGGAATTTTACAAAAACAGGCTGTATGTTTTGACATAGCCCCAATATATAGGACTTTCATATTTGGCCTTCTTGAGCGAAGCAGTTTTTCCCAGAAAATGTTAATATCGACACAAGAAAAGATTCCGCCCAATTTTTATTATGTTGAAGGGGTCCTAGCTGTATTTTGGTCCGGAATTTGGTACTTCGTTCTCTCAGAGGCCCTCAACTTACAGGTGCATGTATTGACTAGGCAACGTCGGTAATTCAAATGTCCCAAAAAAGTTCTGACCCTTGGCCTTTTTATAACCGATTTCGATTGTATATTGTAATGTCGATTGCTAATTTAACATTCCAGATACTCAATAGACCACATTAAACATTTTTTTTTTTGTTTTTATATCTCCATTATCTAGCTGAGTCAACTTTTTCGTACGACTTTGTTGTAATTGAAATGAAATAGGCAGAAATATTTGTTTTTACATTTTTTGTGGTTTTTTATTTTCATTTTTGAAAAAATAGTAAAAATTTTTCATTTTTTAAAAAATTATGCAATTACGTTTTCTTCTCAATACACAATTGTAGTAGTAGGTAGATTAAACAAAAAATATATAATGTTAAATTAAAAAATATATATTATTATAATAAATTGCTTGTTTTTGTTTGTTTGTTTTAGAAATTACAAGAAAAAAGTACAATTTTTCATTAGATGATGATACAAATAATAAATCGGTTTCGAAAACATTGGAAACAAAAGAAAAAATTGCACAAATATTAAACTAATAAAAGCATGGAGTTTTTTGTTAAATGTTTTTGTTTTTCGTTTTTTTAATAATAATTTGTCTATTTTATAAATGTTTGTTGTAGTTAGGAAAAAAGTTTTGAATTTTCAAAAGAAATTCGTAATTTTTGTTTTGTTGTAATGGGGTGGTTGTTGTTGATGACTTTTTATAATTTGTTTTTTTTTATTTAAAAAGGCATTGTTTTTGTTTTAATTAATAAATCATATGTATATAAATTTTAAACTGTTTTTGTTTTTAAGTATACTCGTTTTATGTTTGTTTTTTTTTAATATGCCATCAGAAGAAGTATGACAAAACAAAAGACACAAAAAATATAATTATTATATTAAAAAAATGAAAAAAATAATAATAGTCTGTATACGTTTTGTATGTCATTCTTTTTTTTACTATATGTGTGTTTTTTTATTATTATATTAGGTTTTTTGTTTATTTCATATAAAAATCATGATTTCGTTAATAAACTCTTATGTTTCAATTTCTATTTTATATAAATTTTATATGATATATGTTTGTATGTGTATGTGTAGTATTTGTTTTTAAGTGTAAACTTGGCATCATTGTTATTACAATTATATATGTATATAAATTAAATTTAAAACTCAGCATCGCTCCAACAAAAGGCAAAAATATTTATCAACTAACAGACTGACAGACAGACGATGCGGGCTAACATTTTAAACACAAACTCAAAATCACTAGACAAAAATAATCAGCCACTGGTGGTGGCGGAAATGATGGACAGACCAGACAATCTTCGCTTCTCTCTTATATTGTGATTATGGTGGGTTTTTTCTTCTTGTTGTTTTTGTGGCAGTTGTTAAATACATTTGCATGTCATTGGATTGAGTTGGGTTTTCGTTCTTCTCTTTTAATTTTATTTCGCTTATAAAAACTATTGGATTTTTTATTAATTTTATTATTATTTTTTTAATTTTTGTTTTTAAGGAAGCGCACGAAACAAGTGTCAATGTGTTTGTTTTTGTGTTCATTTTATAGTAGATCTATTTGAATTTAATTCAAATATTTCCCCATTTATTTATGTTATTATGTATACGATTTTGTTTTCTGTTTGTTTCAATATTCTTCAGTGGGTTTTCGATGTCATTTTAAAATGTGATCAAACAGTCGACGGCGACGAAGAAGTAGAACAATAATAATAATAATGAATGTAGATGGAAGGTGGTAATGATGATTAATTTGCAAAGAGGAAGAAAAAAAAACTTGAGTTTTTCTTCTTTCTTCGTTAGTTTCGAGTTGTTACACACACGATTAATGGTTCTATGTTGCTGTTGTTTTACATTCGTTTTGTTGTTGTTGTTGTATTTTTCATCTTCCTTTCATATAATTAATTTAGTCGATAGTATTATTATTACACAGTATGTATTGTTAAGTATGTATGTATATATTTTGACAACCTTTCAGATTTTGACACCTTTTTCGCAAACAACTTCGTATGTATTTTGTTGCTGTTGTTGTTGTATTTGTGTTTGATGTTAGAGTTGTTGTTGTTGTTGTTTTAGTTTTTGGGACCCCAAACGGATGTCATGGGAGCTGCTGATACTGGTGCACCACCTACGGCTGGGAAATCTTCTTGGGATTGAGTATTTGGTGCTGAGGCTTTGCCGCCCTTCTTGTCTTGGTTTGTCTTCTCCCATGGGGCATCCTTAATGATGAATCCATTTTCAGCATTATTACCGGGTAGGAAAGCACCAACAGTCTGGGGTTGAGGTGAAGGTGGCAAGTTTTCTAAATAGTCACGTGCATAATCTTCAGCCATATTGAGGATAGCTTCCTTGGCATTTTCCACATCTTCTTCCTTGCCAATAATGGTGACAGCGTCGGGATTTGTCTTGGCCTCTTCGGGTGAGGGGAATTTAATATCGACCTGAAATTAAAATACCAAAAATAAACAAAAATTTCATTAGTCCATCGCCATCTCACAATTACAATTGCAGTACGATCAACAGTCCTCCAATCAACTCACCTTGTAATCTTCAATAAGCTTACGAATAGTTCTACCACGTTGACCAATAATATGCGAATGTATACGTGTATCTATTTCAATCACTTCACGGTGCAGATTTTGCATTTCACCAACAATTTCCATAATGGCGTCACGAGCTGCCTCCGCATTCGCCTGGTAGCCGGTTATGGTGATCGTGCTCTGGTTGGGATCACCACGCTTGGGCAATGATATGTTGACCTTGTGATCGGCACGCAATTTGTTAATGACGGCACCACGTTTTCCAATCAGTTTGGAATGGTATTCGGGATCAACATCGATTTGCAATGCGTATGAACGTAGCTCACGATCGGCACGATCGGCTTCATACTCCTCAATCATTTTGTCCAATGCCTTCTTGGCCTCGGCCACATGAGCTGGGGTACCGGATACCTTGACAATATCCGATTTAGCTTCGCTGGGTGGCAATTCGATGTGCACATCGTAGGTGGACATAAATTCGCGTACATTGGCACCCTTGGGACCGATGATGGTGCGGTGCAAATCATAAGGAACGGTTAGCTCTTCGACGACGGGTACCAAATCGATGAGAGCCTGTTTGGCAGCATTACACTTGTCAATGGGACCGGTAATGCGAATAATATCACATTGGCGCACAGGTTCATCGGTGGCAACACCGTCAATGCTGCCATTCGTGCCATTCTCCAAGCCCTCAACGGGTTCGGTGGCATCGCGATCGGGGAACTTGATTTGTACATCGTGTTCGGTGGTCACCTGTTGGACCTTTGAGCCACGTAGTCCCATAATGGTGCGATGCAAGCGTTGAGGTATGACTACTTCAATGGTGACCTGAGCCTCAAGATTGGCCACGATTTCGGAGATGCGTTGTTTGGCGGCCTCAATACAGTCCTTGGCACCCTTCAGAGTCACCTTATCGGAGTCGACACCGTGTTTGGGGAATGATATCATAACACCACCGCATTCTTCGGTAATGCGATGCAAGATCTCACCACGCTTGGCCACAAAATGTTTGTGGTATTTGGGATCGACGGTGATTTCACCCTCGGTGACCAAATCGATGTCCTTAATAATGGCCTCCAATTGCTCCTTGGCCTGCTTGACATTCTCCTCCTTGCCAATAATGGTGATGACCTCTTTGTCGGCATCGTCGGGTCCGGGGAAGATAATGCGGGCATTGGTGGCATCGCGTATTTTACGAATGGAAGCGCCATTTTTGCCAATGAGGAACTTGTGATGTTGTTGCTTGGCACGTACTTCGGCAGTGAAGGAAGCCAGCTGGCGTTCGTTGGCCAATTCCAAGAGCTGTGCCTTGGCCTTGAGCACGTCATCTTTGGGACCGCGGATGGTTACCTTGTCGCTCTTCGATTCGCTGGTGGGGAACTTGATTGAGACACCGCCGCACTCTTCCATAATGGACGAAATTAATTTGCCGCCAGTGCCAATGATAGAGTTGTAGTATTTGGGCGAGATTTGTACTTCTTCGGTAACGATGTCGGCCAATTCGTTCTGGATCTTCTGAATGCGTTCCTTGGCCTCAAGAACGTTCTCTTTCTTGCCGGTAATGACAATCACCTCGTTGGTATCGCCCTCGGCAGGAAGATCGATCTTGGTCTGGGTTTCGTCACGGATCTTCTTGATGTTAGCACCACCCTTGCCAATGATGAACTTGTGGAATTGCTTGAAGATGGGCACCTCCTCGAAGTGCGACGACTCCTGGATCTCCTTGACCAGTTTCAGGAGGTCCTTGTGGCACTTGTCCACCTCCTCCTTGGGGCCACGCAGTTTAACGATATCGGTGTTCTCCTGGGGCGTGGGAATCACGATCATCACATTCTTGTAACGGTCCTTAACTTCACGGATCTTCTCGCCCTTGGCGCCGATGATCTGGCGATGAAGGCGACGATCGATGATGACATCCTTCGATTTTTCATTTTCCAGTTTGTCGATTTTTTCTTGTAATTCAAGTTGAGCCTTCTGAACGCCCTCCTTGGGACCTTCGATGCGAATGTTGTTCTCGCCGTCACGTTCTTCGATGTTGATGTTAACATTGAGATCCTCCTTGAGGCGATTCACATTGGCGCCGGCCTTACCAATGATGTGCTTGTAATAGGCCGGGTTGACGCGCATCACAACAACGGTGTAGTTTTGCTGATAGTTGCTGACAATGTCGTTGAGGTAGGCAGCTGCCTTGTCAACATTTTCGGGATCACCCTCCAGCTTAATCTTGTCCTCAAGGCAGTTGACGTTCACATTGGGGCACTCTTCCTCCAGCTTCTTCATGTTGGCGCCCTTGCGGCCTATCACATACTTGTGAATCCAGTGGGGAGCGTCAATTTCGACCGACTTCGCCGAGTTGGCCTTTTCGTAGACCACAGTCAGGGCATTGCCCAAGGCTGCGGGGGGTCCACGCAAGGTTATGGTCTCCAGTGGCGAATCGAGTGGAGGCATTTCTACCGAGACTCCAGTGAATTGAAGAATTTCAGCAATGGTTGAACCCTTGGGACCGATAACATAACGATGTTGGGCCTTGGCTACCTCCACACTGACGGTGGTGCATTTCTTTTCCATTTCCTTGTAAATGGCTTCCACCTTTGCCTTGGCGGCGGCCACACCATCGGTATCACCCTTAATGATGATCTCATCCTTTTGCACCGACTGTGGTGGAACATTGACCTTGGCACCCGTCTCCTCCATGATCTTGTTCAAATTCTCATTGTAGGGACCAACAATGAACGGATGATAGATCTTAGGTACCGAAATACGATCGGTCGTATTCTTGTATTGTTCGGCCGACAATTGACGAATTTCCTGTTCGGCTTTTTCAATATCCTCCTTGGTACCGGCAATAGTTATAATATCGCTATCATCATTCTGATTGGGAATGGTGATTCTGGTGGCCGTGGCCTGTTCGATTCCACGCAAACGTTGTCCAGCCTTACCCAAAATGATACGATGATGATCCTTGGGTATGGAAATGGAACGGCTCGATTGAGTCGAGAAATGCATAAGAATTTTACGACGAGCATCGAGCAATTCGTTTTGTTTCGCCTTGATGAGGAAGGTGAGCGAATGATCTTTGCCGCTGGAAATTTCAATTTGAGCACCAGTTTCTTTCGAAATTTGAAGGCAAATACGTTTCGATTCGCCTTCGCCGAATTTCTCGGAGTCGGTTGATTTGCGTTCTTCGCCAGCCAAGCGTAAAATCTAGATGGTGAAAAGGGAGAGAAAAAGGGGGAGAATTAATAAAAATACCGAACGAATGGAAAATCCCCATAAAACTAATCATAGACATCTAATACATTCCAATTCTAAAACCTAATAAATTGCGGTAATCTATGAAGGAAATCATTATCACTGATATTTAGGGATTCAAATGGATTAAATTAAAATATTTGTTTAGGTTTTCTGGTCGTTTGGAGATGGTTTTCTTGAATATTACCGGTAAATATTTGCCGGGACATCCAGTTTTTTTTTAGTTTGTTTTGTCTCTCTCATTGTCCGTCAATAGATTCATGACTGAAGCCTATAGAGGTGATAACATTTTCTCAGGATACGTTGTTGCATTCCTATTTCCCGTCCTTACATTCAATTTATAGATTTTTTCATTTTCTACTCTTCAAGATTGCCCACGATTTCGGAGATTAATATTTAAGGTCATTTGACACCTTCAGGGTCACTTTATCGGAATCGAGTCGTATTAGGGGAATGATATTACATCACCCCCACATTATTTGATAATGTAATCCAAAATTCGGCGATGATTTCACACTCTATGACATAATCGATGGTCCTAAAAATTTCCATTTTCTTGTTTTCGGTTTTCTGTCATTACAACTCTTCGAAATTTCTAATTGACAGACACCATTTTAATGCTTATATATTCTGCCTGAAGAAAGGTGTTCCAGCTTGTGTAAGGCTATTTGTGGCCCTGAATGGTGGTTAGGTTTGGTTTAATACTTACATGAGTTTTTGTTGAGCTGCTTACGCGTACACATGGTGGACCGGCGGTATTGCCAACTGGAGCCGAGGTATTAGCTGGTAAAGCTGGGAACAAATCATCATAGCTAAAGGCGGCATTACCGCTGGCGGTTCCATCGCTAGTGGTGCTAGTTGGTGTAGCTACCGATGTTGGTGATGCTGGTGGCTGTTGTTCCGTTTGCTCTTGATAGTTGTTGGTGGTGGTAGTAGATTGTTGTTCTTGATCTTGTTGTTGTTCAACGTTGATTGCTAATAAAATGGCAGGGAAAAAGAAATAAAAAAAATTAAATTAAAATTTTAAAAGTAGAGATAGATTGTCTTTTTCAACAACAATTAAACTTACCGTTAGATTCTTCCATTGCTGCTGCTTGCATTACTTAAAAAAAGAAAGAGAAAAGTCCTTTTTCGTTCCAAGTCGTTACAGTACCACTGGAAAAAGAGGAAATAAGTAAACAAATTAAAATTAAATACGATTTTGTTTTACAAGTTTTTTTCTGTTATTTTCAAGAAAACAAAAAATAAATAATAAAAAATTGAGGGAGAAAGTATTTCTCACATACAATGACACCGCACCACCTTCGCCATTCACAAACACTTGATATCTGAGAGAAAATGTTGATGTGGTTGGAAAAAGAAAAAAAAAACAAATATCAACATGTGCCGACAGCAGCAGCAGCGAAGTGACACTACATACCGGCAGGCAGCAGAACCACTAGCATCTCAAAAAGAAATCATTTTCAAAAAAAAAAAAAAAAAAAAAAAAACAAATTTCTATTGATATGGCCTAAAACTGATAAGAAATAAAATAAAACACACACGCACACACAATGATATGATGTGTGTGTGTGGAGTTATCACAAGAATTGATGCTTTGGAAGGAGAAAAAAATGAAATATTGTTCTTATCATTGTTTAAATAATGTTAATGGACGGACAGATTACTTCATAACTAGTTTTTGGATGGCGTGGAACATTTCAAATATATAAATACATAAATATGTATGTACTTATGTTGGTACATTGTACCTTGCATGAACTTTTCTCTGATAAGGTAATTGAAACGCCGACGAACAGCAGCAGCACCAAGCAAGATCAATTCATTGACAATTTCCAATAACCACCACCACACTCAATAGTTCGCTATTCATTGAGAGAGTGTGTGTGTCTTTGGAGAAAAAGTCACTCATTTGTCTCTGTCCATTAGTATGGTTGTTGTTTTTCGTCTTATTGTTATTAAGAATGGATGAAAAACGACATTCGTGTACACCATATACACCACATCATCATTATTGTTATATTCTATAAGCAAACAACAATAACGATTATGTTATGGTGTTGTAGAACAGCAACAACAAATAAATTGACTTAATCTAAAGCAGTAATGCACAAACCCATACGCTAGCATAGTTTTCATATTCATTTCATATTCATAGACATATGTCAATTTCGAACCCAATATGTTTATTTTGTGTCTCGAATTCTTTCCTTCAGGAGGTATAATTAGATGGGGGAGATGCCAAAATGCTGGCCGATATATTTCATTATCGTTAGGTTCGAGTTTTTTATAACGATTTCCTAAGAAAACGGAATGATTACAACCGATGGCTAAATCGTGTTAGAATTCCATAATTTGTAGGGTAAAACTGACTATTTCGAGTAACGACTATCCTCTATGCTATGGTAGAATACGCCTATATAGGGGGACAACCCCTACACACGGGACTAATCAGCTAACTATTTTAATATAAGAAGGGGTTTTATGGGAACTACCCCCAAAAAGGGGAAGAATATTAATAATTTTTGGTAGAAAGATTTGTTATGCGACTACAATATACCAACGTACAGAGAATTCGGTTGAAAAACGCGATCAAGAATTCCAAAATGCTGAAAATTTGGGGTGTCCTTATATGGGGGCTACCCGAAAAAATTACCTATATTTATAGTTTTTAGTGGAGAAATTTGGTAACCAATAAGAACCCATTGTACTAAATTCGATTTTAAAGCGCACTTAAAACCCCCCAAAATACCGTAAATAGGGGGGTACCGTTATATGGGGTTATATCGGTTCAAAAACGCGCTCAATATCCCAAAAATATCGAAAATTGGGCGGTACACTTATATGGGGGCTATGCCAAAACGTGGACCGATATAGCCAATCTTCGAACTTGACCTGCCTACAGACAAAAGAGGACTCTATGCACAATTTTGACGATCTATCTCAATTCTATCAGAAGATAGCGTGATTACAACAGACGGACGGACTTGAATTTTTCGATGAGTTACAAACGGAATGACAAAATTAATATACCCTCCATACTATGTTAATATATTTACCTTACATAGATCAAGGTTGAGTATGGGAAAGATTGGTCCACTTCTTCCGGTTCATTTTAGTAATAATTCCAAGCTAATAGATTGTCTGGTTCAATGCAAACTTTGAAAACCGTAATATTTTTCCAAACAACCATTAAATTCTAAGATGGGGTCTATAGGGCAATCTCTTCTGGAAACTCTCCAAAAACATACACCTTATAAAAACCAATAATAAAACCATTGTTTAATTCCGCAAACCTCCAGTCGGCTAGTAACTTCTGTTTGATATTCTGATTATCGTATCATTACAGTTGTCCACCATGGATGTCATGAAGGTATCGTAAGTCGGAAAGTTCCTCAATTCGACTGAAGGGGAAATAATGCCAATATTAGAGTTGAGAGTTGATGTTTTCACATTTTCCAAATCCATAGGTCATAATTTTATTGGTGGCGTAAAATTTATTTAGATTTTTTTTAATAAAATTTTGATATTATCGCGACTACTTAAAATTAATTATATAGTCATTGAAATTTTGTCAATCTATTATAGAATAAAAATGATGTAAAATATGTATGAGAGAATGCTCTCTCGTGATTTATTTGGGCATCGCTGATCTTCTAAACACTCTCAACAACATAGTTAGTTTGTTGGCTGACTGGCCTGATATGAACCATTTTGCCGAACGAATGTGTGAATGCGCGCAACGCTTACGCTGGCTGGCTGACTGACTGGCAGGCTCTGCTTGCGCAGTCAGCAGAACTAATACTTGTTGTCAGTCGGATGGATGGATAGATAGATGTTTGGTATTTCTCGATTTCCTTTGTCTGTGTGCGTGCGTACGTTTGGTTGACACACATTTTTGCTGCTTCGAACAAAAATCGTGTGTTTCAATTTATTAAGAGAGAGGAGGAGGGAGGAGAAGTATGGATGAATATATGGGAAAAAGCAGACGGTAGCCAAGCATCAACTAGTAGGCAAAGTAAAAGCAAGTTCTTTAACAAGAAGAAACCGCTTGAGAAAAATATATATATGTACATATGTGGCTAACAAATCACAAACTCTCATTGAGGAATTTCAAAAAGAAATAACAACGACAATGAAAAAATGGGTTACACAGGCGACACTATTAATGAGTATAGAACAAGTGTTTCATATTTTTTTTTTTTTTGGGAATTATTTCACTAGACATTAACACACACTGAAATGATTTGAAAAACAACTGGAAAAGTTATACGTATAGCATATAGGACTCAAATTTAATTCAAAATGTTATTAAAAAAATTTTAAAATTTAAATAACTCCATTTGTGTTAATGAAAACATAAAATGATATCGAATGAAATAATCTAAATTACTATTCACATAATTCGAATTAAGGGCCCCATACACTATACATCATGCGGTACAGCATTTATCATAGTATGTGTTATTTTTTGAAAGTTTATTTATGTGTGTGTGACACACACAATGCATGAAGAAAATCAAAATAGTTTTGATTTTGAAAATGAAACCCTATCAATCTGGTGAATAATATTCATTTTGAATGTTGTCAGTAAATAATTTTGTGTACAACCAAGGTGTATTTAATAAGGTGTATGCATCAGATACAACAACAAATATTTTACAAAAACAACATTGTTGTTATAGAAATTAAATTGTCATGCTGACAATAAGTTTTTGACAAAAATAAACCAAAACAATTATTAATTTATTTTTGTCAAGAACTATTCTTTGAGGAATAATTAATGAATTTTTGTATTCTTGGGTTATTGGCGGGTTTAGGTCAGTGAAAAATAAAGTTTAAGACCTGATCGCGATTAATTTTAAGCCACCCACATGTAGCCCAAGGCTCTTTGTGATGTTGTTTATATTGTGGACTCAAATTTAATTCAAAATGTTATTAAAAAAATTTTAAAATTTAAAAAATGTTGAAACAAAAAATTACAATATAAACAACATCAAATCTTGCCTTCATAAAGAAAATTTAAGGGCATAAATCCCCGGCCAAAGACTAAATCATGGAAATTGTGTTGACCACAAGGGGCCGATTCCAATATAGGCTAACATAATCTCCTTGATTTTATGAGTAGATGGGATTTCTGGACAGATTTCCACACATAACATAAAATATGTGGACCAATACGCGAACGGGGTTATAACTGAGCCTAGGTTTCCATTCCGTCCGCCTCTATGAATGTAGTTTACTTGAATTTTTATTATTAAAAAAACATAAATTTAAAGACCATTTTTGAACTTGAAATGTAATAATGTTTTTTGACAATTTGCTTTACAAACAATAAAGAAAAAAGTTTGAAACCATATGATTGTCACTTACACCTTATTAAATACACCTTGTGTACAACAATAATAAATTTGTGACGGAATAAAAAACAACTTAATTTACGACTCAAAATTCATTTTTTGGGACAAAAATCGATTTTTTGGAATAGTGATTGAAGTTTGCCATACACTAGTCAATCTCACATATACAAAAAGGGGTTCATCGGCATGACGGCATGATGTATAGTGTATGGGGCCCTTTAAAATATAATTTTTGAATTTCAGCTGAAAAGTTTTCAATATTAATTTTTGTAAATTAAACAAAGTGATAAATTTTATGAAAATTCCATGGAATAGGTATTTTCGATGTTTTCAAAATGTTTAGACACATTTTGCAATCGAATTATCTGTTATTTTATATGTGTTGAGTTCTAATTGGGTAACAAATTTCCATAGAAAATTATTAATTATTAAATTTTAATATTTTCAAGTTCCAAGTTGACGGAAATTTGATATTTTGAGTTCTATATTTCTAGGTGTATATAAAAATATATTTTTTGGTCATCTATTTTCATTTTCAAAATCAGGAAATTTAAGTATTTTTTTACAGATCACGTGTGATCTGATCTTTAAAAATAGTTCCATTACGAATGAATTCTATTAATCCATTAGCACATTGCCGATTTATTTATTTCATACGAAAACAACAAATTGTTGTTGTGATTTGTAGGCTGTTGAAAAAATATGCCACCAAGATCGTGTGATTTTCCATTTTACCTCTAAGTATATGTCAAAAGTTAAGCAGACAAACCAGCACCATGTTGTTTACGGATGGACCATTAAAGACGTCGATGCGCTCAACATTTAGACATATGGTATGTTTTCGAACATACATTTGAAAAGTGTATAAAGGGAAAATCTAAATCAATGTCGCTTAATTTAAGATACTTGCATGTTCTGAAACAGTGATCAAAACCTCACTTTATGATTTAAAATTTGCTACTCTTTTTGCTTCTAATGTTCTCCTAAAATATTAGTTGTCATTTCACAAAACAATGCGGTGATATACCGCTTGCCATAGCATAACCTCATTCCATAATATAACAAACAGCATAGATTCATTTATCATTCATGTCAACATTTATGAAATTTCGTTACGGTTCTATTCGCACATCCCCAACAACTTATTTTTGGAACTTGGTTTTTTTGATAGGTGGGTTGGTGTTTTTAACGCTTAACAATAATTATAAAAAAGTAAAACATAAAGATGTTAATATATTATATTATAATTCACATAAATACTTACTGTACTGTAAAATCCAATAAATCCGGCCTATTTGTTTTCTACCGTAGCAAAATCCAGTTTGATAACTTGGCGTTAAATTCTAAATAAATAAGCCCAAAATTAGTATTGAATGTAAAAAAGAAGAAATACAAAAGCGGAATTGCATTTACGGATCTTCGGCACTTGTTGTTATTGGCTTGATTGCAACATGTATTATCAAAAGACAAATAAAAAACATCATTCTATTTGATCACGTCACATTATTTGTGTGTGTGTGTGTCTTGGCTTGGGTAGAAAAAATAAAATAGTACACAGGCTTAGCAAGGAGCTTGGAAGATACGTTATTCAAAACAAAAAAGTCCAAAAATTCCAACTTTATAGATACAATTTGTGTACTGTTATGTTTTTGTGTTGTTGTTATGATTGCCGCTGCACAGCTGCTACGTTGGCAGTTACTGCAAATATTTTACTGACGTGACAGCGCCTGCCAGCAAGTCAGCCAATGAAGTATGAAATGGCCTTCCCACCAATCAAATCACAACAAAGGAACGAACCCAAGTATGCAAGATCTAGTATTATTTTCTTTTGAAATATCAGCAGCAACGATGGAAAGGAAACTAGAAAACCCCCTTCATCCACATCCATCATCACTAGGCAACCAGTCAGCCAGCCAGCATGATGAGACGAGATGCAAAGGAGAGGAAATTCATGCCAGCCAGATGTAAGAAGTAAGTGTGGTTTTATATTTGTCGGGATCGGGATCGGTGTTGAGAGTTTCTCTCTCTTGAGAGAGTAATTAGAGTTGCGCTATTTTTAATTTTGTAACAAGCGTACTTTTTGTTCACAAAAGGTACGAATTGACATAAACGTACCAAAACAATAATTAGATTTTTTTATTATTCTTGAATACATTTACGCTTAAATTATAACATATATTATTTATGCAAATAACTGGTATAAATATTGGCCAATATTTATCGATAATTATGATTTATTATCATTTGAAGTAGAATTTCAGGTACCTTTTCGTACTTTTTTGTTCCTACCTGTGGTAATGTTTTCCAACACAATTCACAATTTACCACTGAGAGAGAGAGAAACTCTCAACACCGATACCGATCCCGACAAATATAAAACCACGCTAACTGGTGACTGACTGAGCAACAGTCGTGGCAGAGCACAACCATTCATTACAAATAGTAGTACGTGAACACAAACACACAGCTACAACTCTCATCGTGCTCGTACACGCACGCATTCATGCACATGTACACTACACACCACATCACACACACCGACCACCCGACCGAACGACAACGACCACTCGATCATGTGTAATTCAAAGTAAATGACTTCGACTACTTCATGCTGCTGCGTTCGCTGCGGACGCCAACGTCAACAGCATATATGCAGCAGCAAACATTACAATTAAGTAGGAAATGCCACAAAACAAAAAAAGTAAAGAGCAAAACTATATGGGAGAATGCAAGAAGAATTTTCAATTCCATTAAAATGCTTTGGAATTGGATTCTATATTTTCTTAATATGCATATTTTGCACTTATTTTGTGCCGCGCCATGCCAGGTTGATTTGTGGTTAATAACATTTTGTAAGTTTACACATCACACACATCTCTCATCTAATGATGCGTGTGTGTACCGCCATGTAATAATTAAGAATTAAAACAAAACAAAATGGTGGTGAAAAATACAAGATATTTTCCTTAAAAAATTAAGAAAAAGAAACACCACAAGAAAAACTCAACACAAATACCAAAAAAATGTGAACTAGAAAATAAAGCAAAAAACGTGTTTTTCATCGTATTGTGTGTGGACTTTCGTCGTAGTAGTCGTTGTCGTGGTTGTTGATTTGGTGTTTGTGGGCAAAAAGACAGATTATGACTGACTGCACGTTGGTATCACCAGCAGCAGCAGCACTACAAATGAAAATCTGCAGCGTATGAAAAAGAAATGTTCGCTGGCATATTTTTCGAAATTGGTTCCTATCACAACAACGATGATGAACAACAACTTTCAATAAGAATTATATAAACTTATGCGCTTGGAGCAAACTTTAGTATTTAATTTTTTCACGCTCGTTTCGTTCGTTCGCTCATTTTTTCAACAACACATTTGGACTTTATTATCAATCAATTTGGACTTGGTCTTATGGCTGGCTTTTTTTCGGTCGCGCTCTGCTTAAGAAAGGCGACCTGAATTGTGGCCGCCCGTGCCTGCCATTGCCTTTCTTCTTCGTCGTCGTCGTAATCTTTGTTTTTTGTCCATGTATGTGTGCTCTTTTGCTTCACTTAATTTCTTTTCATGCTTCATTTTGATGTATTTCTTTTATTTTCTATTTTAAACGTCAATTCCCGCAATAATTCATGTTTATATTTACAAATTGATTCTTGTTTCACCACGATTACTCAGTTAAAACAATTCCATTTAAATACAGGAAATTAATTAAAATATTGAATCAAATAGAAATGCAACAACAACAACAAATGCCGACCCGCACAACCGAATTTACCGACGTCAAGCAAAGTATTGGAGAATATGCTCTAAATGTCAACGTCAACAAAGTTTGACGTTTCGTACAACTGAAAACGTGGCCTCCTCGAATTGACAACTTTGTAACGTTGCCATATTGTTTGGGGGCGGAGATATAGAAATTCTTGATATATGATTAGTCGCTGTACGTAACGTGATGTGGTGTTTTTGCGAAACTGTGAAACGATTATTAGTGAAAAACGACCTGTGACGGAGTTTCGGATAAAGGAATATCGTCATTACATTCCAGGTACAATAATACAAGGTAGGGTAGCTTGAGGTGAATAATAAAAAAACTATGTACATGGTGGCTTCTTCTGCTAAATATAAAATAAGTATACGCAACAAGTGGTTGTGTTTATTTGGCAGCTGTGCCGTACCTTGTAATAATTATACCATGGTTGTAACTTATTCTGTCAAATATAAAAAAGCATACGCCACAAGTGGTTGTATTTAATTGACATCTTTTTCAACAAATAAACAAGAAAAATTAAGGAAAGGTTATGATTTGTTCTCAAACTCCAATAGAGAACGCAGTAAAATGTTTGTTTAACCCATAACAAAAACCAAAATGTGACACGTTTAGACCATGGCACAATGAATAGGTTGACAATTTAGAGCAGCTGATGTCTTGATTAACTGTCAAAGTGCGTAATTTCTACATGAATTCGATGCGCATTGTTGCCAACCATGTGAAATATTATAAGGAAAAATTTGACAGATGGTTTTTGATACATCACCTTATTATTGCATCATGGTTTATGGTGTTTCTACACGATATGTATTTTACATATGTGCTGTCACTTTTTTACATATGGAAATCGAACTCGTCATGTGAAACATACGGAAATGTGTCAAAACGATATGCAATTACATATGTATTTTTTTCCGAATAGGACGCGCTCTATTTTCGTATGTGAAACATAAGGAAATCAGCTGTTTGAATGAAACACATTGTTGGAAGCAAATATTTCAATTGCAATTCAAAAAAAAGGATGAAAAGGCAACAATTACAAATTATTATTTCGTTTGTAGGTGTTTAATAAAAAAATGATGTTGATTTAAGAAAAAATAAGTGTTTTTTTGTTTATAGGTTATGTCATATGTAAAATACATATGCCAATTTGAACACAAAAATAAATGTTTTGTGTACACTGCTAATTTTGACACACATACGGAATTACATATGGATGAAATAAGTGACAGCACATATGTAAAATACATATCGTGTAAAAACACCATTAGACTGTATATTATCATTTGATTCACAAATATTAAAAGAAAACAAGTATTTTGTAGATTAGCTGATTTGTTTTTGTCTTTTACTAAAACAATTAATCAAGTCCAATAATAATGTAAACAAATTTTGACAGGTACTTTTTAAAAGAAAAATCTTGTCTGTTCTGCTTATGGGTCAGATTTCATTTCCTCTACTACGTCTTTGCTTTTTGCCCTCCTTGCTAAAAATGTTAAAGAAAAACGTAAGGGTTTACAATTTTTTGTAGCAACTATTAAAGTTTAATTACTGTCATACTCACCTTTTTTAAAAAGAACATTTACAATATTACTCATGGGATATTCCACCAATAGTGCCACAAAAAAAGCTACAATTGCTGACAAAATAAATGCCAGAATTATTTGACCAATCTATAAAGTATAATAAAAAATTGTATACTATAAAATTTAGATGTGGTTATTTTTTTCTGCATACCGCAAAAAATGCATTCACGTAGAAGGGTTGGCGATAAAATCCAAATAATAGTCTTACAATGTTTATATGCCACAAATACATTTGAAATGTCAATCTTCCCAAAATCCGAAATATATTTAAATTTGCTATATCATATGCAATCCCTGAAATATATAAAAAATTAAAATTTAATCATGTTTAAATGTGTTCAGTGTAATTAATGATGTGTGCCACGTTATGAAGATTTGTCTGAGGGATTTATTAAGTACAATGTGATTGTGCTATAACAGTAAATACAAATCAGCTGTTAGACATTTATGTCGTCTTATTTCATATATTTAAGACTGAACATTAATACTTACATCCAAATTTCAATATCATGCTCATTAATGCAATTCCCCCGAAAATGATCCATAAATTGCGATAGAACGCCGCATAGAGGGCTACCCACACGGAAGACTCCTGTATACTTTGGGAATCAAATATAAGCCCACTAAGTAAAATACCAAACCCTATTACCATCATTATCAACAAAAATGGCACTTGAACTTTGAGGAGGCCAGCATATTTTCCACATTCTCGCTTCAGTTCTTGAAATTTCGAAGAATTGGCGTAGATTTCGGCACAAATAATACCCATTAAATAACCACCTAGATTGCAGTAGAAAGGAAAATAGGTTTTGTAATAGGTTTCAGAGTTTTGAAAATAGAAATAACGATAATATCTGTAAATAAGTAGGGAAAATAATAATTAAAAAAAATAATAAATGTGTAAATCAATCCACATACTCTGGAGTTGCACGGGGTATCGGTTGCAGTTGATAATTATAGGTAAGTACACCTGGTATGATTATTGCACATAGGCCGAGTAGAATATATAGATATTTCTTAGACCATTTAAATCTGAAAGTAGAAAGAGAAATCGAATGTAAATATTTCTACAACTTTCAGACCAGGAAATGGTACTAACTTTGCAGTGACTATTAATATTATCAGATACAATTCGAACAACTGACAATCTGCAGCTAAATACCATGTATGATGGGCACACTATAGAAATAAAGGAATACATTAAAATCTTGTTATAGTTCATTTACATTGTACCGGATTGCGTTAACCCAGTGCTTTTAAATTGTCAATTCCCTTGTATATATGTCAAATAAATCCTCATAAAGTAGGTTAACCCTGTAATGTAATCTTGTGAATCTTGTTAATCTATCTTATACTAAAGGGCGGGTTAAGACTTTGACCTCTAAATCGACTCGATTTGTAAAACGAGTTACAAAATTCCAGCAGTTTAGACTAGTGTAAAATTGATGTAAAGTTACAGTCAGCTGTCAATGAATATTTTCACAATTTCAGAAATACACCTGTTTTCACATAACCTTAATCATGATCTGAATGTCAATCTGCTGATCCAAATACGAAGATAGATAAAAATTAATAAAATTATTTGGTCTGTTCCAGTACTTTTTTTAATAGTAAATCTAGTAAAAAGGAAACAAATCAAAATTGCTCTAGTAAATATGCCAAAATATACTTCAAAATCAACATAACAGCCAATCAGAAGTAGACATTCCTGTTTACAATTTTTTACTCGACAAAATTTCTCGAGTAAAAAGTTTTCAAAGAGAACACCATTTTGTTTTGTGCTCTCTTAAATGTGAGTCAATGTTTTACCAGTTTTGTGGGTTGATGAACGGTTTTCGTGTAAAAAGTTGGAAAACATGTAAAATGAGTAGATTCTTTTAGGTTCTGGAACGGAACTATGGTCTATATCACTTATTTTACATTTCACACACAACGCAAACTTTTATTTTCAATTTGCAAAAAAAAAATATTTTTTGCACAAATTAAAAATGTTGTAGATCAGCTGATTTTCATTTATATCATGATTAATATATTTAACCGACTCGATTTAAATGGTAAATGTAAATGAACTTTATGTGGATAAATTTCGTATGATAAATCGATGCGAATTCAGCTAGATTTATAGCACGTTTAGACTACTAAATCCACTTGATCTCAAATGTCAATTCTATGGCGTCATTTTAATAATTGACGTTTACGCTATGGAATTGATATATGATTTTATTTAATTTTAATATAACTACTTACACTATCCTCCATCATAAAGTTATTAATCATGAAAATATTTTTCCACCAATATTGAGAGCAAAAAACTCTTTCACCTTCGACGATATGAGTCCACATTGGTCCATTTCCCAAATGACTTAATAGAGTAACATTGAAGAGAATTAATAGAGCCAGGGAAGGAAGTAATCTGGTAAAAAAAAAGACCGAAAACGTAATTTTAAAATTAATTAAATTATGTTTACATTATCATAATTGAATGATTTTTCACAACAATGGCATATTTAATATATATGTTACAGAATAGCACTACTGATTTGTACAACAAAGAATTCCATTCCAACTCTTTAGACTTCTAAATCCACTTGATTTCTAATATCAATTTCATAGCGTATCAGCTGACTGTCATTTATATATTATTTTAATATTAGTACGCGTTTAGACTAAAAAATCCACTCGATCTCAAACGTCAATGCCATTACATATACGTCACGTTAATCCAGTTCAAAAATCCAGTGGATTATATTTGAAGGATTCAAATGAAGGATTTAATGTAAAAAAAATTTTAAAAAATATTTACCTTAAGTAGCGTTGTAAAAATACATCAACATACACCAATACACAATAATTATATTTGGTTTGCGGTGTAATTGGCTTCTCCCCATCAAATTTTAGTTTCATAAAGAATCCCGTTAATATAAAAAATATTTGTATTAGAGTACTGCCATTTTGAAATAACATCGTTACAGAACGTTGTAGAAATTCTTCAATAAATAGAGGGTTTTCAAGCGGTGATGCTAGGACAAGCATTAATGCATGAGCCCATATTACAAAGAACATAGTGAAGACCCTAAATAAATAGGTAAATTGAAACTGCTGATGGTCATCATTCGATGACGTTAGTTTTTTATAATTTCTGGCAATTGAAAAGGATGTTAGCACAGATGTTAATATGGAACCTAAGGATTAAAAGAGTATAATGTTATATTTTTTTATTATCTCTAAAATTATTTGGGAGAATACATACCTTTGCTATCCAAAGATTTGCTATAATAATCAAAGCTTGTAGCGGGTGTTGAGGATGTTTGTTTGCACTTTAGATGATAATCATAAATCGACGAGGCAACATTGAATAATATCAATAATAGCAATACCAAAAAACCAATTGCCTCCAAATATCCTAAAGATATAGGAAAACATATGTATGAAAAATAAATCCGAGCCTTCAAATTTTATTTGTAACCATGGTACAATAATACAAGGTGGAATAACTACAAGTGAATAACAAAGAAGCAACTCTGTAAGTGGTGGCTTCTAAAGTCAAATATACAATAAATATCATGGCACAATGAATAGTTAGTCCATTTAGAGCAGCTGATGTCTTGATTAACTGTCAAAGTGGGTAATTTTTACTTGAATTCGATGTGCAGTGTTGCCAACCATTTGAAATATTATATGGAAAAAATTGACAGATAATCGAGACAAAAACAAAGGTTTTTGTTGGTATACATCACCTCATTATTGCATCATGATAAATATGTACAGTATTATGACATAACTATACAAGGTAGTCTCATTTGAGAAATTGATAATGGCAACACTTTTTAATTTGGAATTCATATATCAATTTCAAATAAAATGAAAAATAATTTCCATAAAAGTTTATGTATGTTTTAAGTATGGGTTTAAATTGTCATTTGCTTTGCATATATGTCAAATAAATCCTCATAAAGTAGGTTAACCCGGTAAAAAGTTCTAATGTACAAGGAGTTTAAATTCCATAAAATTGTATGTATGTCGATTGGAATATTTTCAATAAATTAAACAAGTATGTTTCCTAAAACTGAACATTGCTCTCATGTTTTAACCACGGTTGTTACATCTTATATTTATAAGTTTTAGATGTAATTTCCCAATTTTTACCACTGAACACATTATATGCGTACCGGTATACTACCTTGTATAATTATGCCATGGGAATACTTTCTCAGCCATAGCTTAATAAACAGGTTGTCCATTTAGCGCCACTGATGACTCAATTAACTGTCAAATAGCGTAATTTCTACTTGAATTTGATGTGCAATATTGCCAACCACGTGAAATATTATAAGGAAAAATTTGACAGATGGTCGAGACAAAAACAAAGGTTTTTGTTTTAATACATCACCTTATTATTGCATCATGTTCTCAGCATAGACAATTTTCTTATACTAGGTTTACTATTAAAAAAACACGCTGTCAATATTTACCTATTTGGAATGATGATGTATTCTCATATGTCTTACAATATTCCACAAATGTGCGTAATGTCAAATTGTATTTGATTTGAAATACAAAATTGGCACATTTATCCAAAATGGCGTACTCTTCACTAACATCCAACACATTCGAATCAGTTTTATATATCCTCTGATAATATTGTATTATCTATAAAAGAAGCACCGTAAGTAATACAAAATTATATCTTTTTGCATTTCACTTGCCTCATCGTATGTTGTTAAATCACGATGTTGTTGTCTGTTATTGATGTTACTTTTACGAATATTCGAATCTGAGTTGTTTAACATTTCCATGCATTTATCAACACATAAACCCATAAATATATAATCGTGACGATATCGATGCACCGTGTCCTTTGAATATTCCTCTATTTGATGCCATAATTCCGAATTATCAGCTTCAATTTCGCCAAATAATAAACAATACTTAGCAGAGTCATCTGATCTTATGAAACAATCGTCATAATTGTCCAATGTATGCAATGGAGGCAATTGGCGATATGCTGTAACTGAAAGAGTTTGGCTTCAGATTATGATTTCGTCCGTCGCAATTTTAATGAACTTATAGAACAAATGAATTATTTTATAAATAACTCACGATTTGTTTCACTATGAATATTCCTTATTGCAATTAAAAACAGAATCATTCTTAACGACGACATTTTCTATACCGCCGTCAAGTTACTTTAATACTGAATTAAACTATTTCTCAAATATAGCTACATTCTAACAATCTATTAAATATATATGACACGCATAAAAGCATATTGAATGATGGTCATATATAATTATTGATTATTTTTTTCTTCCAAATATTAATGAGATCTAACATGCAAAGAAAATACAACTATCTAGTCAAACTGGAAATAGATTACACACACATTTACAGAGGTAAAAGTGCAATGTATTAATTCGCATTGCTGGCTCAATTTTCATTGAATTAAAAAAATAACAATTAAAATTATTAGGCTTAAATCTGTCGTGTTAAGAAAAGCTAACGTGCAACATAAATTAAATATATATTTGTGCTACAATTTCTGTTTTTGCAACAAAATATTTATTGTTGGAGTGCAATTCCTATCAAAATTATGCGAATATTGATTGAAAAATTGCCACACAAATTGCGAAACCATGTATAGATAAACAAATAACAGCTGAAAAATCAACATTTTATCATTTTGCTTTAAGTCGTAAAGTGCATTTAGATTTATGAAATCCGAAATATATATATTGTTACGTTCTTGGATTTTACTTTATCCCGTGTAGACGTTGTTTTATTTCCCGATACAGTTCGTATCAAATAAAACGCGGGTTCTTTCAGATTACGATTATTACAATGACTTTATTCACACAACTTTACTTTGCACTTTACTTTACACGACGGTTTCAAATCTGATTCACAACTGACTAACTGCCTTTCCATTTCCTCTATTTATATGAGCCTTGCCTGTCGCTATCTAGGCCTAGATTACGAACAATCTACCAATGCAACAAACACAAAAAAACTTACATTGAGTGAACAATAACAACACATACAAACTTACATTGAAAAATAACAACAACACATATTAACAAAGAAAGAGGAATTAAGCGATCATCAATGATGACGTTTAACAAGAATTGTACGTCAGCAACAAAATAGACAATGAAAGAGGAAATGGAAGGATGTAGAAAAATCTATACAGTAGTTGTTGTTGTGAAGTTATTCAAATAAACTGCGTAGTAGAAATTTACGTTACAATTCAAATTCTTAAATTAACGGAATTCATCTAAATTAATCTTAAATCTAAAGTTATTTTCGTAACAATATATATATATATATATATATTATGTCATGTATAATCCACTGGATTTGGAAGCTGCATAAGACGTATACGCGATGGAATTGACATTTGAAATCGAGTGGATTTAGCAGTCTAAACGCACTCTTAACAGCTAGGATTTGGTATCTCAATTTACAAATCGAAAGCGTCAGATTTCGTCAATTGTCAATTCCCTTGTATTCATATCAAACCAATCTTCAGAAAGTAAGTTAACCCGTTAAAAATTCTAATGTAAAGCCGTTTTATTTGTTAAGTTTCTTGCACTTATAAACTGTTGATAATAAACAAAAAAGTGTTGATAATAAATACCAAAAAGCTTGTCAAGACTTCCTATTTAAAATTTTTATATTGTTTTGGGTGTACGCATTCATATTATTTCTCGAAACCCTATGCTATTTCGAGATAATTTAAAATTCAACCCTGCGTTTGGACTACTTCTAAAAGTACTATGGAAATATTGTCATAATAAAGCCAGTAGAATGTAAACGTACTATAAGATTTGGTCTCATATATTTTAATACCATGGAATAATGAACCAAATCTAAGGCCGTACGGTAAGACCATATGATTTCAATTTTGACTAAATTGTATGAAAAAATGTAAATAAAAATTTGACCGTTTGGGGGCTTTTCTGCTAGATATCAGCTGCTTTTCAAGTTTGCTGTCAACAAAATCCATTATTATTAATTGACTTGAACAGCATTTACATTAGAACTTTTTGCAGGGTTAACATACTTTATGAGTATTCATTTGACAAATACGCAATGGAATTGACAATTAAAACCCACTGGGTTAACTAAATCCGGTACAATGTAAACATACTATTCCATTATGAAAACATAAACAAAGTTCAAAGACCAGCTGACTTTCGCTTGCTGGGTGACCTTTTTGTAGATATTTTCAAAATCGAGTTGGGAATATGATTTAAAACCATAAATTTCTTCTTATCAATGTTAATAAATTCATCTGTAAAAAAATGGATTTTAGAATAATTCCGTTCCAGAACCTGAAAGAATCTACTCCTTTTACATGTTTAGCAACTTTTTACTCGAAAACCGTTCCTCAACCCACAAGACTGGTAAAACATTAACTCAAATTTAAGAGAGCACAAAACAAAATTGCTCGATAAATGTGTTCGAGTAAAAATGGTAAACAGGAATGCCAACTTCTGATTGGCTCTTATTTTGATTTTGAAGTATTGCCATCTAATTTTGGCATATTTACTAAATATTTTGATGTTTCCTGCTTCTAAAACTTATAAATATAAGATGTAAAAACCAAGGTTAAATCTTGAGAGCAATGTTCAGTTTTTGAAAATATGTTTTGTTTAATTTATTGAAAATATGCAAATCGACATACATAACATTTTATGGAATTTATTGTTCATATTATTAAAAATTGATAGATGTGTTCCATGACACAATAACTAGGTAGTCCATTTAGCGCAGCTGATGTCTCGATTAACTGTAAAAGGGGGCAATTTTTACTTGAATTCGATGGGCAATGTTGCCAACCATGTGAAATATTATAAGGAAAATTTTGACAGATAGGTTGCCAACATAAAATGCTCTAATGAGACTACCTTCTGTAATTATGCCATGTGGCCTACCTTGAATAATTGTACCATGTTAAAGGTACGTTTAGATTTACGAAATCCACTCGATCGCAAATGTCAATTCCATAGCGTATACGTCAAATATAATCCACTGGATTTACGTGACGTATACGCAATGGAATTGACATTTGAGATCGAGTGGATTTAGTAGTCTAAACGTAGCCTAAAAGCGGATTTACATATAACATCTAATCATGATTAAAGACTGATTCAGGGTTTATTTCCTTAATCAGGCTAAATTTACCATACAAAATTAAATCATCGTGCGGCATGGTTTATTTTAAATCATGATCGAAATCATGATACTACTGAGATGCAACGCGGTTTTTGTGCGAAAAAATACAACTCTCTCACAATGTACCAAAATTTGCAACTGTTTCATTTAACGGGTAATAAAATACAAAAATTAAATAAGAATTGTTTATAGAATTTTTGTGTTTTTCTTTGTTTTTTTTTTTTTAATTTCCAAACGATCGCACCATTGCAAAAACATTTCCATTGTTGTAATTCTTCGTTTCATGTTCAAATTGCAAACAAATATTTTTGCAGCAAATTTATAATTTTGTATGTATACTAACAAACATCAGCTGATCCGTATTTAAATCATGATTAAAGGTATGTGTAAACAATTAGGGTGTATTTCTGGATTTCGTTAATCGAGTCGATTTAAAATCATATATGTAAATGTACTTTAACACCTCTTTTCCAGCAATTGAATTATTTTGAATTACCCTGTATTTCAGATTTTTATTTGGCAAATTTTTTGTTTTCTCTTTTGAAATTTTCGCTTGCTTTTCCATTAGCAAATTTTTCTTTGCCAAATTTGCGAATCAAAATACAAAAGAAAGAAAATAAAAGTCAAAAGTGTTTGCATTTTAAAGATTTTTTTAAATATTTTATTTATTTTTTATATATTTTATTATATAAATTGCAAAACTTAAAAATTAAATTTCACTTGCACAAATTAAAGCAACAGGTTTGTAAACAAAAGCCGGCTGTGTGTCAGTAAAGCGAATAGGTTCAAAAGGAAATGTCAACAAAATGGTTTTCAACGAACAGAGCAAAGCAGAATTTGCGTATACGGCAAATTCTGAACAGGCAATTTTTTGTTTTTCTTCCTCGCACCCCTCTCGCCTACAAACTACCATTTATGGCAAACTACCATTTATGGCAAAAACCGGTATTTCTCATTGAATACTACAATACCACGAATAATTGAAATCCCTACACAATTCACATTTTCAAATTTGATATATTAATTTCTTTTTGCCAATAAATACATTTATTTGTGTTTTGTACCACCCTGTAATTTCAACCACATTGTTGTTATCGATAGTTAGCAACGTAGCTAACGTCAGACAGGTAATCAAAAGTCTTTTTAAACACACGAAGGTTAGCAGCTGTTTCAAATACAAAATTCAAGCCGATTCGTTTGATTCGTTTTAATTATATTTAATCTATCAAATCCATTGTAGTGATTAGAAAACAAAATCCCCAAAATGGCAGCCCAAGTACAACAATTCATCGATCAATATAAGGATACATTGGATAAATCATTGAATGACAAATCGAAACCATGGACCAAAGTTTTCGATAAAGTTGAGGAAAAAACAAATATTCCCAAACTTTATCTATTTTTAGGTGAGTAGTCTGTTGTCTTTTTCTGTCGTTTTTCTTTTTATATTTGTGTCGCCAAAAATAAATACGAGCAATGGAATTTCGTCTGTAGGAACGTAGCGAAGTATAAATCTCAGTTTACGTCATTTTATTGTCAAGTGAAATGGAGGAAAATTGCCATCATCACCACCACCATTCATCCTTATTTAAAGGTCTGAGCCATAGTGGCGTCGTGTTTATTTGGCTGGTTTCAGTTTGTAGGGCCGGCAACACAACACATCGTCTGCTATATAACACCGCATTCTCATGCCCTTCTTGTCTTGCATTTAAAACGAAAGTAAAATTGCCACGCATCATTCCAACATTCATCTATACATCAGCTTCTACGTGGCTCGGTCGGTCGGTTTTGTTGCGGGGGGTTTTTGTTGTTATGTTTTTATTTTATTTTTTGCTAGAACAACAGCGGCCGAACCGCATTAGCTTTATATAGGTACATATATACGTGTATATATATCATGAGATTATAATTAAAAATTATACATTGTGAAATGTTGTTTGACCCCTACGCTGCTACTGCTGCTGCATCTACCCGCCGAACGAAAATAGTCACATGAAAAATGTGTGTGCGACAAAATCGATACAAAAACATTACTTCTTTTTCTTATTAGCTTGCTTATTTTTGAATTTCTTGGGTATTATTTTGCCGGTTATCAATTACATGTTTATTTATCTTAAAGATTGTTTATATGAGGGATTTCAAACGAATAATATATCTGATTTCCCTTCTTATTGTGAATTTATGTTGATTTTTCTTTTGGAAAATAAAGTAGGGCTTTTTGTTGCCATGAACGTTTTTTTTAAGGAAATGACGTGGCTGATTGGATAAAGATGATAACAACCCCATTTCAGTTTGTTTTGTATTTCACCTTTTACCTCATGTTCTTTTTTATTTTTATTGGTTTGAATTTTTGTAGGGCTATACCAGTATTTTTTTAACACCCAACAAATAATGTTTTGAAAGTAATAATAATACTGTGATTAATATGATTTTTTTTTTGTTTTGAAAAAAAAATATAGTTTTGTTTCCAAGAGAAAAATATTACCACAAAAAATATTAGTAGTATGTTAGTCAAACTATTCAACCATTGTATGTACTTAACACGGGACACGACAATATTTTGATAAAAAAAAATGTTTCAACTCAGCAAATTCTTAATCAATTAGGTTTATTAATATTGATTGACTACCATAGATACAAATCTAATCTAATAATTTTATAATAATAACCGATCCCGAACTCTGTCGATATTGTTTATTTCGATTGTATTACCGTATTTTTTGCAATTATTGAATAAAATGTCGGAACTTTGGGGAAATACTATTTTTAAATGTGATTCACACTATCTCTAGTTCATATCGTACACAATGTCCTATTTGCATTGCACTGCATTTCGTTAACCAGTGGTTTTAAATTGTCAATTCCATTGCATTTTATGTCAAATATATCCTCATAAAGTAGCTTAACCCAGAAAAAATTATAATGCCATATGCCGTTTAATATTAATAGAAGCAAATGATTCTGTAGCTTACTCAACTTATCAAACGACAGTTTAATTCAATTTACTCTTTCTGTATATAATTGTTTATTTTAAATATAACCAACAACAAAACCAGTCTCGTATAAAACCTGATCTTACTTTTAAACCAAAAAAGGATATTCAGTACTGTTGGCGGGTTATTTGGGATACCATTTGTATTTTGTTTTTGCAACATAGGCAGGCTGAATCCCAGTTTGTTGTTTTTATAAAAAAACACAACTATTTTTTAGTGGGGAATGTATGGCATTGTTCGCCGAGGGGTAAGGCAGGGAAGACTATAGTTTCGGATCTCGCCACTGATCCTCATCAGATTGTCAAATATATAGCTCCCATATATTAATTTTTTAGGTCACCAAAGTCCTTATATATCTTCGATTTGCATGAAATTTTGCATAGAGTTCTGAATTAGGTCTAGAATGATGTGTGTCAAAAAAATCTTTCATACCCATATATATGTCTCTAAGGTAAATAACAAAGTCCCTATATGTCTTTCGAATTTGCACGGAATTTTGCATAGGGTACTGAATTGAGTCTTTAATGATGTGTGCTGTCGTGAAAATCGGTTCAGATTTAGATATAGCTCCCATATATAGTTTCGTCCGATTTTATCTAATTGGTTAACAAGTCCCTATATTTGCACGAAATTTGGCATAAGGTACTGACTTAGGTCCAAAATGATGTGTGCTAAGTGTCTACACCACACAACTGTGTCATTGTCTCAGTAGCTGCAGCTCTTCCTGATGTGTTTCCTCAATTGCATTAGTGTGAATACAATTCAATCCCGTTTGATAGGCCTGTTGAAATAGAGGGTCTCTTGACCTACCGATAAGCACTTACGTTGTGTAGCACTAGATTGTCAAATATATAGCTCCCATATATATTTTCGTGCGATTTAAGGTAAATAGGTCACCAAAGTCCTTATATATCTTTCGATTTGCATGAAATTTTGCATAGAGTTCTGAATTAGGTCTAGAATGATGTGTGTCAAGTTTCGAAAAAATCGGGTCAGATTAAGACATAGCTCCCATATATATTTTCGTCCGATTTAAGGTAAATGAGGCACCAAAGTCCCTATATGTCTTTCGAATTTGCACGGAATTTTGCATAGGGTACTGAATTGAGTCTTTAATGATGTGTGCTGAGTTTCGTGAAAATCGGTTCAGATTTAGATATAGCTCCCATATATAGTTTCGTCCGATTTTATCTAATTGGTGCACCAAAGTCCCTATATGTCATTCGATTTGCACGAAATTTGGCATAAGGTACTGACTTAGGTCCAAAATGATGTGTGCTAAGTTTCGTACAAATCGGTTCAGATTTAGATATAGCTCCCATATATAGTTTCGTCCGATTTTATGTAAATGGTGCACCAAAGTCAAATATATCTTTCGATTTGCACGAAATTTGGCATAGTGTACTGAATTAGGTCGCGAATGATCTGTGCTAATCGTAAAAATCGGTTCAGTTATAGCTCCCATATATATTTTTATCCTATTAAATGTAAATTGTGCACTAAAGACCCATAGCTAGGCCGATTGACGCAACGTACTGAAATTAGTATTCCCTCGAAAAGGCGACGTCTGTTAGGATACATTTGTAAAAAAATACAAAGTGTTGAAAAGGGTATCATATAGTCGGCCCCGTCCGACTTTACTACTTATATATATTAAAAAATATTTAAAAAATCCTTTATAAATCGGCATAAAAATATTTTTGTAGCCTTATGGCTCATTAGGGTATATAAACTTTGCTACGGCTAAAATGTGCCACATAGGAATATTATTGGTTTAAGAGACCCCATGTTTCTTTGGATCAAATCCGTTTCTGACAATTTGGAGTTCATTTACAAATGTCTGTCTGTCGGGGCTGTTTGTATGATAACTCTCGAAGGTAGTAACCGATCATAGTTTAAGTTTGAAGATGGGGAATATCTGTCCACTCCTCCTTAGAACGAACTATCCGATGTGAACCAAACTTTGTAAAATCTATTATCTTTACCAAGCCAAGATAAAGTCTGAAGATTGAACCTATTGTTGCACTCCTTCTGGTAATTATTTCTAAATTTTTCGCACATTCGTTCCTTTGGTCCTTCGACTAAAAATTTCATACAATATATACCTTTATATATATTCTTTGTCTTATGCCCTTTATTATTCTTAAATGTTTTTATTTTTTTAATAAGCCATTAAAATGGAAATTTTTTCCAACCTTTCTTGTATTATTTTTTTCGGATAAGGACTAAGTTCCGTTTGCATTTAAACAATTCTTCCAATTTTGTTTCACCCCTCCTTGGGTAACTCTCTGTTTAAGTCTAAGGTTTTTGACTTCTTATTTCCGAATTACATGTACGACTATCGTCGGCACATATAATTCATGATTTAAGGTTTCAAACATGGCTCGATGGTAGTACCTTTGGTCGGAATGCCGCAATTCATGAAATTTAATTTCCTTTCTTATTTAGTTTTGACAAAGCACTAGACATTCGTCATTGCCATCTGTAGGGTGTAGTGTGTTTTGATTTTCCCTTTGTTTCTTTCATACAAAAAAATGTTTTTTTCTTTGTGTGGCCAATGGTGTTCTCTTTTATTTTCGGCTCTCCAGTTGCTGACCCCCAGAGTACGACGATGTACACACAAAAATTATCTTTGTTTACATTTTTTCGAATATTGCATGAGAGAAGAAAGAGAACAAGAAGCAGCTAGTGGCTCTGTTGCTTTTTCATATAAACACAATTGTACCATTGATCTGATATGACAGAAACTCAACAACTCTATTGGGTCTTGGATCGACATTTAAAATATTAATGGAACCAACCTATTGATAAAGATAAAGAAAACATCAGTTTTCAATAAAAACGAAGAAAAAACGCACAAAATTATCTTAAATAGAAAAGTAGAAAAAACCGTTGTCGTGGCCATAATATTATCGATTACTCACATAGTAAAAGATTCCAAAAAAAAAACATACAACCTACTTATTATAATTTTTTTATATGTATATTCCAACGTGTGTGCTTATTCTTATTGTTTTATTTCAATTCATCACCATCCGTCTGTCGAGCAGTTGTTGATGTTGTAGCAACGAACAAACGAATATTTGCTGTGTCGGTCTTCCCCGTGGTGTTTCATTGTGATATATTAAAAAAACAATTGCAACAACAAAAAGTTATATGGTGACGTATTAAATAGAAAAGTAATTTGACGTGTAAAACACAAAATAAAATCATTGCCCTGTCTTTAGACATACATCGCTCTTTAAAATAATAAAACAAAATTCCAAATGTGGTTATGGGATTATATATGGAAAAATATAAAAGAGAAACAAGAAAAAGAACACCGTCATAGCGTGGCAATTGTTAAACTTGGTCTGGGTAAGTTTACTATTTTCAATAATCAGCAGCAGTAGTAAGTTTTTGTTAGCAGTAGTTGCGGGGTTTTGACTTTGACTTTGCTATTGTAAATGTTCGATTTGTTATTAATATAGTATATTTTTGTATCTATTGTGTGTTTTGCAAACTCACTCACTCAGCTATTTATATGGCTTGCTACTCAACTGGAGGCAAAGCAAAAAATGAAACATTCCATAACAGGTGTATCCATGCATGTCAATGATTTCATTAACCCATTCATTACGTGTCTTACTACGCCAGCCAATATACTATAGCTATTAAGAGACAATTATTGATAATTTTGTTTTACTTAAGATTTTATAGTTTGCAGTAGAGAATAAAGATTACATGTTGAACTTTAAATTTATAGCCGAGCGATGTTAATGACATTCACTTTTTTGTGGAACTTTTCTTTGTGCGCTTTCTTAATGTAAATTAAGAAAAAAAAGCAAAAATTACACAAAGCAAACAAAGGAAATATCAGAGCTGATACTTTGAAATTTAAATTTATTTTTTGTGCCAGTCCTCTGGTGCCGGTTGGTTGTTTTACCTGGTGTCATCCTAAAGTGTTATAAAATATGGGATAATCTTCGCCATAATATCGACGATTTTGCTCATATATATTAGATAATTATACTGGCGGTGGTTAGGAGTTTGTAGGTGAAATCAGTACGTCATACGTCGTTTCATTTGCAAAACCTCGTCATAGACCCTATTGATCCCGTGTTTTGGACCAAATTCTATTCAGATCCGGCTGTTGCGCACCATAAATCTCGAGGGGAGTAACCGATTTCATCCAAACTTTGCACATCTAAATATTTCTTCCAAACTAAGTTAAAGATCGAAGATGGGGAACATTGGTCCACTCCTTTTGGTACCTTCCCCAAATCGTCACCATACTGTTTTACAGGGTATTATGTATTTGTGCATATGTTTGTAATCGGCAAAAGGAAACGAGATAGATCTTTCTAAGTCCACTTTGCATGTCCGTCCGTCTGTAGATGTTAAATTGTAAACATGAAATTTGGCACAGACGTCTATTGAAATTGAAGAAAATCGGTTCAGATTTAGGTATAGCTTCCATATATATATTCGCCAGATTTAATGTAAATTGGGCACCAACGTCCCTATATATCTTTCGATTTGCACGAAATTTGGTACATCGAACTGAATTAAGTCTAGAATGATGTGTGTTATATTTTGTGCAAATCGGTTCGGATTTAGATATATTTTCGTCCGATTTAATGCAAATGGTGTACTAAAGTCCCTGTATATTTTTGGATTTGGACGAAATTTGGCATAGTGTACTGAATCAAGTCTAGAATGATGTGTGTTAAGTTTCGTAAAAATCGGTTCAGATCTAGATATAGCTCCCGACTTAATGCCAATGGTGCACTAAGGACCCAAAATATGGCCGATAGGCAAAAACGTACTGAAATTAGTATAACCTAACCTGTGACAAGTTTTGTAGATATCGGATCATATTTAGATATAGCTCCAATATATAGTTTTACCCGATTTTATGTTAATGGTGCACCAAAGCCGATTGACTCAAAATGGTCCTTCGAAAATACGACGTCTGTTAGAACTAATCTGTTGAATATACCCAAAGTGGTGAAGGGTATCGTATATTTACTACCTTCCTTATTGCTTTTAATTTAATTAAATTATCTTAAAATTAAATATAAATATTGATATTGTATACCCCATATATAATTGTACCATTCCACTTTAATTTAAATTTATATTGGATACAATATGATATAGTATCCTTTAGGAAAGAAATTCCGCTAAAAAGTGAATTTAACTAATTATGGGCAAATTGGGTCTTATGACACCATACGGGCAAGCAATACTCAATTAGACCCAAAAGTTGTCCATTTTCAAAACAGTGAAGACCAAAAAGTTGTCCATTTTCAAAACAGTGAAGGTAAAAAAAATGTTTGACAGTTTGAAGTCTTCAAACAGAGGGGCCAGAAACAGGGTATGCTCACAACAGTATCAATCTCCTCGAAGGCTACCACTTTACAGGGACTATAACCTCTCTCACAAAAAACGGTTCGAAGAGTAACAATCATATTTTAAAATTTATTGAATTTTGCTTATTGCTATATTTGGTATACAAAAATTAAGATTCCGCAACCATAAAATAAGGGGCATCCCCCACCTGAATAACTTGAAATCTAAGATTTATATAAAAATAAAAAAACAATATTTTTTATCATCATCATTTTTATTAATTTTTTCCGTACTGTTCTTTATAAATAGACCTGTAACAAAATCAAAGAAGAAAAAAGAATCCTCATTAAAAACATAAACTTCGTCATTTAATTTCAAATTTAGAAATACGCGAGGCTTTCGCAGATTTCATTTTGAGTTCGGCTTGAATTTTATCCGCAAGTTCATAAATTGAATCTTTGGGTTTGTGCTAACGAAAATCTCAACACGTTAAGTTTTTGCAAATAAAAACTAACAAAGAAAATTTTATACAATTGTTTACCATTAATTGATTCAAATAGAATTCATAGGGTATATTGCCAGTTAGAGGATCAACGGCAACGGCCATCATTTCATCCAATTCCTCTTGTGTAAATTGCTCACCCTCTTCCATCATTAGTTTGCTTAAATAATCTTTGGTTAGCCAGCCACGATTTTCTGGATCCAAAACGTGAAATGCTTCCAGTAATTTTTCCGGTTCAGCTGGTTCCATTCTGGAAAAAAAGAAGAGAGATGGAGACAGAAATTATTATTTTTTTCTAAATTTTAAAATTCTTACTTATGTTCCATTAGTAGTTGTGTGACATGCGGCAGAAATCTGGTCAAATGAACCTCGCCACTGGAATCTTCTGTTTCAGTGGCCGTTATAATTTCATTTATTTCCTGTTCGGTGGGTACACAACCTAGAAAACGTAAGACCGTACCAACTTCTCGAACATCGATTGTCTTATCACCGTGATGATCGAATATACAAAATGCATCGGATATACGCTTTTCCAAATCATTGGCAATTGGTACTGAACATTCAAACCAATTAGAAATTTGCTTATCTCTGTATAAGGGTGTGAACACCACACCCGACTTACTTACTTGGCATTTCCATTTTTATGAGATTTTTAGAATTTTTTTAATAACTTAAAATTTTATTTCACTGTTTACAATTTGGAATACAAATTCATACTGCTGGGTTTTTATTTTATTTGGGTTGTCAAAATGCAATGCCTTTTTCCTTCCCCTCCCCAAAAATACAAATAATTCGTTGCCAAGGTAAACAAGTGTTACCAAGAAGGAGGATGGAATAAAGATATTTTTTGATCTTCCAAAGCGTATTGCCTACATTCGCGAACCACACTGGCGCCGCATGGTTATTTAGTGATAATCATTGGTTGTCTCTGGGCCCATCCATGAATAATCTCTTTACTCTCGGAGCAGCTGGAAGATTTCCCCCTGCAAAGCTGTTTCCTCCTTAATTATTTAAGGACCTCATTAGTCTATAAGCTTTTACGAGGGATGTTAATTTGGTCTCTTTTACAGAAATAAGTTGTGAAGAAGAAGCAGAATATCTGAATGCAAATGAGGAATTTATAAATTTTGAACATTTTTCTTTTCAGGTCCGCCATTTTGTTAATAATAAAGGTAACACCGTTGGAAATTCCGATGATCCAGTGTGGAGTTATCATGCCCGCCTTCCAAAATAAGGACTTTTCTTTAATTACAAAAAACTACAACAAAAATTTTTTGTAAATTATTTTTCTTCTTTTTTAAATCTTCAAATATATTTGTGCAAAGTTACAAACCTTAACAAGCATTGGTATTGATTTACCAGCCCATTGAAAATCTTGAAAAATTAAAATCGAGAATGGGTGGGGTTCCCTTAACAGAAATAGTATGGCACATCCGCCTAACCCCAGAAAAGCAAGGGGAATCGGTCCACAAGGATGTTTCTTCCTCAAATATTGACATCGACCTAATTCTAGAAGTCATCGTATGGTCAAACAACATTGTCCCTCCCCACCCTACAAACTGTAATAATGCAAATATTGAAAATTAATTGTATTATGTATTTAATTAATATGAACAATTTTAATAACATAATAATGTTAATATTTAATGATGCATAAATTATATACGATACTTGTACGTACGTACACCTTAGAAATGATTGATTTTAATTTTGTTGTCAAAATATCTGCTATTATGATGCTGCTGGCTGATACAGGCGGCGCTCTAGTACTTGGTGTGACACAAACAAACAACCAAACCAATGTGAAATTACCAAGAGCTAAATTTTAAATTTAGAATATTTGTAGATTTGTACTATTTTCTCTGCTGTTGTTGTTTCATTTAAACCGCACTACACAATTGTTTCGAATTTATGGCAACTTTTACAACAAGAATCAGAAGCAGCAGCAGTTGACCGATCGACCGACCAACCGCAAACACTCATTGTGGATGATTGCTAGCTGGCTGGTTGGGGTTGGGTGGAGCAATAAAAAATCCCTTTTTTTAAAATTCAAATCACATCACATCTCATCAGTATTATAAAGTCGATCTCCTCCAATTGTCGTCGTCATCGGCCGTGTTGTTAGTCAAAGTCAAAAAAATTTGTTTTTCTAATAATGTTTGAACAATTACAAAATAAATTAATAAATATATTTGCCGAAAATCCTTTAGCACAATATGGTGAATTTATTTTAAATCTTTTTTCTGTGTTTGTGATTATTAATATTAATTTTGCTATTTTCTTGGTTCTCATTATAGGTGCCGCTGGCTTCTGTGCATTATATTTGATCTTTGGCTATGGCGCTCAATTGCTGTGCAATATCATCGGTGTGGTATATCCAGCCTATGTATCGATCCATGCCATTGAATCTAGCACAAAATTGGATGATACTAAATGGTTGACATACTGGGTGACATATGGCATTATGTCAATTATTGAATATTTCTCGGTTATCTTGACATCAATCATTCCATTCTACTGGTTGATTAAGGTAAGTGTTGATTTTTCGATATTTCTATGAGTCCCCTAAAACATTACCGATCGATATATAAGTGGTTATAGAGACCTACATCTTGTTTTTTTGGACCAAATCCGTTTCACATAATTTTGTGTCGATTTACAAATGTTCGCCTGTCTGTATGGACAGCTGGTGCGCACGATACTATCACGTGAACGTACTACCCGATTTAAAGTTTACAAACCCTATAACATTTACCGAGCCTTGTACCTCCCCCACTCTAGGAAACGTAAGATTCCTAGTTTCTGCTTGCCATCTTTGGGAGGAGTGACACCATCCCTTTATGAAGAAGCAAAATGCCTTGGCACAGACAAAGACGGGTCAAAGATGGAGGAAGGCACTGGTGCAGGCGTTTACTGTAGGGAATTAGAAATATACAACTCATATAAACTTAACAATCTTTGTAGCGTTTTTCAAGCAGAAAAATACCTTGCAATCACGAAAGCGGCCGATATAGTAAAAACACTTACTGCCGATAATATGTCGATAGTCAGGCGGCCCTCAAGGCTTTGAAGTCGTACAATAAACTCAAAAGCAGTTCTTGATTGCAAGTCCGCTCTGAATGATATACGACGAATAGTTAACTTATGGGCATAGTGACATAGAAGGGAACAAGATAGCCGACGAGCTTGCTCGAGGGGGTTCACAACCCATAGGCTATTTCATTGACAAAATCCGCTTGTTCTACGGCGAGGTAGTCGGTAACAGATGGTCGGGAGAACCTGGTTGCAGAATCTCAAAAGCTATCTGGCCTGAATTCTCTCGCGGAAGAACTTCTTCGCTGTTGGCACATAATAAGAGATCAATATCATTGTGGGGATCATAACAGGTCACTGCAGGATTAGATCTCTTACTTCGAAATGGGACTCCAACGGAGAGGATTATTACTGTCGGCTATGTGAGGACAAAGAAGAGCTAGAAACAATTGAACATATACGTTATAAATGCCCATCGCTGATTGGCAGAAGACGTAAGCAGTGTGACCCTATGATATGAAATTGATAATCTAGCATTCTTCTGTAAAATAGACCCCAACCGGATCCTAGGCTTTGTCAAAAATCTGATGTGGCTAAAATAACCATCTCTAGGCCCTCCTTCTCTTTTTCCCCTTCTCTTTTCAGGTATAAAGGATGGTCACAATGGACAATAGTCTCCGATTGTTACTAACAACCGTATATCCCTGACCTAACCTAAAATGATCAACATTTTCAGCATTTATAAATCCAATACTAGGTTAATGGAATGTCCGATATAATCCATCTCAAAATTTCCTTCAAACTCAAATCAAGTTCGGAGATGGGGAAAATCGGTCCACTTCTTGTACATCCGCCACAAAATGGTCAAAATTGTTCTGAAATGCATTTTATAAAATCCAGTTCAAACCAAACTTTGCACAACCTAATTTTTCAACCATACCTATATATTTTTGGGAGATGGGACTTATCAGACCACTCCTTCTAGTATCTCCCACACAAAGGGTCAGTATTTTGAAACTTTATAAATCTTATACGAAATGAACGGAATACCCTGGAACTGTTCCAAAAATGGCCGAATAATTAAACCTGTGTTTTATTCCGTAGAGCTCGACGGACCATAGGCTGATGGTATATATCTACGAGCAACACTGACGAACACTATTTTACTGGTAATTTTTTAAAATTTACAAAGTTTGTGATGCTTCTTCTTCTAAGGTAGGAAATATGCAAAAATAATGATAGTTGACCCACTTTTAACGCTCACCTCCTTTTGAACGTGCAACATTTGCGTGTTTTAGAAATTCTTCATGTCAAAGACACGAGTATTTTATTATCGTTATGATGTTTTTGAGTTTGCTAAAACAACAACAACCCTATACTGATGTGCCAGCCAAAAGGTCCATCACACATTTTCACCAAAAACAAAATGTGACATATTTTTGTTTTCTTCTTTTCAACACATTTTGTCAACTGAAGATGATATCAATTAGTCACATATGTTCATTAATACAATATTTCGTACTAATTGTTGTTCATTTCTTTCGTTTAATTTTATTTTTTCTTATTTAGTGTGGATTCCTGATCTGGTGCATGCTACCAACCGAACAAAATGGTTCTTATGTCATATACAATCGCATTGTGCGCCCATATTTCCTTAAACATCATCAAGGTAATAATTGTGAACTGAATTTCTCAATTTGTGTATAATTTTAAAAGTGAAATTGCAAAAAATAATGCTATTATTTTGTTTTTCTATTTGCTTACAGCTGTTGACAGTGCGATAGACAAAGCCATTGGACAGGCTAAGAAAAACATTGGTTCCGTTTTGAAAAATGAATAAAATTCAACAGCCCAACAACAACTATAATAATAAAGTCATTTAATGAAACAACATCAACAAAAACAGACATACCTCCTTTTTCCTCCCAGCCATTACAAATACACACACACTCATTATTAGTACCACCACACAGGCAACAACAACCAAAGCAAAATATATAATGCTACGCGTTCCACTTTGCTTTGGTTCGTTTTGTTTATTATTTTTTACTTACTTTTTGGTAATGGAATTTTATTAGATGGTAGTTGGAAATCATCATGTGTCATCATCACATTAGTGTCTTCGTCGTGTTAACCTCAGATTTAATCTTATAACGATTCTTTTTAAAATTTAAATTATAATTACAACACAAAATAATAAAACAAGAAAATTCAACTTTATTTTGATAATAATGATAAAACAAATTACCATTAAGACGTCGTATGTAATAAATGGATGAAAAAGAATGAAAAAAAATAAAACAACAACAAACAATAAATGTTAAACGTCTTGTTGAAAAAAAGGTAGCATGGTGTTTTTTATTGCTTCTTGTACTATATATATACTCTATTGAAAAACTCGTCAGTTACTCGTTGGGTAGAATACCTATTTGCACAAAATGTGAATATATTACTCCAGTATTTGTTTAATTAATTTAAACAAATTGTAATTTAATAAAAAAAATCTCTTGTTGGAAGCCCTTTTTAAAAACAAACCAAATGTCATTTCCTTCAGAATATTTCTTAAAACCAATGAGTGAATCGATAGTCCTTGATGAAATATATTTCAAAAAAATCAAATTTCAAAAATCATATGTGTGCTTTTAAAAAGTCAAGCCCTAACATTCAAATAATATTCATGAAAAAATTCACGCCCAAATATTCAAGAATTATTTAATTTGTTTTTTACATTTAAAAAATATTCTTTTAAAACCAAACTCCGAACTATTTTTTAAAATCCCATGACAAAATATTAAAAAAAATATTTTTTAAAAATCCACTACCAAATATTCTTAAGAAAACCCACCCCACAAAATCCAAAAATATTATTAAAATAAATATTTAAAAATATATTTAAAATGTTCAACCCCAAATATTAAAAAAAACATCTTTAAAAAATCTAAATATTCAAAAAATGCTCTAAAATTTCAACGCCTAAAACGGCTTCTCTTAAAAACTAAAACATATTCTTTAAATGAGAACTCATTATACCACATTTCGTCAATCTTTGATGGGCCCCAATTAATTTTGTATATTATGGATGTTTTAATAAAAGCTAATTAAAGCTTTAATGTTCAAGAGTGAATTGAAATGTATAAACCTATCAGGCTAACGACCCCTCCCTTCCATTCGTAGTCAACATATGATTTAAAAATATCAAATTCATTCTAATTTAAAATGTTTACTCTTATTAACAAATCTAGTAATAACAAAAGACATATTATTTTTTTTTAATCAAATTAGTTTTTTCCTTCATCACCACCCTCATTCTTTTGTGCTTCCTGTTCAGCTGCGGCGGCAGCCTTTTCACGATTACGCCACGCTGTCATATATGTACGAGGATGAATTGGTAATAGACCGGCTATACCCAATAATTCAGCAGCCGGTGTGGACATATGGGCACCCTTGCCCAACCAATAGCGGATACGTTCAAAATTAAATGCGACCAAACGTTCGTTATATTGATTTGGTAATGGATCAAAAGTGCCGACTTGTTCAATAACAGGTTGATGTTGATTTTTACGGCGCTACATGGAGCAATAATTAGAAATTCATTAGATATGGATTTCATTCAACACGAATAGGTTTTCAATATTGGTTTTAATTTGCATACCTCCATAACAACAATGTGGTAGAACGGCCGATTGGTACATCCTTGTCTTACGAAACGTATAATTTTTGCCGATTTCTTATAGAAACGTCCAATGCCACTGGCAGGTGATAGTGGTGCAATATTCATTTTTGATTTCTGAATTTAATATTCCAGCTGAAAGTTGAAAATTTTAATTTAATAAATGAAAATTTAAAGAATTAAATAATAAAATAAGTAAATAACACACGCACCGCACCAGAGTAAAACTGAGAAACAGATGATGATAGTGGTATCGTTGTATATCGATTATAAGTATATATCGATTACGGTAATGTAGTAGTTGTGTTCGAGAAAGTGCCATCAGTGTTCTATTCCTGAATCAAAAATGGATTAATAATAATAAAAAAATAAATAATAATTATATATATATATTAAAAAAGAAAAAAATAACATCTCCAAATATCATTCTTTAAAATTTCGATGCCAAAATATTTCAAAAAAAAATTTAACCCTCGGCCAAAAAATCGTTAAAAAATATTCTTTAAAACATCTACTATTATATATTCTTAATTTTTCGTGTTTAAAAACTCTACGCCAAAATGGTATTTAAAATTTTGCTTATAAAACATCCAAGCCCAAATACTGAAAAAAATTCCACGATTTAGTAATTACAATAAAATATTAAAAAAATCCAAAAATCAAATAAATCTACGTTAAATTATTTTATGACATAAATTAAATTATTGGTCTGTTCCTGTACTGCAAGAATCTACTAGATTTTACTATTTTCTTTGATATCATAAGGGTAAAAAGTGTTGTCGTAGTAAAAAATAGTAGATTCTTGTGGTACGGGAACATACCATATATTGTATTATAACATATTTGGTCTGTTCCCGTACTGCAAGAATCTACTCGATTTTACTATTTTCTTCGATATCATAAAGGGAAATTCGTTATCGTAGAAAAAAGTAGCAGATTCATGCTGTACGGGAACAGACCAATTATATGATATTAGTTTATAGTTTTTATTTATATAGTTCTTTATTTACAAGTTCTACTCGGAATATTATGATTGTTAATACTATTTATTGGCCTTGAAGGATTTAGTATTATGAAATGAATTGAATAAATAAAATAAATAAATATTCAATTCATAATATAATATAGGAGCCTCTTGAGGCCATACAAATGTCTTAGATAAAAAATACCAAAAAATTTAAAAATAATTCATATATAAAAAATATGCTTAAAATTTAATAATTCTCAAAATAATATTGATAATATTACAAATTATTTTTTTGGATTTGCAATAATTGGCTATGTTCAGTTAACACAATAAAAGAAACAAACCGCTCAAATTGACAACACTGTCAGTGTATGAATAATTTATGCCAAACCTCAAACAAAAAAAGTAATCCATAACCATATGCGTTCCATCAGCGCATTTTTGCAGGTTGGTCTCGTAGGGCTTTGTAAAAATTATTTTAAGAATAAATTAAATGATTTTTTAATTACGAAAAACAATAACAAACAAAACGCAATTGTCTACAAGTGATCGATTTGTTGAAAATCAAGTGAATTCTTTTGTGGTAAAGGGAATTGAAAAATTGTCATAGAAATTTTAAGAAGAATGGAAAAAATATGTGAATGCTCGCTCGCACACACATAGCTCTGTGACTGTGGTAGTGATGGATATGAACAAGAATAAAATGATTGTATAGAGAAGCGTGCCCTATGGGAATAAAGAAGAAGCTATGACATAGTTTATGATTAGTACCAAGCTAATGTGGTTGTGAACAATAAAAATGTCTTGTGGTGATGGATATCATCATGATTTAATTTGAAGTGAAACTGGCATTTCGGAGCTGAGAAAACTAAACGCAATATGTGTATATGAATAATATGGCTGCAGGTCTCTGACATACAACATACGAATTCAAAGAGACGAGAGCAATATGACTCGTCGTTAGACTCTTTATTTTTTTCTCGACTACCCGGTGTTTTTTCTGTCTGCTTTCAGTTGGCTTGCCTTTTTCGACGGCCCAATTGTTGTTGTTGGCATCACTCACTGAAGTGTACCGAGCGACAAGTAATTGTGTTGTATGAAAAACCGATTACCGGTACGAAAAGAAGTCGCCGTTAATTGATAATCACTTCCGTCCAACGACGACAAGGATGTATGTATGTATCAAATAGAAAGAGATGCATATATAGTGTTGTGACCCAAACGATTCTAACGAAAGCCGAACACAAAAGAAAAAATTTAATAACCGAAGCAAGCGGAGTGTCTGACATTTTTTAATTGTGGTGTATGCAATTAGTCTGTTAAAACGCTAAAAAATAAGGTATTTTTATGACAAAAAATTGCGATTGCTGTTAATATTTCCCAAGGAGTAGTTGGGGAAAATAGTGTGGTGTGAATTTCCCCAAAAAAATTGTGTGTGAAAAATATTGAAATACTTGGTTTGTGCAGAAAGAGAAAAATGTGTTTTTCTACTCTTCGCCATTGTCTTGATTTCTTTGCTATTTTTTTCATTCCTGGCGACGACGATGATGAGTTTTGAGTTTATAGATGGTCGGTCTATATACATACGTATGATGTATATCGTTTTCAAAAAGTGGATTTAGTTTTTTGCATTTTATTATTGCTAATATGGAATCGGTTTTTCCTGCTGCCTGGCTTTGTGTAACAGCTAGCAGCCAGTGTATGGCTGGATGCAATTTCTTCGCTTTGCTTTTCCGGTGTATATATGTAGCAAAAGTGCCAGAGTAGAGCAGAAAAATCGAAACAAAAAGATATGGATTCCTGTTATATCCCCCATTTGTTGTACTTCACCGCTGGTGCTCTTGCCGCTTCTCTATATCTGATTACGGTCATGGGAAAGCTCAATGAACTGATGTATAATGTACGTTTGTGTGTGTGTATTTTGTGTTTTTTTTTCTGTTTCTTCTTCGTTTGAAAGCGGCGATCTGCCATTTCAAAAAAAAAAAACTTTACAAGCCACTTTTGTTGTTTGTCATCATCATAATGAGCAGCAGCACCACCACGAAAAGTGCGTGTGTGGGACCAACAGAACGACGATGGCAACGGCCAACAACCGCCGCCACCGCCACTCAATTGTCGGTTTTTGATGTTTCTGCATGCCTGCTTTTGCTCGCAAGAGGGAAGGGGGTGAGTTGTGTACGCTAAAAAAAATTTGTTTACATAGAACGCGGCGGCAGCCGAGCCAGCAGCAGCACCACCACCAGTGTTGGTGTTCGTCGTGCACCACTCAATACTCACTATAACAACGTTCTAGGAAATATCGTTCGTCAAGAATTGAAGTATAGAAATAGAAATTATTGTGTATCTGTGTGTTTTGAGATTTATATTCATTTCTATTCCATTGCTTTTTTATATAAATATGATTTAGGGGAATATACTTTCAATGTTTGACCCGATTTTTGTTTTTTACTTTTAGGAGGCATTCCCCCACCATCACATGTGGTGGTGGAGTAGTGCAATAACAAAACTATAAAAAAAAAATGATCCGAGAGAGGGAGTTACTTTAGATCCAAACACCATGTAGCGCACTACTGTTTTTAAAATTGGCGGTGGTGTCCGTTCATTATATTAAATAGTTAAATTGAAGTTGTGTGTAATCCGAGAGTTTCGATTCCCCTTCCGATCCTAACCATGTACCACACTTCTGAGTATATATTTTTAAATTGGATTTTTGCACTACATGATATTTTTGAAAAATTAAAAACACATTTTTTGATGTTTTTTGTGACGTAATTTCAATTGTAATTAGTTTTATTGTTCCGAACATACAAGAACTTGTCCTTTCTTAGATATGAACTTCCAAAATTGCACTGAGGTTACACCGACCCTTACATATACTTTCTCCTATAGACAGATACGGAAATTGGATACGCGACAGAATTTATAATATGTAGAATGGATGTTGTAAGCGAACGGCCTTCGGCCGGCGATTTCAAGGTGGTAGAAATCAACACCGACAATCAGTGCTTTAACCGCTCCAAATTGATACAAGGGTTCCAGCTGAACAATAGAGCCCTTATCTTCGGAAAATTGGATTTTCACATGTGCAATGTTATAATCGGGGTCTAGGAGATCTACCTATGGTAAAAGTTTCAAAACGATTTACGATCGAGCCAGGGGTCCCAGAACAAAATTGGTGCTCATATCTCAGATAATTGGATTTCTATATGAAAAAGTACAATCTTGTAATCAGGGTGACTTTGGTAAATATTTGAAAACTCTGGACTTTAGCCAGGCATAAGTATATAGAATGTTATCACTAGAACGCATCCATCCATCTGAACATTCAGATGTAGCTGCATTTCTACAGTCCATGTTGGTAAAAATTCGCTATCTGGCCGAGGATCCCAACAGAACATTGTATCCCATATCTCAGAAAATGTGGATTTCTGCATGAAAAAATGGCAATGTTATAGTCAGGGTCCCCAGACCTACCTATGGTGAAATGTTTAAAACGATCCTCGACCACTAGAACTCTTTCAAAATTCTTGACGTTGAAACGCGCTGTCCATCTGTCGGATTCACATTCACTGTCATTATTGTTTGGTCTTAGTAGCGGGACAACCCTACCAATTTCCAGCCATGGTTAACGAAATCTACTCCACGTGCATCCAGTTATTGCAATATCGAAATTGAGATACATCAAGAATAATCGGGTATGGCAATTGTAACATACTTCAAAGTGGTTCCAGCTCTGATTGACAAAATCCGTCTTTTTTGTCATTCAGTTGTTGCAACATCGAAATTGAGATCCATCATCGGGTATGACATTTTAAACATGCTTTAAAGTGGTACCACCTAGGACTGACTAAATCCTTCTACTTTGTATAAAATCACCATGCTGGATGAAATTCCTCGCGCACCTTTTCGGCATTGTTTACTTTCTGTGTTCGAGGTTAAAGGTTGAACAAAACAATTATTCGATACGGTGATGCCGAGTGAGCGCCTACAGCAGTGATGCCATAGAAATTTACTTTCTGCTACACGATTGTTGCAATAGGAATGCTAATCCTCCACCTCTAGTATGATCCATTTTTATACCCTCCACCATAGTATGGAGGGTATATTAGTTTTGTTTTTCCGTTTGTAACGCATCGAAATAATCATTTCCGACCCTATAAAGTATATATATTCTTGATCAGCGTAAAATTCTATGACGATCTAAGCATGTCCGTCTGTCCGTCTGTCCGTCTGTCTGTCTGTCTGTCCGTCTGTCTGTTGTAATCACTCTAGCGTCTAAACGAATTGAGATAGATCGCCAAAATTTTGCATAGAGTCGTCTTTTGTCTGCAGGCAGGTCAAGTTCGAAGATGGGCTTTATCGGTCCACGTTTAGGCATAGCTCCCATATAAGGGTACCCCCCAATTTTCGGTATTTTGAGGTTCTTGAGAGCGTTTTTCAACTGAATTCGCTCAAATTTGGTATATTGAGTTCGTATTGGGTAGCAAATCTTTCCACTGAAAATTATAAATATGGGTCCATATTTTCGGATAGCCCCCATATAAGGGTACCCCCCAATTTTCGGTATTTGGGGGTTCTTGAGCGCATTTTTCAACCGAATTTGCTGCAATTTGGTAATTTGTAGTCGTATATGGTAACAAATCTCTCTACCAAAAATTTTTAATATTCACCCCCTTTTTGGGGTAGTCCCCATATAACCCCCTTTTTATATTAAAATAGTTATCTGATTTGTTCCGCGTTTTGAGTTTGGTTCTAAGTCTCTTTTGTAATCATTTCACCTGCGGAGGATAGAGAGATAAACAATTAGAACGTAAGGTTCGATAATTAACTATAGCCGCATTTAGACCTAGCCCCTGATTGGAAGTTCGAGAATTTGAACTAAGCTTGGAAGAAATAATAAGATGGGCAAAGTTTGGATGAAATCTAAATTTTCTGAAACGGATTTGGTCCAAAGAAACATGGGGTCTAGAACCAATATTTCGATGAGACACATTTTCACCGTGTTAAAGTCTATACACCCTCATTAGCCATAAGGCTGAGAGTATAATTATCCTTTAAAATTTTCTAAAATTTTTAATTATGGTTTACATAATCCGTTTTTAGAAATGTCGGTATAGGTCCACTTTTTGGTATGTTCCCTATATTTTCATTTATAGTACCTGTCAATATAACTATGGTGGAGGGTATCCAAAGTTCGGCCCGGCCGAACTTACCGCTTTTTCACTTGTTAATACGTTGTATCCTTCACAGATTTGTTTCTTTTCTCAGGTCACTCAGTAAGTAACTTAGCCCGCTAGTGAGTATCAATGCATGCATCTGTTCTTTCATCGTTACATCGATTGCGGATTCCTAACCATTGTGTCCTTGGCTTTGGCACTTTTGGAGTTGGCGTTTACACCCATCGTATCTAATTCTCTCTCATACTTTTATTGTAGAGTGTTGCACTTGTATTACCGCAATATCTACTACAAGATCTATTTATTCAATTAAATGGATGTCCCTCAATATGGATCATTTTTCAATCTTCTACCTACCATATAAACTTGATTCCTATTTATGTTTTAAAATAAATTTTATAATATCCAGTCTAAATTGAAAGTCTAAAGGTACGTTTACATGGTACCGGATTTGGTTAACCCAGTGGGTTTAAATTGTCTATTCCTTTGAATATATGCCAAATAAATCCTCATAAAGTAGGTTAAAAGTACGTTTACATTGTACCGGATTTGGTTAACCCAGTGGGGTTTTAATTGTCAATTCCTTTGAAAATATGCCAAATAATACCTAATAAAGTAGGTTAATCCGGTAAAAAGTTCTAATGTAAATGCCGTATAACCCGGTAAAAAGTTTTAATGTAAATGCCGTATAAACCCAGAAACTTATATCCTTTATAATCGTAGTATTGCTTTCAAAATTTCCATCAAGTCTGCGTTTTTTTAAATCAGCAGAAATCTTCGCTTTCGTTTTTTTCTTGCGTGACATTTATAACTTTATAAAACAACGTAATTTGTGGATGATTCATTGTTTCGTCTGTGTCAGATAAGATTTCTTAGAAGTAAAACTTGGTAAAGACTCTATATACACAAGTTGTTTCAAGACGCAAAAGATTTTATAATTTTGGCTCGCCCATTATCGTTCGAACAATTCTGTGGTAAAATTTTAAAACAAAAATGTTCTTGAGTCATAATAAGTGTTATTGCAATTGTTTAAAATTCATTGTTACAAAGGATATTACAGGAGGAAAATGATCTGCAACAGATATGATACTATTAATTAACATCCTTGTGGATCACATATTCTTTGCAAAATATATACATCTGCCACAAAAGATTTTACCTTGCAGTTTTCAAAACATTTACTAGATTGTTAAGAAAATCATGTCTTTGTTTTTCTAATTAATTTGTTGTTCATATTTTATGTGTTTCAGCTTACTTTGTAAATACAGTGTACATAGAATATGAGCACACAAACTCGTAACAGCGGCGGCAGTCGCAATCAGAAGAAATCAAATTCTGGCGGCGGAGGAGGCGGTGGAGACTCAGTTTCACAGACTTCACACAAGAAGACGGATAATTCAAAGACAGAAAAGGAGAAATCTCATCCAAAGGTAGAGTTTTCTATTATCTACGATATGTACTGTACATACCTAACCTTACTTCCTTTTTTTAAATAGCCAACAGCAGAACAGTTACGTATTGCCCAAATTACCAACAGCAATACATCTGAAGATCCACAGATGCGTGAAAAGGTCGCCACACTTATAGAGATGACACAAAGATCCGAGGAGGAGGTCTGTTGTGCACTGTATGAATGTGACAACAATTTGGAAAATGCAGTACTGTTCCTATTGGAAACACTGCCAGTGGTATGTAACAAACATAACTCGAAATGAAACTGCATTTCTTAATTAATTAATTTTGTCTTTGTGTAGGGAGCATTTGAAACATCTTCTAAGAAGAAAAAGAATAAAGCTGCAAATGCTGCACAGGATAATAGTGCGGGCGGGGGTGATGGGGACTGGGCCGATGGCAATGCCAATACGGACAAGCGTGAAAAATCACGTAATCGTAACAGTAGTAATCGTGGTGGACGAGCCGGATCCGACAGTCGTGGATGTAAGTTACATTTTGAATTTGATAGCTACAGCTCATTTGGCGGCAATGATAATGATAATTGATTACTTGTTTCCTTGCACATGTAGGGCGTGGCAGAGAGGCCCGTGAAAATGAACGCAATGCCAGAGGAGGTGGTGGCGATCGCGATGATCGTAATAACGACAATTACCGTGGCGGCCAACGTGGTGTTGGTGGTGGCGCCGGCGGTGATAATCGTCGTGGTGTTGGTGGTGGCCGCGGTGGCGGCTATGTTGGTCGTGGTGGCCGAGGAGGCGGCCGTATGGGCGGTAATCGCGGCGCTGGTGGTCGTGGAGATCGCAGCGGTGGCGGTTACAATTCCCGCTACAACAACACCAATGACGATCACCAAGAGGTGGAATTATGGGACAATACTATTGCCCAAAATGCAGAAAAGCAACAACAACAGAGCCAGGACGACGCATGGGGTGACTGGGATAATGAGGAGTACGTTGGTTCCCTAAAGGACAGCAAGGTGTTCACAACCAGCAATCTGCCGAATCAAACGGCAGCCAGTGTTCTAAGCAGCGGTCTGGCTGGCAGTGGTGGCGGCACTGTCAGTGGCAGCACGTCGAGTACAACAGCGGGTGTTTCCGGCCAGGAGATATCTTCGCAACAACAGGGACTGGATCATCATCATCTTGGCACATCGGTGATCGGCAGCAGTTCATTGCAGGCCCAATCACAAGGATCTCATTTGAATACTTTAGTGGGTAGTAATGTCGTTAGTTCTGGCCTTGACGATAACACGACCAGTAATCTGTCGACACCGATTATGCAGTATAGTGCCGCAGTCAGTAGTACGCCGCAGATTCAACAGCAGCAGCAACAACAACAGCAGCAGCAACAACAGTCGTCAGCTGTTGGTGGTGGTAGTTCGTTAAGTGGTAGCGGCGGCACCAGCAGTATCAGTGGAACCTTGGGCAATTCACAATACGGCAGTGCCGTTGATAGTTTCTCGAATGCAGCAACCGCAGCAGCAAATTTGGTGCAACAGGTTCAGCAACAGCATCTCGAACAACAGATGAAATCATCGACCACATTGTCGGTAGAACAATCACAGTATTTCAATTCATTGACGTCGCAGAATACTGCTGGACAGTCTGTGGTGGGTGGCAGTGTGCCGCAACAACAGCAGCAAATGGCCTCATACGGCCAGAATCCAAGTAGTGTGCAATATGCGACCTCGTATGCCAATGTGTTTGGAACGGGCACCACCAGTACTGGCAGTTCGGCGATAACAAATGATTCCACATCGCAGATACAGAGTGGTCAACAGCCGCAGGTGCGTCGAGCACGTGCTAAACTTCCGCCACCCTCCAAGGTAAGTGACACAACGAATCACCTATGTTTTAATTGTAAATTAACTTTTTATGTTGTTATTTTCTGTCTTCTTTATGTCTTTTAGATACCTTCAAGTGCTGTCGAAATGCCTGGCGATTCATTGAACAATATGGGCTATATCGATGTTCAATTCGGTGGCTTGGACTTTGGTACAGATGATTCATTCGAGAATCTCTCCGAGAAGTTCAACACCTCGGTTACATTGGATAGCCAACAATCTCAGCAACAGCAGCAACAACAACAACAGCAGCAGCAACAACAGCAAGTCCAACAGAAATCGTTGGTGCAATCGCCACAAGATGTTAGTGCTTCAGCCTATGACCAGAGTAAAACATTAACACAACAGCTACATCAACAAGCGTTGACAGCTGGTTTGCCCAATTCGCATTTGGTGGTAAAGTCGTCGTTACTACACACACCCACACACAGATCGATCTATCATTTGTAATGCATTACATTTATTTCAGACTGATTCCCTAACCGCTGCTGGTTACACCCAACGTTCTGCAACGCAACAGCAGCCACAACAGACACAACAAATCTCCAGTGTCAGTGGTTCAACGGCCCAAGGTGTTAGCTCCAGTGGCACCAATGCTTTGGATCAATTGACCAAAAGTGAACCTTACCAACAGAACACCACGTCAGCTGCTGCTGCTTATCAAAGCTCATACCAAAGCAGTGCCAATGTTGCAAACAAAACAGGCGTGGCAAATGCTTATCAGCCTTCGGTAGCCTCCCAGGGTTACAGTAATTCAGCGTATGGAAATGTTCAGGTAAGTCTTAGCCTAGCAAAAGGATGGCGGCTTTGATTACGTGTTAACATTGTTATTCTTATTCTTTGTTGTTTGTGTTGTCGTTTTTAGTCATCGGTTGCAAATTCATATCAACCACAGGCATATGGCTCGTATCAACAAAATTCAATGGCTTCATACCAACAGCAACAGTCTGCCACTCAAGCTGCCCAGAGTGCTTCCAATGTTAGCGGAGGTTCTGTGGCAAGTGTGGGCGGTGGTGTTTCAAATTCGACACAAAACATTCCTTCTGTTGGTGGCAACAGTAACAGTAGTGCAACGTAAGTATAACAGTTAATTCGAAAGAGTTTTTTGTTTTTGTTAGTTTATATAATATTAATTTTTCTTTTGTTATTTTAATTACTAATAAGCATTTGACTTGTTTGAATTCTTGAGCCAATGCTAACCATAATGTTATGTCTGTTCTTTTTTCTTTTATTTTGTCTCCCCTACTCTGCTAATTATCCATTCAACCAACTATCCATCCATCCATCAACCCCATCATCCTCTAATGATTTTCTTTAAACGATTGAATGCTTTGCGAATATATGCCTGTTGATTGCCACACCCACCACCACCACCTGACCTTGTGCGTTTCCGTTGTGATTTTTGATTTTAGAGCAAACACAAATTCCAGTTATTTGTCATCTGCATATGGATCACAGCAAAATGCTTACCAGTCAAGCCAAAGTGTTTATGGCACAACTGGTTTATCAAATAGTTCAGGGTATGTATTGTGAATAAAGAAAAAATAATAATAATATCAATTGCAAAACAATGGGGGGATATCATTCGTGTAGAATACTTGAATATCCCATTGAGGTGACACATTTTGAATTTCAATGTAAAGTGAAATAATAAACATAAATTTTTCAAAAACCAAGAATGTATATTCATAAGGTTAACAGGCAAGCGAATTAATGCCTGCGTCTACTCCAACTGTAAACATTTTAATCGCGAAATTCCAACCAAAACTGGATAAAAACTCAAAATAATTTTCAAGAAAAGGTAACTAATAAAAAAGAATAAATAAACAATTCTTCAAACAATGAATTTGACCGTCCATGAAGACTTCGAATTCGCCTCCCTGTTAACCTTATGAATAAAGCTTGGCCCCACCCAAGAAACTTTAAAACCAAATGTCGATTGATACCTTCACATTGGAGATATACGTTTCAGAATAAAAGCTTTACAATCAATACTTTCGAAATCCTAAATTCCCAATTTTAGAAAATAGGACCGGGCCCATTTTGATATGTGAAGTTGGCGGTTCATTTAAAGGGATATTGTGTCAATGATTCAATTCGAATTCGATCATGAGCTATTTATATCCTTCACCACACTGTGGTACAGGGTATTATGTCTTTGTGCTTATGTTTGTAAAAGGCAAAAGGAAACGAGAAATACACATGGTTCCTTTTGAGAATATGCAAAGAATCACTTTCTGATTGGATTTATGCATGTCTGTCCGTCTGTAGATGTTAAATTGTAAATAAAGTACAGGTCGCATTTATGATCCGATTTGGATGAAATTTGGCACAGCTCACTTTTTTGGCCCAACGATGAACCCTATTGTAATAGAAGAAAATCGGTTCAGATTTGGGTATAGCTCCCATATATTTTTTCGTCCGATTTAATGTAAATGATGCGTCAAAGTCCCTAAATATCTTTCGATTTGCACGAAAATTGGCATAGCGTACTAAATTAAGTCGAGAATGTCCGATTTAATAGAAATGGTGCACCATTTGTTCTTATACATCTTTCTGTTTTTTAAATAAAAAATAATCAAGCAATTGAAAATTCATCTAATGTTACAAAATTTACTCAACTAATATTCAACAAACGTACAATATATAGGTACACTGGCAGCACGAACACTTCATCGTCTCAGTATAGTAACTTTAGTACTAGTGCAAAATTGAAGGATCCCACCTCTACATCATCAAATACAACTCATTACGAAAGGTAAGTAGTGGCATCGTGGCGTGCGCCGTCTTCTGCAGAAGTTATTTATCAATTTTTTTGTTTATTTTGAGTTTGAGTTAATATTGTTTTTTGTGTGTTTTGGTAATTTAACAAAATTCAATAAAAAGAATTTGAAAATTGTTCTTATTTTCTTCTAAATAATAATTTATTATTTTTTTTTTCTTCTCCGTTTTTTCATCATCATTGTGTGTGTTCTACTAGTGTATCCTCTAGTAATGCCATTAGCAGCAACAGTGGTACATCTGTAAATTCCGTTTCAAGTGGTGTCAATTCCAATAATGCCGTGACAAACAGTATGATTTCATCCACTTTGGGTGCATTAACAAGCAATACCAATGTTAATAATCCTTCTTCTCTAGCTAACAACAATGCCAATAACAGCAGCTCAAATAGCAGTTCTGCACAAAATGCCACATCAAATGTGGTATCACAGACTGCTGGCGGCAGCAGTGGCGTTGGCGGTGTTGGCAGCGGTGTGGTGAATAGCAGCAATAACAGCAGCAGTAATGTTGTTAATGCCAACAGCAGCAGCAGTGGCGGCGTTGGCACATCGTCCGGTGTTGTCAGTGGTAGCGCATCATCGGCCGCCGTGGCAGCTGCATCATCGAGTGGTGGTGTATCGTCGGCGACGAATAAGACTGGTAGTGGTGGTGTAACGGGTAGTAGTGGTGGTGGTGCACCCACTGGTGGTAGTGGCGGAGCTGGTAGTGGAATGGTACCCAACATCCAAATGGTTAGTCAATATATTCAGACTTCATTGCCATACTATCAGCAACCAGTTTATTCTTACGAGGATTTACAAATGATGCAACAGAGAGTGCCACATGTGGTGAGTTCATGGAGAAATGCAACACAATACAAGCGCAAAACAACATTACATAACACATTTAATAATGATAATCATAACGAATGAACGAACGCGAAAATCAAAACCATATTTCATTATTAACAATTTTTTAACATCTTTGTTTAAAAAACGCACACACATAATTTCTTTATTCATATAACCGCATAAATATTACAATTCTAATACATTTTTTAACTAGCCATTAACATTATTCTACATCATATTACCATTAGAAACAGATATTGGTGACAGTTGGTTTTCAAAACAAAATAATATGGGTCATGGGACTATTTCAAGATAATCAAAGAAAGTTATTTGCAATGCTGCAACATATATCCCATAAATATCCCACATTTCGGTTTGTTGTAGGGTTGGATATACGTGCATATTCTGACATAGCCTTCATATAAACTTCCCGGGCTTTTTTTAAAGATTTCATACGCATTTTTCTAACGGGTTCGGGTTCTTGAAAGGTGCAAAAATATCTTTGTAGACAATTATAGGTCCTTGTCAAGAAAGAAAGAAAATAAGCTATAATTATTAGGAGGAAGGTGAGAATAGTTTCGATGGCTAGAGAAATCGGACACAATAACAAATTACGTGCTAAGGTTGCTCTTTCCTAACCACTTTAGGTTTCTAACGATATAATTGAATAGAAGCTTAGTTGAGAAATAACTTAGAGACGGTATGTGCCAGAACGCTGTCAGAACTGGACAGCGACACAAAAGATGCTAAATGGGCTCAGTCTCCTTCTCGTCAGCACAGAGTCTAAAGTAATCAGTAACATCATGGTCCCATTTACTGGCAAAGACCCTGATATTGCAATGAACAGTAATGACTCCTGTCATTACTCTAATTTCAGCTTTGCTCAGGTTCAACAGAGAGTTTATCCTCTTGGTTGATAGAGTCGGCCACATAGATTTGACAAATTGCACCTAGGTTCGTTGTGCCAGAGTTCCTTGACTCGTTCGTCGAATAACGCCTCAAAGTTATGAAAGAGATGACAGATGGGTGGTTTGATTGACCAATCGATTGCTAGATCTGTAGATTGAGATCTCGTCTAGCTAATTCGTCTGGTTTTTCATTACCCATGATGTCACGGTGTCCTAGTACCCAACACAGCCGATAGCTGTGAGTGTTTCCAAAACTGCTCTACACTCGAGGACGACATCAGATTTGATATTACTAGATTTGATGACTTTAAGAACCGCCTGACTATCCACAAAGATATTCACCGGTTCAACGATATTGGCATCCAGACTTTATATTAATTCCGGTGCCTTCCGAATAGCGAAGATTTCAGCTTGGAAAACACTACAGTTGCTATTCAGCTTGTGGGTAAGCTCAAGGCCTAGCCTTTCACGGTAGACGCCAGCCCCTGTACCTTCTTCCATCCTGGATCCCTCAGTATAGAGAGCCTAACCGTTCAGAGGAGGGTTGCTACGGTTTCTGTCGTCTCTACTAGGGATAACGACATCTATATCAAATCTCAGGACTGGCCATATATAGTCGCTTAGTTTTACGCGTTATTCAGGATGCATTGTTTTGGAACAATGTTTATGAGGGCCAAGGCGTGATTTTGGGTGGCAAATGTTCGAAAGCTTAGAAATATTCTGATCTTTGCTATAGTCCCCTTTTTCATGACCCTAGACCCATTGTGGAGGGTATTAGATAATCGACCAAGCCTAACATAACTACATTAAGAAGCAGATTCATATTTTGATACAACAACAATTTCATATTTTTTTACAATTACAAGAATAAGGCTGTAAAATTTGATTTTATTCCAATTACATTAACTGTCCTAATAAGTCAACTTTAATTTTTTGTATAACAGCTTTGCGGTTGCCCAACAAAAATCTCAATTGAAATAGTATTTACTTTGTATATTTTAAATACATATTGTTTGATGTTTCTATTGTATTGCATTGAACCTATCTCATATAACTTGGTTTAATAAAAATTCGTCCTCTCATCATTCCCGCTATTGCATCTACTGAAATAATGATATCCCATTCCTTATTTTCATAAAACATACATACAACCAAAAATACCATAAATATACCTACTATTTGTCGTAAATTTTAAAAAAATAACTAATTTGCAATTATAAGCAATAATAACTTATAACTAAGGGTGAATGAGCTTTGTTTTTATTATAATATATGTTTGTTTGTTTGAGTATATGGATATTTATGGTATAAAACATCCCATGTATGCTCTAAATGTAAAAGTGGTTTATGTGCCAAGAACATCCTTTGCATTTACAAATTTTTATTTTTTTTTTCAAAAATTTTAGCAAGGTTATTATGACTTGAACTACACACCTACAAGTCTAGGAGCTGGTCGCGACAATTTGGGCTCTGTGGCCTATTCCACCATGACTGATGGCCGCTTTACCAGAACTGACAATAATTCCAGTCCTGTTAGTAATGTAAGTAGCAACAACAACAAACGCAAACACACATCCAAATAAACCGGTAATACATAATAATATTAAAAAAATCGTCATTACAGGTTTCAAGTACAATGTCACAACAAGCCGGTTCCAGTGGACCCATGCTTAATGTTCCTTACGCTTATTTCTATGGCGGTAATGTTATGCCCGGTAGTTTTCAATATGGCACTCCTGCTATTTATCCGGTAAGGAATACGGCAATTTTCCTCAATTTTAATGACAATTTTTAATTTAATTTATTCCAGCAAATTCCTGCTGCTAATACAGCATCTGGTGGTCAATTCCCCAAACCTTCATATAACACAGGCTATGGTTCTACGAACTATGATGCACTATCACAGGCCTCTCAAGACTATAGCAACAAAACCTACCCTTCGAGTGTTAATCAGCCCACAAAGTCCCAAAATGTAACAAATCCTCCACAAGCTGGAACAGCATCGGATATTACATCGTCTATGTATGGCAAGACCCATGTAGCACTTAATAAGGTCAATGTAAGTTGCACATTTTTAAGTCGTCTAATTTTTTGAGAATCACTGAACATTGTTTCTATTTATGTTTCCAAAATTTAGTACTTTCTAAAAAATACATTTTTGATTCACTCTATATAAATTTTATCTAATTATTTCCTTGCTATTGTCTCTCGTTTTTTTACAGTCGTACGAGAAACAGAATTTCCATTCGGGTACACCACCACCATTTAATATGGCAAATACCCAAACAGCTGGCGGCACCTCAGCCCAACCCTATGGCATGTATTTACCCACAATGCCTGCTGCAGCAGGTCATCATATGATTCATCCCCAAATTCATCAGGTAATTTAAAAACAAACCCCGCCTTCCACCTTTATCTTGTTTAATAATACTCTTCCTTTCCTCATAATAATATATTTAATTAATAATAGTAAAAATTATTGAAATGATTTGATAATTTGCTCTCTAAGACACATTCAAAAATTCGTTAACATCTAATAATAATAAATACATAATAATGCTACACATTTGTAGATAGTTAACCATAAATGCACTACTACCAAACACGTTTCATGACATTGCATTAAAAAACCAACCCCCCAAAACAAAATAGAGCATTGTTATACATATCTGTGTGTGTGTACATAATTAAATATTCCAAAAAAAAAAAACATTTTCACTAAGCAATTCCATAACATTTTTCGGACTACTAGGGTAACAAACAACGTCGCTAAGATCACATTTGAAATTAACAGATTTGATTCTGCAGGGCCTCCTATTTTCCCTATAAAGATTATCACCACTATTACCAGCAGGAGTGGACCAATGGTTTCCATCTTCCGACTTCATCTAGGGTTGGTAAAGATATGATAATAGTTGTGCAAGGTTTGGTTCAAATCTGACATTGCATTCGCCTGATATTGCATTTATAAATATTGAAAATTTTGACCATTTGTGGGGAAGGTAGCAGAAGGAAGGAGTGTACCAATGGGTCCCATCTTCAATGTTGATCTATTCTTGGTAAAGATAATAGGTTGTGTAAAATTTAGTTCAAATCAAATCAACCATGGGTTGTGCAAAGTTTGGTTCATATCGGACATTCCATTCGCTTGATATTGGATTTACACACATTGAAAATTTTGACCATTTGTGGGGGAGGTACTAGAAGGTGTGGACTAATGGGTCCCATCTTCCTACTTGATCTAGGCTTGTCAATGATAATAGGTTGTACAAAGTTTCATTAAAATAGAATAGTCCGTTTGCATGTTACTATAAATTTAATTTTTAGCTTAATTTTGACCATTTTGGGGGAAGGTACAAGAAAGAGTGGACCAATGGGTCCCATCTTCAAACTTGGTAAATATAATAGGTTGTGGGAAAGTTTGGTTCAAATCGAATAGTCCGTTCGCACGATATTATAAAAAAAATTTTTAGCACAATTTTGACCATTTAGTGGGTAGGGAGGTACCAGACGGAGTGGTCCGATATTTCCCATCTTTGAACGTGAACTAAATTTGGTAGAAATATTACGACGATGTGCAAAGTTTGGATTAAATCGGTTACTCCCTTCGAGGCGGGCATTTGTAAAATGACTCCAAATTGTCTGAAATGGATTTGTTGGTCCAAAGAAACATGGCGTCTAAAATCAATATTTCGTGAGGTACTTTTTTATCGTATGAAAGTGTATATTATACCTTTATTTTAGCCACATGGCTGAGGGTGTAAAAAAAATATTTGTGGGTGGATTGCTTCGACGGGAGTCTCTCTTTTATGGAGATGCCAACAAATTTATCTGAACCTAAGACCTTAAAAATTTACACTTAAAAATTTCAACTTCATTTAAATGGCCGGATATATTTATTTGTGTAAAATTTACATGCGGAGTCAAAGTTGGATAAACAAATATATTTAAAGTGGTTGGATTTTACTCACCACAGGGGGGATTTGTTTGATGGAAACATATTTGGTTTAAAAAAGCACAATTTTATCGCCAAAGTTAATTTACCGAAGATGCTACGTTTTCCTCTCCCATAAATATAAAATGATTTAAATATCATATATTTATATATATTTATTTTTTTTTTAATTTTTCCATATATCGAGATGTAGTTTGACATACTCGACTTTGAGTACTCTACTTACAAGTGAATTCGAGATTGAATGTTCACTATATAATATATTATAAAAAAATAAACGCCAAGGACTGTGTCGTCGTTGTAATTGATCAGTCGGAAAACAGTGCACATTTTCGTAATACAATATGTTTTATTTTTTTTGTTATTGGTTTTCCAAACTTTGCCATAACGCCGCGCATACAATTTACTACTTACCTACCTACTTTTAACTTTATAAATAATGTTTTTACTTTTGTTTTTAACTATGACTAATAGATTTAATAGATTTTTTTCATATAAATAGTTTACTACATATTAATATTATAGCCGTCTGCCTAATATTGCCATCATTTATAAGTGCCTATTCATGCCTATTTCATAAAGTCATTGCCCGACCGCTCAGCCCTTACCTTTTTTCATCATATCCTTCTGTTTATTATACATTTATTATTTTGTTTTGTTTATTATATTTTTCTTAACTAAACAACATAACTTAAAAAAAGCGATTTAAATTGAAACGAAACATTTTCTCTTCATTTAATTATCTTCCCCCCAGTATTTTTAATCGAAATTAAAAGAAATTCTATATAAAAAACACACACACAACCACCAACACCCAACCAACTTTCCTCCCATCAAATTCAACTAAAAAATACAATACCAACAACAAAAAACTCTCTACTTATGCATGAAATATTCTCCTGTTTGATTTTTATTATTATTTCTTTTGGTTTTTATTGGACATCAACATAAAATAGATGGACGGCAGGATTCACAATTCATCCCGCCGGGTAAGTTGATAACAAGAACAACAACAACAAAAGTCATGTTCCCCTCTTTAGTAAAACACACACACTCCACCACCACCCCACCAACCAACCCACCTTAGCGATATAGTTTCGACAAAACTACAAAAACAAAAGCAACTACTACTAAAGTCGTCATTAAAGAATTAATATCTAGTTAATTGTTATAATCTTTTGGCAGTCCCTAACTTCTCCCTCCCTTCCTCAACCAACCTCCTCTTTTTAATAATAACTCCAATGCGTTTTCTTTATATCGTTATTTTTTTCAATTTGCAACACTATGTAATGAAAATATTGTGAGGTTAGGTCTAAAATTAATGGGACTATATAAACAAATTTTAAAAATATTTTTGAGGTTAAATAAACATTTTGAAATTAATTTGAGTTTTAATAATAATGTTTTAAACTTTATTTGCTACAAATTTTGATATTTCAAAAAAGTAATGATCTCAGATTTTATTTTCGTAATGAAGTCTAGTCTAATCGAAATATATTTTTATACATTACAAACATTGGTTTTCTGTTACATAGTGTTACATATCTATTTTGCAAAAATGTCTCAATCATTTTTAATATTTTTTTCTTGGTAGGGCTAAATTAGACCAAAAAGCGTTAATGTGGCAAAGTTTTCAAAAAAATCAATAATATTAATATGATCTTCTCCTTCATTCTTTGTTAACCAACCCCCCTTACCCCACCCAAACGTTCCTTTTTGAATCAAAATTGTCAAAATCTTGACAATGTGTTTGGAAATTTTGTATGAATGCGTGCCGCGCATAATCATTTCATTTCGGTATAACGAGTTATCTACTACTACCAAGTTTTTTTTCTATTTTTCTCTTCAGTTGTAGTTTTGTTGTTTTCTTCTTCTTCTTTACATTATCATTCATTACTTTTTTCATACATTATATTTATTATTAATTTTCTTTCTTAACTAATCTACTAATCAAAATATTTCTCTGCTTTATTATAGGACTCGAACAGTACTGGTCAACGTCAACCCACAAGTAGCCAATCAAAATCGGCTACAAAACAAGGATATTCACCATCCTATTGGACTGGTCAGAATTAAGATCATCATCTCTTTTTTGTTTTCTAAGACACCACACTACACCACAGACTACTGCTACCACACCTACATACATACAACCAATTTTACAACAACCATATGAAAAAAGAAATAAAACAACTGGCGATCTCCTTTTTTACGTTGATGATGAATACCACAACAACAACAACAATAATAGTACTAAAAAAAAAAATATTTTTGATAAAGACAAGAATTGGAAGAATTTGTCGCCGCCCACCACCCATCTCCAAAAATACACATTTAGATGCTGCTGCGCTTTACCAAAATAAAAAATAACAACCTGAAATGCAGGACAAACAAAATAAGAATTAACCTCCTCTACTACAGCTCCTCGCCTACATACAACATACTTCATCATATTTTCCACGTATACAACAAGTAACATCATACCATATTAAGAAGAAGAAGAAGATAACCAAGTATATAAAAAGGAATATATCTCCGCCAGTTTTTTTTTAAAAAGAAACCCTGAATAGTTAGTAATCGAACGTCGCTCGTTTTTAGGAGACACTAATTTTAAATAGTTTTAAAATGCATCTCTATTAAATCAAAACCTGCTCCTCCGCCGTCGTCAACGTTTTATGATTCTCCATATATAATGTCGTCTATTTATTTATTCAATAACAATCCCAACAACCAAAATATTTAGTATAAAAGAAGGAAGAAAATCAAACTCCCCACAGGAAATCTTGACATCTCCAAACTAAATATGATGCCGCCGCCGCCGCGATTACTTCTCCTCCTCATAACACACACACAACAACCACAACATTTACCATATTATAAATCATACAAAATAATAATTTCATGCATTCGCATCTTTTTTTATAAAAAGAAATACAAAAACAGATAAATAAAATAAAAAAACATAATTATCAAACAAATAATTTAATTAAAATTAAAACATTATATATTATTATTACAAGAGATGGAAAAGAGTAAAAGAAAATAATAATAAAAAACGAAATAAATTACTATATATATAAATGTATGTACTACTAACTCTAGTAAAGAAACATAAGAGAAAACCATGCGCCCCCAAAATGAAACAAAACCCTGTTGTGAGTGGGTAAAAAAAAACAAAATATGAATTAAAACAAAATATCTATAATCAACAAAAGAGGAAAAAACAACCGGAAATAATAAGCTAATGTTGCAAAGCAAAAAACATTTTTTTGGTAATAGATGAACAAACACAACAAAAAAGTCGTAAACGTTTAATTGAAAACAGAAGGGAGAAACATACAGAATACAACAACAACAAAATACAGAAGAAACAAAAAAGAAAATAATCATAATTATTATAATAAAACGAAAACAAAAGAAAAAACAAACAAATATTGTAATCGGTTTAAACTTATATGTATAATTATAATAATCTTAATATTTAAATTAAATACAACAAAACAAAACATGATTGAATCCAAACATAAAAAATAAAATTGTGATTTATTTTTCGGATGTCAGGTAGTAAACGTTCAACAACAGCATCAATGTCTTCCAAACGCTCGATGGGGTCAGGGGGTTTAAAGCCCAGCAAGACATAGATTTTTTTAAATATTTTTTTTTTTTCAAAAGACCAGGGGGGTTACTCTGTATTGCGTTGCGAAAGCCAGTGCGATGCGAAAGCTAAATGCGTTAAGAGTGCAATTTGGTACTCTGTATCGCTCACGCAAACGCATTCGCAAAATAAATTCAAAATAGGGCAACACTGGCACCACAATGTAAACAATAACGAAAAATGACAAAAGGAAACGTCAAAAAATTGTAAATAAAAACATATTTTTATGTGGTACGAGAGTTTTTTTTTTTAACATTAAACATTTAAAAACATATTTTTATGTGGTACGAGTGTTTTTTTTAAACAAAAATGACGAACCAACTAAAAAAAGAATTTTAAGAGAAAATAGAAGTACGAATAATGTGTCAAACGTTTTCAAATATTTAATTTTTATAAATTTGTACAAAATGTTCGTCTCAATAAAGATGCGTTTATGTTTTTAATAAACGCTTTTAAAAATGACCTCGTCGTTCCAAATAGATCCACAGCAATTCCAAATCCAATAAAAGTGGACGTTGAAATTGCTTGGACAAGGTGGTTATCAACACCAACCTGTAAATATGCACAAATAGTTTCACATTTTATATATAAAATGTAAAACATTACTTTTTCCCAACCAGCGACATCTCTTACAGGAGGTCCATCTGAATTAAGGTCATCGTCCAGTTTTCTCTACAATTTTTTGGCGCGTCGTTTCGCATTTGAACTCTACAACTGGCCCCTTGCCAAATCGCTGTGTTGCACCATAAAATCTACTAAAGTTTGGAACTGACGGTGCTGAGTCATCAACTGTAACTTTTTTTGGCTTTCACCCAAAATAATTATCAATTTAGATGTAAATAAAAACTTTAATTGTTCTTATTTACATGTTTCGCTTCATTTGCGTTTGCAAGATATTTGCGTTTAACGAACGAGTTTGACATGCGTTTTCGTATTACAGATTGCGGTGATGCCACATTTGCGTAAAGTAGATGCGAAAGGAGATACGAAAACGAATTAGAGAGTACCAATTACGCGATGCGATACAATTTTTCTTACGCATCGCAATACAGAGTAACCCCCCAGAAAGGCGTATATTTTGAATACCCTCAGCCGCCTTTAGGCTAATGAGGGTTTATACACTTTGATACGGTGAAAATGTGCCTTATCGAAATCTTAGTTTTAGACCCCATGTTTCTTTGGACCAAATCCGTTTCAGAAAATTTGAAGTCGATTTAGCCATGTCCGTCCGTGCGTTGTCCGTCTGGCTGGCTGGTGCGCACATCTTAATATTTCGTCCTAACTTAGTTTATGTCCGTTACACTCCTGCTACCTCCCCCATAAAATGGTCAAAATTGTGCTAAAAATAATTTTATAATAACATGCAAACGGACTATCCGTTTGTAACGAAAGTTTGTACATCCTATTATCTTTACAAGCCTAAATCAAGTTTGAAGATGGTACCCATTGGTCTACTCTTTCCGGTACCTCCCCCACAAAATGGTCAAAATTGTGCTAAAAATTAATTTTATAATAACATTTAAAATTAAATTTTTAAATTTAAAAATTTTCAATATTTGTAAAACCATTATCAGGCGACTGGAATGTTCGATTTGAACCAAACCTTGCCTAACCTATTATCTTTACCAACCCTAGATCAAGTCCGAAGATGGGAACCATTGATCCACTCCTTCTGGTACCTGCCCCACAAATGGTAAACATGTTCAATATTTGTAAATCCAATATCAGGCGAATATAATGTCAGATTTGAAGCAAACTTTGCACAACCCATTACCTTTACGAAGTCTAGATTGAGTCCAAAGATTGCGCAATCGTCTGCAGGATAAACTTAAACCACCAATCAAAGGCAGTCGATTTAGACTATTTTTTGATTCAAAGGGATTTACAACTATGCCCCTATTACCTCCATGCATATTCTGATGCATTTTCGAAACTTCGGAGGCACTGATCTCGGGAAGTTTAGAGTACTCTCACAAGAAGATCGAAAAAACTTCTAAAAAATTAGAGATGATCACCAAAATTCATCATGTTCCCAATTCCTTAAGGTCGTATACATTCAAATTCGTAAAATTTGTTTTTCTTAATTTTGTGTGTTTATTAATGAGGATACATTTTATCTTTTGTTCTTACATTTCTATCATACATAATATAACAACAACAGCATACATTTGCTGATGCTGAAGAATATGGTGTTGACGGTGCAAATCTCTTTCTCTCCCGCTTCCTATTGATTGTGCAGCAGCTTGGAAAAGTCAGCATATGCGGATTCTACATCGAAAAGAAATTGACGACTTTGGGCATCGGTCAATTCATCGGAAGCCGTCATTTCATCCAACATTTTCAACCAATTATTCATTTTCTCTTTACCCTCAAAGTCCTTTGGTATAATAGACAGACAATTGTAGTTTTCCACCAGATCTTTTAGTGTCAGATGCAGGGCATCCTTTGTGTTCATCTTCATGCGCAGCGTGTCCATAATTGTTATGGAACAGGCAATAATATCAGCAATACATTTCGATGTGTTGCCTTTGTCATCTTTAATGGTAATGGGTCGATCTTCACGGATACGTTCCAAAGCGGCTGGACAATCGAGACGGAATTTCTTCGCAAAGGCTTCGACGGTGGGAAATTCATCGCATTGGACTTGCTTAAATGCCACTTTGTATTGTACCAAATATTTGGAGCAGGCTGCCGTGTAGTCTGCCGCCGTGATGCAGTCCCGGATATAGGCCTTTTCCAATTGCTGAAGGGTATTTATGATGGCATACAAATCAGCCATATTATCGTACTTCTCACGTTCCCTGGCATTTCTGAAGAGTTTCACCTCCTCATATAATTCCGATGAGGTTTCCATGTGTGTATTTTCAAATAAGAATTCTTTTGTTATTTGGAATAATTAAAAAATATTTTTTTATCAACAAATTGGGATGACGAATTGGCAGGCAAATGACGTCCCTTTATTGTTTATTTTAGTGGAGTTGCCCAATTGCTGCAAACTGTATAAAAACAATTACACTGCTGATTACGAAAAGTACTAAATTAGTAGTTGTCAGCTGTCAACGTCTGTTACCATTTACTACAACTGTTGCTTGCTTTTTGACATTAGATTCATTTAATCAAGTCCAAAGACACGCAAAAATTTTCTTGCGAGCATTTCGGTTTTGTGTACAAATATCAGCCAGTCCTCAACAAAATGAAGGTTATCTACAACACTTTGTTCAAAAGGACCTCCACCTTTGCCGTGGTCGTCATTGGCTCTGCCTTCTTCTTTGAACGTGCCCTCGATGTTGCTTCCGAAAGCTTTTTCGAGTCCGTCAACAAAGGCGTAAGTAGTGAAATTCTGGAAATGTCATTATGTAAGCCAGCAACGAGCAGAAACTCATCGCATCGTCTTTTTTGTTTTTTTTTTTTTTATTTTCAGAAATTGTGGAAGGACATCAAGCACAAGTACGAATAAGTTGTAGCAGAATTGTTAAGCTCTTAAGAAAATTTTATGAAAACGAAAAATGTATGAATAAATTTTAAACAAAGTTTATTGAAACAACAAAACCCACATAGTGTGTGTGCGACTATATTTATTTTTTACATTAGTACGTATTTTCTAGTTCTTAATATCATCCTCTAAGACTTCCCAGGGTTTGTCCTCCCGTGTCGCATCCCATGGTTTGGGATTGACATACTGTGGTGATTCTTTGAGCGCAATGCCGTTCTCTTCTACTGTCTTTAGGAATTTATCCAATTTGCCACCGGGTACTGCTTCAATGTTGCACAGCATTTCGGTTATACCGGATTGCTGGCAACGGGATGCCAGAACGCGGGCCAAGTTAATAAAGGCTGTGGTATCTTTAGTTTTGAAAAGTTGCTTTTTAATCGCCCACTCTGAGGTACTGGCGGAGATTATAGGTCCATTCTGGAAATGTTTCACCTCCGCGGTCACATAACGCCCCGAAACATTTACCTCCAGTTTATGCCAAAATGATCGTCCCGGCTTCTCCAGATGGTAACCCATTGGTTTATAGGCAATACGTAATTTTTCCAAATTCCTTGGGTTCCGGTTGTTCATGTAAATGGCATCTGGTTTGGGTACCGATAATTGTTTGATTTTGCGCAGCACATGTGCCGATGTTGGTGGCCTAAAATGTCCCGACATTTTGTGGTGATACCTGTGGGAGGTTTAGAAGTTTTAATTAATAAAATTTGTTATTATTTCGTTTATTTTGCAAATGTAATAATACCTTCTCGTGCGTGGGACTTAGGGGTATATAAGTCGACTTCTGGTGGGTCGCTGTACTATGAGAAATATGGTAAACAGCTGATGAAGAAAAAACAGCAGAGCTGCCCTATTGAAATACTTTCAGGGGGTTAGCCATCTATTAAAAAGAAGAAGAGTGCCGAATGAAAACAATATTTCCTAACGGAATCTACAAGGATCGGTTTGTAGTCGGGAGACGGCCAAGCACTTGAGCAGCAAAAAAGGAACTGTTTCATCAATAGATGTTATTGTTCTGTTCTGTAAGTGTGAAATTGTACCAGATTTTGTGTGCGGGCATATAACACAGGTAAGGAAGTTCATATGCTTAAAAATCTTTTTACACCATTTAACATTAGGTGGTCATTCAATATACTTAAATTCGATTGGGGCTACCCCAAGATTAATTGCGTCCAATAAAAATAAAAGGAAAACTATAGACTCATAGGTAGAAAAATTGGAATAGAATCTTAAACATACCAATGGTGACGCGTTACCATTGTATGAGGACTATGTAGGTTTATAGGATGATTTGCCATCACATGAGAAATCACATATAAAATCAATTTGGGTGTCCATACCGAAACGTGGACAGATATCCCATTTTAAGTAAAACATTTCAGCAAATATTTAACTAACCAATTTGTTTTAGATAAAAAACCCATTCGAATAAGAAAATTCTAAATTTTATTTTTTGATTAAACAGTTAATATTTGCAATATTTATTTCAAATACAATTAGTATTAATTTTTAAAAGTATATGTGGGATACAAAAGAAAAAACTGTGCAGTGGATACTTTTAGTATATCAGTCTAAAATACAACAACAACAAAATGAGCTCTGTTTGGAATAAACAACTTTTAACCGTATTCCGATTGAATCGTTAAAGTAAATTGGCCTTTGGCAATGGAAGTACCATGATACCAGACACGAGTGTCAACCAAAACTATAAAATACAATTTCGAAATTAATCATTGTAATAATATTGGTATACATATGCAAAGAGAGTAGCTAACCTGCATCTCCTGGTTCCACATTAAACGAAAATGATTGACACACATGATCACATTCCGGTGTGGGGGCTAAAATCCAGCTTTTATTGCCTTTCAATTGGGCCTGCCACATTAGACGATGTATGTAATCCAACTGCAATGTTATTATTAGTTAAAGAAATATTTTATAGAGTTATCTTCAACTTACATGCATATATGCTCCCTGTTCATAACCTAAAAATATATAATCTGTATTGGACATTTCTGCATCGGCTGGCAGGAAATGTGGTCGACCATAGAGTTTACGCAAATCCTCCAGGACGGGACCATAACAATTACTCCATCCCACATACCAAGTAGAACCTGTACTTAAATTTGCTCTTTCTGCTGGCATATTGAAAACATCTCGAATCGATTTCAAATCCGAATGTAAACTTAAAAAATGACAATTCTCATCCAACGATTCGGGATAACGTTCATAGATATCTTTTAGCAGTTGTAAATTTAACAACTTACTAGCCGGCCAATGACTTACAGCATTTTTAATAACAATCGGTAGCGATGAATAGGCATAAGGTGCAAATTCCTCTCGTGTCATATTCTTTAATATCAACGGACCCTCAACACCCCGACAAAATCCACAATCACTTATAGGTCGAGTCGCTTCCCAAACCAAATGATTATTGGGTAGAAAACATTTGACACCAATTAGGAAAGTTAACAAATTGTAGAAGAGGGGTGTCAGTAACATTACCGAAGCCATTATGCCGAAGGTATACCACATATTAACCCGATTGGGATTCTGTTCAATTTCACGAGATTTACGATAGGCCTCCTGTAGGTCTTCCTTTGAGACGACACCAGTATTCCAAGCTCCATTATGAAGTTTATCCAGTTTGTCGACGAAACGTTGATCCAAACGTTCTCTAGTACGCAAAGCAGACTCGCGGGCCGATGCCGTCTGCCGATTCCAAAACTGTTTAAAAAGAGATGGTATATAGATTAGCGGAAGAACGATTATGAAATATTAAAAATGTTTTAAATTTACCAAAAACATTTTTTTGTTTTGTTTTTATTCTCCTTAGAGGAGAAATTGTACACAAAGGAGGCTTCTTCTTATTTAGCATGCAATGACACTAGTTTGTGTACACTGGATTCTTCTTATTTTGAAGAATGCAATGACATACAGGTTGATAGCTGCAAACAGTCTTGATATGTGGTATTATATCTGATGATTAGAAACAATTCAAATTAAAAAAAATATCTTACAAGATTTCAATATTAGATATATGCTATGTTCCATTGTCGCCATATAATGATTTTCAGCTGTATTTTCCGAAATAAAGGACACAGTAATTCGACTTTAAGAAGGCTGGAAAAACATCTACGCAGAAAATGTAGATCTATTTCTTGACATAGCTTCGGTGATGCAGCTGCCTTCCCATGTTCGATGTATTTAACATTTTAGCTGCATTTTTTAATAGAATTTTCCGTCATTTAGGATTCTGGATTGGAAAAAAAATGAAAAAAATAAATCCTCATGAAGTAGGTTAACCCGGTAAAAAGTTCAAATGTAAATGCGGTTTAAAACGGCATATACATTAGAAGGTTAACCCGGACATATAAAAAGCAATTTGGGTTAACAAATGTAAATGCCGTTTAAGGAACCATAATTTTAGATTTCGAGTTTTTGAATTATAAACTTTTTTGGTATGTTCAAGTTCCTAGCCTTACTAGAGTGTTCGTAATTTGATATTCCGTTTTCTAAGAGGATAAACAACCAACTAGCAGATAATTCCTAATGACATAGACTCAATAAAAAGGTCCCTATCAAGCGGTATTTTGAGTGTTTATCTCATGGTGAAGATTATAAGATAAAGTTTTAGCCATATCCGGCTGTCTGTCTGTTGGAATAAAAGTAGAGAACACAACATTTAGGATGGAGTTTTGCACATACTTTGTTACACATGTTTGATATTGAAATTTCGGTAATTAGTCAAGTTCTATCAAATTGGATGTCATTTTTTATTTTGGATTCTCATGGTTAGAAAAATCTCTCTATCAAAAATTTATATATGCGCTTAAGATTCAGGGTATGACTATGTAACCCCAATATTCAGTATTTATTTATTTTTATTCTTTAATTTTGTTTGTTTTTTGATTTTGCAACAAAGCCAAAAAGGCCAATGACAGTTACATAATACGTTATCACTGGATGTCAAAACTTCCTTGCAAAAATTTGCATGTCAAAGTCTCCATATCGATTTTATGTTATTTGAATGTCACCTCATAATTCAGTCTTCGTTTTGGCCGATCTGAACGACATTTTTAATTGATTCGCAGTCCATTAATTCCGAATGAAATATTTCTTTTCAACAACAAAAATTTAGTTTTTATAAATGGTTTAGTTGATCAAATTTTTCTAGTAACAAAAGTCCACTTTTGTGTTCCCTAAATGTGATTGAAATTTTTTAATAGTTACAAATCTTGAAGTAGTAACTTATAAATTCAGTATGTGTAAACCCAACTATAACTGTTACCTATGTTACCATTTTGCATTGGATTACATGGTAAACAAATATTAGAAGAAGACGAAAATATAACTGTCAACGCGTCCAAGTGTTGTGCTGTGCCGAGTGTGATACAATCAATAAATCAATAAATTTTTAATAAAAGTAAATAAATCACAGCAAAGTACGTTGTCGAAAAGTTTATTTTTTGTTGATTTTGTAAAATTTAGTTAATACATACATAACATGTAAAATAATATAAATTATACAAAAAAAAAAACAAACATTGCATCAATCAGCTGTTCCACTGAAATAGTTTTCTTTTTTTTTAGTTTTTGCAACAATTTAAATATTTTTTGTTTTGTTTAATTTACATAAGCGTTTTTAAGGAAGTAAACCGAAAAAAACATTAATTTATGTTATTATTTTAGCATAAACGCATGACATGCGCTGTGATTGCTCAAGACGACCTAAAGAGTGCATAAAAAATTAGTGTCATTGGTGGCGGTGGCGTGTTTTCGTCGTAAGATCCAAAAAAACAAAAAAAAAATACCTTGGCTGTTTTTCAAAGCAACCACAACATATCGCATTATTCCCTTGAAAACCTAAAGCCTTAGGAAATTACCAGCAAACATGTTGAGTATCTGCAGGAATGTCACAAAAATCAATGGATTTAATGTATCCAGCAGCAGGCCAACCTTGGGCCTTTATTTGCGATGCATACCGGTAAGTGTTGACAATTTTTAATTTTGTTTTCTTATTTATTTTTATGTTATATCATGGGTTCTATTTCTTATTTGTTTTTTGCCAATATTTCCTTTGTTTTTTTTTTCGTTTGAGTTAGGAAGAGAAATTATGAAAATTTTTTCTCTTTAAAGGATATAAAGAGAGTATTGAGATTTCAAATATAGGTCACCCTGCATTTTTTGTTACCAAATGCATTATTTTCAATATAAAAAGTGAAGGTCCATCGTTTTGTTTTTTTTTGTGGTGGTATGTTGTTGCTATCCTACACTCAACTGCAAATGTCTTGAAATTCATTCAATTTGAATATTGAAATGTGTGTGGCATAGTGTGTAACGTATAATTTCACTGTAACACGTTTTGAAATTGGCGCATTTTGTATTTGCCATTGACAACTAGAACACGTGAATGTTGGAGTAAACAATATTTTAAAATTAAATTTAATGGGGACTTATTAAATCTTTAAGTTTTGCACTATGAAACTTATTTTTTCAAATACTACTGCTATTCAATGGCTTGGAATGATTAAAAAGCGATATTAGTAACTGGTGTTTTTCCATCCACTAAAAATAAATATAAAATAAACCAGTTTAATGTGACTGGAAAAAATCGCATTGCACTGAGGTATCTACGTAATAGGCTAAAGATCGGTTTATAAACCCGATCTATTGTTGAAATTATTTATAGCTATGAGTGTATACAGACATTTCTTTTATAGATTTTTTTCTTTTAAAATATCTAAGTTCTTAAACACAGAAATATTTTTTTATTGTGATTGTTTACTTTAATAAACCGCTGAATATAAAGCAAATTTAAAATTGGTGAGATTTCTGCAAAAAATATAAGGCTGAGGCACTTTTTGAAGGAAAATCTATCGATGTAATGGAAAAAAGTCTTTTGAAAAGATAATTTGTAAGCCACTGGGAACAAGAAATACTAAATTGCCACAACTTTTGATGAAAAAATTAGAACGCAAAATATTAAATTACATCCAATATAGTTGGATAACTTGTCCAACGTACCAAAATATTGAAAATCGGAAGCTGCCGTTTTATAGGGTTTTACCTTACATTTCTATTGTCAAGTGATGAAAAGTGTCGCTGTGGATTTGTAGGCGGATATTTTCATATTCCTTACAATCCAATACAAGATCAAGAACATACCTGTATATCCTCTCACATTTATCATCAATAATTATATGCATCGGATTTACTCGAAAGAAGGCTTCGACCAAAAGCTGCCACCGCAACAAGCACACCAAACATATACCCCTATGCATTTTTGTAAAAGTATTTATTAAGGATGTATGATGACATTTAGAATTCCTCTTTTTTATTGACGATAGCTATGGAAATTGGGGAGATTTGTTTTTAGATTTTACACTTAATTTTTTATACCCTTCACCACACTGTGGTACAGGGTATTATGTCTTTTTGCATATGTTTGTAACAGGCAAAAGGAATCAAGATAGTCCTATGGTTCCTTTTGATAATATGCATAGAATCACTTTCGATTCGATTTATGCATGTCCGTCTGTCCTTCCGTCCATGTATTTTTGTGAACAAAGTACAGGTCGCATTTATTATCCGATTTGAATGAAATTTGGCACAGGTCACTAATTTGGCCCATGGACGAACCCTATTGAAATTGGGAAAAATCGGTTCAGATTTAGATATAGCTCCCATATACAGTTTCATCCGATGTTATGTAAATAATGCACCAAACTGCCAATATTGGTCCGATTGAGACAATATTTTGCACAGAGTACTGACTTAGATCTAGACTGATGTGTGTCAAGTTTTGTTGAAATCGGTTCAGATCTAGATATAGTTTCCATATATAGTTTCGTCCGATTTTATGTAAATGGTGCACCAAACTGCCAATATTGGCCCGATTGAGACAACATTTCGCACAGAGTACTGAATTAGGTCCAGATTAATGTATGCATAGTTTTGTTGGAATCGGTTCAGATTTAGATATAGCTTTCCTATATAGTTTCGTCCGATTTTATGTAAATGGATCACCGAAGAGTCAAATTTAGGCCGATTGGCACAAAATTTTACACAGCGTACTGGAATCGCTGGAATCGGTTCAGATTTAGATATAGCACCCATATATAATTTCCTCCGATTTAGTCTAAATGGAGCATTGACATTAAATTAAATTTTTCATAAATTTCAGATTGGTATGTGTATGGGTTGTTTTAATTCAGTTCAAATATCTATGTACACTGTTAATTTCTTCCGATTCCATTTCAATGGTCCTATGCTATGTCTATTCTATAAAAAGGATATTGTACATATGAACCTAGTATGAATTGTGTCAAGTTTGCGTTACCCTGGTTCAAATTTAGATATGGTTCACGTATATTTATACAATTTTTTATAAATAGCTCACCAAATCCCCATATTTGACCGATTGAAACAAAAAATCCATGGGCTTACGAATTAAATGTGGAATTAGAACAGCTCTTAAATACACCCAAAATAGAGTAGGGTATCATAGGGTATCATAGTCGACTACATCCGACATTGGTCCTTTGCTTACTATTTTTCCCTTATTATTTCAATGTGGATTAGAAACTTATAAATAATACTGTGCTTATTCTATCCATTTGCCGTCTCACATTTGAATAGTTACGAATTTACACTCTTTTTAATTAAAATATATATTTTTCAAATAATATTCACATTCGCATTGATGATGATGAGATATAAAAACGTTTTCAAAATATGAGAATAAAACAATTTGCTGCTATTTGATACACACTCACACACAATTTACATTCAGTGAGCAAACTCAAAAATGGTCGTCAGACTCAGTTGGTCATCAGTTGAATTTTGTGTTGCAAGCTCTCAGTTATTGCCACAATGTCCCACCGTACGGTTATAGCTTCTAACGCGGTTATGTAAAAAATAAAAAAAATATATAGAAAAAATTTGTAAATTAGAATTAAATTGATAAAAAAGCTAAAAGAAAAATAATTGTGATAAAATTTATTTCTAAATGAATTAATAGCATTTCACCTGGCACTAAATAAAACCCAACACACAAATTAATTACATATTTTACAATATTAAAACTGAAGGCTAAAAAGTCGCGCGAGATTCGTGAATGGTACCACTAAACGTATGAGTAACAACATTTGGTGCATATTGACGAATTTCCTTTCAAGTAGCATTGACGTTTTCACTTCCTTCCTGAAATAATAATAATATGAGAGAGTTGAAATATTCTCTCTCGCACGTTGTTATTCACTCCTTGGTTGTATCCTTCTCTGTGTTTGTTAAATTCGCACAAGTGACGTTGCGTCCGTCAAATGGCAAATGACAATAAATATGGAATGCGCATAACCGCCAAGTGTAACAGAACATGATTTGTTTCCTTGTTTTCAACGTCAACGTGTGACGATTCTGATGATGATGTGAATTACTCTCAGCATTGTCTGTGTGTTTGCTCTATTGTTCACAAGAAGTTTCTCTCTTTCTCTGTCTATCCTTTTTGTTAGTTTTCTATCTAATGAGGAAAATGCATACGAATTTAAAGAAACCACCAACAAAAGAAGAGTAGTGTTTGTATTAGTGTAGAACTCTCAGCAAACTAGTCTATACTGTCAGCTTTTTGTAAGTTCCCATAGAGAGGGACATAATAGAAAACAGCAAACGAAAAAAGAACAATTTTTTTTATCAAAACAATATTTAAATAAAAAAAAAAAAACAAAAACAAGAGGCTTGAAAAAACATCAAATGTTGTATTAACAAAGAATAAAACCCAATTTAATGGAATTTCATGTAATAATACAACCTCCGCCCGTAGTACCACGTCCAGCAAAATCACTCCCAAAAATATATTGCTGAACAACAACAGCAGCAACAACAACAGGAACATCAGCAGCAGCAAGTGGGTAATAATCAATTAAAATCCCAAATGAATTCGACTGCTACCATCGAATCATCCCTAAAGTCTTCATCATCCGCAGCAGCAACAGTATTTTCTCCATACTCCAGAGATACCAAGACGTATCAACAGCAGCAACAACAACAGTTACAAATGCAGCATAAACAGCATTCACAAAATTCCTCCTCACAGTCACACCAAATGCCACCATCAACAGCAGGAACAGGAGCAGCAACACCAGTAACTTCTAATACAACCCAACCCCAAGTCCACATACCATATAACATCGATTGGGTTTTTAAGGGCCTAAGGACACCTTCAAAGCTATGGTATATTTGTAGTCAACTGGCAATACTTGCTGTAGGATTATTTAGCAAATTTGTTCTAGGTAAGCAAAAACAAAAACAAAATAAAAAATACTAACTTCATTACTCATTCTTTGTCATCACAATTTCAGCAGTAACATCACCCAATATATGAAAATACATGCAGGGATATTGTGGAGGGAATTGTAATAGCAAACATATAACATATTATATTGCTGTAGATTCATACGCTTTTTTGTGTTTGTTTTTTTGCTTATATAATTGAAGCAATATTAAAACTGTTGCTTGTCCCAAATTATTGGAAATGTGTAGACGCGAAAACAACAAAGGTTACAATGAAAAAAAATATTATTGTGTGCAATATTTCTTCTTCGCTCACAAATAGTGCTACATGTTGATTTTATATCGAAATCATTTCGAAAAGTTATACAGTCTCTGAATGGCAGTTAAATGAAGAAACTAACCAATATAGGATTTATTCTCTGAAAATTATTTTCCAAGTGGACACTCACGGTCGATTGTACCGAATTTAATTTATTAAGCCTTATTTTCAAAACGTTCATACAGCCTACTGTAATATAAGATCTACTACAGAGGAACGGCAAAGAGTGGGCTTAAGCATTTTTTTTAAAAAAGGGATGTACATGCAGAACTGGAACGATACGCTTCGTCTTCAGTATTTAAATATATTTGATTCTTATTTTTCCTTTGGGCTGAGAGACAGATGAGAAAGAATTGTTTGTATTCTATGAACAAATATTTTTTAAAATCCAGGCCTATATATTTTTAAATGTCGAGGACTTCTTAGAGTGACCGAAAAAATATTTTTAAAACTCCACGCCTACTTAGAGTCCTTGAAAAAATATTTCTAAAATCCCATCTTAGAGTCCTTAAACAAACCCCATTTTTAGAGTCCTTGAAAGAAAAAAAAATATTTTTACAATCCACGCCTTGATATAGTCTTTGGAAAATATACTTCAAAGTCCAACACTTCTTAAAGTCCTCGAAAAAATATTTCTAAAATCCACGCCTTCTAAAAATTCCACGTTTCTTTGGTCCTTGAGCAAATTATGTTTTCAAAATCCTCACTTCTTTTCAAAAAAATATGCTTTAAAAATGTCCAAAAAAGGATTTTTATAAAAATGAAGCCTCAATAACTATTCTAAACGCCGTTTTGATGGCTGATGTGTTTTGTGTATGTGGTTACATTCATCCTGACTTGTTAAGTAAAATTGGTGAAGGGCAATTGATCGGAAGTTTTTGAGATTTTATTTTATTAAGTTCGGCAGTATTTCTTGTCAGGGTTTCTATTTCATATATACCGATCATTTGTGGTTTCTTGCTAGTAATCATGACGTACCTAAAACATGATCAACTGTTTCCATTTAATCTTCACATAGGCAGCAGTAGTCTGTCCCACTAGGTTCGATTTAAACAATTTAAACAATTTTAAATGTTAGAGAGGTCATATATATATATTTTTTTTTTGTAAACCCGCTGTGGTCTTGAATTGTTTTGCACAGCCACTAAGCTTCTTCAGTAAGACACTGCATTTAAATTATAATTATAAAAATAAAAAAACGTATTTAGTATCAGCATTTCAAAGTGAGTTTTTTATTCTACTTAACTATTCTGCTTATTTTTTCTAAATATTCATTAATTATTTATAACTAGCTAACAGACTTTTGAGCCCTATATAATTTAAATAATTTCATATTAATATGCGTTTTCTTTTTGTTGTTGTTTTTTTGCAATATGCGCTATAATGACCTTGCACAAAATGTGTATGGTCGGCGGGGTACGAATGTACACAAAACAAATAAAATAAAATTACACATTATAAATTTTATACGAGTATTTATGTGTTTTTGAGTCATTGACATAACAGATAAATTATCTCTTTACCATACCAAATGTCATATCGTCATATCTCTGTTAAAATCATCATCATTGATGCACCTTTTTTTCTCATTGCAGCATATAGGTGGATTAGGTTAGGGTTGTGTATTTTCATTGTTTACATATGTCAAACATAAACAAATTTTGATCCACTCTCATCTAGTGTTTTCTAAATATATTTATATTTTTGTATTTGTTTATTCTTCCTCTCTCTCTGCTGCTGCTGCTACCTAATAGTTGTAATTACACAGTGACACATTTTTCAACTTTAAAATCTTGAACCAATCGAGACCCCCAAAATCTTGAAGCTTGTAATGGTGGAAGAAAATTCCTAGCTGGGTTTTGCATTATTAGCTAAGGTTTTTTTAAATTCATTTTTAAAATATTCGACTGGGGCGGATTTTAGCACAATTTTTGAATAATACGTACTTATTATTGAGTCTATATCTCGTGAACTATTCGAAATATTGCTTTTCTCTCTTAAGCAATATTTTTCCTCTTAATTAGATCTAAAAATTTTCTCTTGAGATAAAACCAATAAAACAACACCATCATACTGAAAATAGCACAACTGCAAAAAATTAAAATTTAGACATACTTTTTCCATGTTTTTCACACTTTTTTCAGAAACTGCTACTGACTCGGCCAAACAGTATATGACAAGAAGATAGCCAATAGCAAATCAAACAACTTTTCTTAAAACCCCGATTTCATTGGTTGACTCCTTCACATAGTTATAGCCTCACAAATTCATCAAGATGAACCAAAGAAATTCACTCCCAATTGTATGTTTATAGAAATAAAAATTGCTATGCTTTTTTCAATAAATAGGTACAAAATTGAAGTAAAAATTAAACATGGAAAAAGTATGTCGAAATTTTAATTTTTTTGCAGTTGTGCTATTTTCAGTATGATGGTGTTGTTTCATTGATTTTGTCTCAAGAGAAAATTTTTAGATCTAACTAAGAGGAAAAATATTGCTTAAGAGAGAAAAGCAATATTTCAAATAGTTCACGAGATATAGACTCAATAATACGTACGTATTATTTGAAAATTGTGCTAATTTTAAAAATTAATTTAAAAAAAAAACCTTAGCTAATAATGCTAAACCCAGCTAGGGATTTTCTTCCACCATCACAATCTTCAAGATTTTGGGGGTCTCGATTGGTTCAAGATTTTAGTGCTGCACAGTGTTATTAATAAATAATATTATTTGCGACACTATGTTCTTACACAAGTCTATATATTAATATAGATATGTATTTGTATATTTCCACTTTTGATTTTAAATGACTGACAGTGTTGCAAATAAGTGGGTGTACAAAAATGAAATTAAATGAAATGAAAATATTAAATTATGTACTCTATAAATAATATTAAAAAAATAATCTCAAGGACTAACAAAAGGCGTGGATTTTTTAAACATATTTTGTCAAGTACTAACAAAAGACGTGGATTAAAAAAAATCAAGTCTTTGAAAAAATATTTTAGTCGATGATTTTTTTAATCCACGTCTTTTGTTAGTACTTGACAAAATATGTTTAAAAAATCCACGCCTTTTGTTAGTCCTTGAGATTATTTTTTTAATATTATTTAAAGAGTATATAATTTAATATTTTCATTTAATTTTTGTACACCCACTTATTTGCAACACTGTCAGTCATTTAAAATCAAAAGTGGAAATATACAAATACATATCTATATTAATATATAGACTTGTGTAAGAACATAGTGTCGCAAATAATATTATTTATTAATAACACTGTGCAGCACTAAAATCTTGAACCAATCGAGACCCCCAAAATCTTGAAGATTGTGATGTTGGAAGAAAATCCCTAGCTGGGTTTAGCATTATTAGCTAAGGTTTTTTTTTAAATTAATTTTTAAAATTAGCACAATTTTCAAATACGCCTGGATTGTCTAAAAATATATTTTTTTTCGAAAACTAAAATAGGCGTTGATTTTTTCACGGACTAACAATGGTCGGGGATTTTTTTTTAATATTTATACCCTTCACCACACCGTGGTACAGGGTATTACGTCTTTGTGCATGTGTTTGTAACGGGCAAAAGGAATGGAGATAGACCCATGGTTCCTTTTGAGAAAATGCATAGAATCTCTTTCTGAACTGATTTACGCATGTCCGTCCGTCCATGTATTTTTGTGAACAAAGTACAGGTCGCATTTATTATCCGATTTGAATGAAATTTGGCACAGGGCACTAATTTGGCCCAAGGACGAACCCTATTGAAATTGGGAAAATCGGTTCAGATTTAGTTATAGCTCCCATATATATTTTCGCCCGTTTTCATGTAAATGGTGCACCAAAGTCGCTTTCGATTTGCACGTTTCGTGAAAATCGGTCCAGATTTAGATATAGCTCCCATATATAGTTTCGCCCGATTTAATGTAAATGGTGCATCAAAGTCCCTATATATCTTTCGATTTGCACCAAATTTGGCATAGTGTACTGAATTTAATGATTCTGCCAAGTTTCGTGAAAATCGGTCCAGATTTAGATATAGCTCCCATATATATTTTCGTCCGATTTAATGTTAATGATACACCAAAGTCCCTATATATCATTCGATCTGCACTAAGTTTGGCATAACGTACTGAATTGAGCCTAGAGTGATGACTGCCAAGTTTCGTGAAAATCGGTTCAGATCTAGATATAGCTCCCATATATAGTTTCGTCCGATTTTATCTTTCGATTTGCACGAAATTTGGCACAGCGTACTGAATTGAGTCCGGAATGATGTTTGCTGAGTTTGGTGAAAATCGGTTGAGATTTAGATATAGCTCCCGTACATATTATCGATTGATTGATGTTACAAGTTTCGTTGAAATCCAACGGATGTCCTATTGATATTTGTTTGAAGTCGATTTACATACATTAGTCACATTGTAACAAACGAATGACATGCTTATGGATTGATCTAAGTCCATTCACATTTAGATAAATATCACATATTTTAGTTCATCCAATTTTATGTTCATTGTCCTGTTTAATATACCCATAGTGGTGAAGGGTATCATATAGTCCTCCCCGTCCGACTTTACTACTTTCCTTACTGGTTTTAATATAGGCTAGGATTAAAAAAAAAAATCAATGATTCAAATAGGCCTGTATTTTTTAAAAATATTTTTTTCAAGAACTATTCAGGAACTTATAAAGTCGTGGATTTTTTCTAAGATTTTTTACAAAATTAAAGGCCTGGATTTTAATTTTTTTAATATTTTTAAATTTACATATCATAATTTATTCACACTTTTGCCCAATACAGTATGCAAGCACGCTACACACACACTCAAACGTGTCATAAATAACATTTAGCAATTGTTTGTAATTGAACTTGAAAGAATCTATTTCTGGCCTATGTTGATTCTATTTTCCCTTTTTTATTCTATTATCAAATCTGTAGTGTGACAGCATTTGTATCGTTTTTTTGTGGTTGGTGGTATTGTGTCTCTTCTATTTTTTTCTTTTTCTTTTGGGGTTTCTTAATTGATCTTAATAAAATGATATTTGATGACGATGATGATGTTAGTCGGGAGTAGTAGTTAGCTAGACACATTATAATGTAGGTAATGTTCGTTATGAATGCCTATGGAAAAGTCTGGAAAAAAAATGTTGACAAATCGCAAATCAGCTGATATTCAAAAAAGAAATGAACAAAATAATAAAGAATTACATGCAAAAGATAATGCAAAACATGCAAGGTATGCGGAAGACTTTAATATAAGTTTTATTTTTTATTGTAGTTACGAGTAAGATTGAGATTAATTGCTTTCCACGTTTAAGTATGTGTCTTGTAAAATATTAAGTACAATAATTAAGCCTCTGTATCTGTTGCGGACGACTAAAAAGAAAACCTTGACTGATTCACATGGCTGTCACTTGTGACTCATAAACATTATTTGTATTTATCCCTATTGTTTGTTACTGGGTCCTGCCATCAACATTTGTGGCTCACATGATGTCTTTGTTAAGGATAATGTTTCAATGAAACGGCAACTTTAATATGAAGTGACATCATATCAATTTGAAGTTTATACGACCATGACGACGAAGACGACACTTTGAAATTCAAAGTATTTGTACATTATAGCCAACGACATTTGTACATCACCACCATGTACATATGTGTGTGAGTTTGGAGGAAATAAATATATTTATATGTGTACATAGTAGTTATGTAGCGTTACGCTAAATATTCTAAACTATTTGGCGCCATTCTAAAGCATTTTACGACAATCGTCTAATGGGGTCAACTCTCGCTGACACGTTTCTTTTTGTTTTTTTTTTCGTTTTCTTTCATTTAAGTGTGTCCGGTCTGTTTTTTTTTTATTGTTATGAATTTTATTTACTGTAGAGTGAGAGACTGAGTAAGGACATGTTGATATTCTTGTTTATTAAATATAAAAGGAGGTTTTTGAAGATTTTTTAAGGACTAAAATAGTCCTTCATTTTTAAAAATATTTTTTCAACCAATAAAATAGACCTGGATTTTTTTAAAATATTATTTTCAAAGACTAACATTGGCGGATTTTTAATTTTTTAAGGTCTAAAAAAGAGTGAATTTTTTTAAAAACATCTTTTTAAGGCCCCAAGTAAGGCGTGCATTAAGTAAGATATTTTTTCAAGGACTAAAACAAGGCGTGGTTTAAAAAAAATATTTTTAACGGACTAAGAAAGGCGTGGAATATACGTGGATTTTTAAAAAATATTTTTAAGGAATATACGTGGATTTTTAAAAAATATTTTTAAGGAATATACGTGGATTTTTAAAAAATATTTTTAAGGAATATACGTGGATTTTTAAAAAATATTTTTAAGGACTAAAAAAGGCGTGGAATATGCGTAGATTTTTAAAAAATATTTTTTTTTTCAAAAATATATATTTTTTTTTTCAAATATTAAAATAGGCGTTTGTCCAAATTTGTAATATACTAATATATTTACAAAACATATACTAGGTCAGTAGATGAAATCTGTCGACCCACTCCTTCTGATACCCTCGAAACAAAGTGTGAATATTATTTGTAAATCTCATATGAAGCGAATTTATTATCCGATTTAGACATAGATTTACATACATTTCTGATAGTACTTTCCTCATAAATATTTCTAAAACGGCATATACATTATAACTTTTTACCGGGTTAACCTACTTTATGAGGATTTATTTGACATATATGCAAAGGAATTGACAATTGAAATCCACTGGGTTAACGAAATCCGGTTAAATGTAAACGTACTATAAATCTCTGCTTTTTTGCCCATTTTTGGTTTTGCTTTTCATTCCATTACACCCATAAGCCATAACAACAATTCACAAACAACATTATTAAAAAAAAAATGTTATTTTTATTTTCCACAGTTTTTATGAATAAAACACGCGTTTACAACAAAGAAAGACTGATAGAAGCCGTAACAAAAAGACCGACAGGTGTACCCTTAGTTACAGTATCAAATCATCATTCGTGCTTTGATGATCCCGGTCTATGGGGTAGGTATTTGAGTTGATTAAAATGCATTAAATGATAATAAGTTTGGTGTTTTTTGCTTATTTAGGTGTCCTGCCAATACGCTATGTCTGTAATACCTTTAAAATTCGTTGGTCCATGGCTGCCCATGATATATGTTTTACGAACAAATATCATTCACTGTTCTTTATGTTCGGTAGGTGTTTAAATCTTTTATGTAAAACAATCATTGTTAGATCATAGTTTTGTATTTGATTCCATAGGAAAATGTATACCGGTAATACGCGGTATTGGTGTCTATCAAGATGCCGTTAATCTGTGCATACAAAAAGCCCAGCAAGGACATTGGGTACATGTGTTTCCCGAGGGTAAGGTGAACATGACAAAAGAGGAAATGCGTTTGAAATGGGGTGTTGGTCGTATTATATACGAATCGCCCCGGGTACCCATCATATTGCCCATGTGGCATGAGGGTATGGATGAAGTATTGCCCAATGTTGAACCCTATATCCTGAAATGGGGAAAAAAGGTTACCCTCAACATTGGAAAGCCCATAGATTTGAATGATTTCATCGATGACATGAAATGTAGAGGGGTGCCCGAACCGGAGGCTAGAAAATTAATAACCGATAAAATCCAAGAAGTTTTCCACGTAAGTTGAATATATGGAATATAAATATGAAGACGATTGTTTGTCATAGTATCCTTTTTTATTACAGCATTTACGCTTAGAAACCGAAGAACTACACAAAAAACGTAACTAGTGTCTTAAGTCAATATCGTTTGTTCTACTCTTCATTTTGCTAATAGTAATTGGTAATTTAAATGTAAGCCATGTCGCCTATCAACCAATATCTGTTGTTTCACAAATCAGCTAATAGATCCAATAAAAAGTAACTACATAGCTATAACAAAAAAGAGAAAAACATGAAAAGTATAAACGAATAAGAAATGAATCGAACGAAGCATTTGTTTCCTTTGCCATATTGACATTCGAAAAAAGAAGTTGACTTTGATTTAAGTTTTATTTTTTATTTTCATTCTCTGTGTGTGTTGATATGCCTAATTGTCTGTCTAGTAAAGTAATAATTGCATATTTATTGCAAATTACATACATATATTTTATACAATTTAAATAATGTCTGTTATTCTTTTTTTGTATTTTTAATTATTGTAAGCTTACTGTGGTCAGCAAAACTATACTTGTTATATTTATTAAATAAAACCCCAAAAAAATTGTAAATAATTTCAATGAAATGTAGCAATGAAAACGAAAAAAACACTACTCTTGTTTTTAATTGGTGTGTTGGTTAAAAAAAAAATCTGCGTAATCAGCAGATTTGCATACGTGCGAAAATTGCCACAAGAAATCGTTTGTATAGGGTTTCAAAACAATTGATGTTGGTATATTGTATTCACATTGGGTGTCAAATCTGCCTACCAAATATTTTAACATAGATTTCCGTATTGGTATAGCCTTACTATTCGGTATTCAGACAGCCTTTTCTCCTGTCATTTTCGGTATTTTGATATTTTGGTTGTCATTCTCATGGAATTGGTAGTTTTTACTTGTTAATTTTTTTTGTGATTGGATAGCAAATATGTCTACAGAAAGCTTGCATATTGCCTCCATAGCTAGAAAAGCGCCCAAACAAAAGATCCCCCAATTTTCAAAAAAGAAATTGTTTCAATTAGGTTTTTTCTTTTGCCGACTTCAGTATAAGATCACTTTTTTTAGATCCCCTATAGAAAGTTTTCAATCAATTTTTTCATTACCGAAATTTTAAACACACTTTCCAATATCACTTGTTGCAGTGTTGTTCCATGTCGGGTTGGAATGTGAGTATTGCTATAGTGGAGAGCATCTGGTCGATGTCTATGCCAGTTTCATTGTTATTATTATTTTTGTAAAAACATTGCTTTATTAAAAGTATTAAAAGTATTAAAACATATAATATAACATGCAATTAAAAAAAATTTAACGAGAAAAAAATATATGTATAAAATGATAAAAGAAAGACAAGTACTTAAAAAAGTTTTATAAACTAAAATAAAGTTGGGAATAATTAAAAAACAGAAAACATTACAATAATAATATATTTGTATGTAAATAAAAATTAACCAGCATAAATAATATTTAACATTTCACGGAAACGTTGCGATAACTGCATTGCTGTGGGCCGTTGCTTATAATCATCGTGCCAGCACGATTTAAATAACTCTTCATAGAGTTGTTCAAGTTTCGATGTTTTGTTGACATCCAAATGGCCAATGGATTGACTTAATACCGTTGCCAAACTTAAATTTTCATTTGGAGCGAATTCATTTTGTAAATCACGTTTTACTCCAAATTTTTTCATATGCTGTTTATTACTCAGCTCTTTTAGGGGGATTCTTTTTGTTATGGTGTTGAGGCTCTTTTGTTCATTGTTCGGTGTTGAGTCGGCAATTAATTCACATTGATTACATTGTAAGATTTTACGTAAATCTTCTATAGATTGTGGTGAAAATTGCTGATTCATATTTTCACATAGACATTGTTCATTTGTGGTTGATTTGAATCTATTCATGTTTGTATTGTTGTAATTCGGATTGACGACATTATGCACTGAATTGGGTCGCAATTGATGTTTAACTACTTGATATGCCACGGTATCATTACACTGTAACCAATGATAGGGTAAATAGCGATGTTTCATCTGCCACAGTGTTATGCCCAGTGCGAAAACATCTACGGCTGGTGTTAGATATTCTTCTTTTAATGCCTCCGGTGCCATATAGCGAAGAGTTCCCTAAGGGGATAAGAAAGAAAAATTAAATTAATATTTAAGGGAATTGTAAGGAAGTTTGATGGTCCATTTGACTCGCTTAGTATTGGCCGGTCATCTTTAAAAACATCGGTATAGTAAAATGTGGGTCTAGGAACAATATTTCTAATAAATTCACTACATAGTTTTGAATATACATAGAAGGGCTACAGAAAGCGTAGATTTTTTAAGTAATCCAAGGCACAAAATTTTTAAAGAATATTTTTAGAGAGCCTATCGAAGGCGTATATTTTTAAAGACTAAAGAATATTTTTAGAAAGCCTATCCAAGGCGTATATTTTTAAAGACTAAAGAATATTTTTAGAAAGCCTATCCAAAGTATATATATTTTAAAGAATATTTTTAGAAAGCCTATCCAAAGCATAGATATTTTAAAGAATATTTATAGAAAGCTTATCCAAGGCGTAGATTTTTTAGAGAATATTTTAAAAATGGATTATCCAAGGCGTAGACTTTTAAAAAACTATTTTAAAAATGGTCTATCCAAGGCGTAGATTTTTTAAAGACTATTTTAAAAATGGCCTATCAAACGCGTAGATTTTTAAAGACTATTTTGAAGAAGCCTATCCAAGACGTAGATTTTTTAATGAATATTTTTAGATTTTTTAAATTATGTTTTTAGAAGTTCTATCCCAGGCGTAGATTTTAATAATGCATAGTTGTGTGTGAGGGTTTTGACCGGTTTTAGGTATTTTGATGGTGTTGGCTATAAAAGGTTCATTGTGTAGGATATAACAAGTTCGGCTTGGTCGAACTTAACGAATTTGTTTACTTTTTTATATGAGATGTTCATATACCCACTTTGCATTCCGTATACGAATACCTTTACTAATCCCTTTACACATTGATTTTCATTTCCAATTTTTAACGATGAACCGAAATCGCACAGCTTACACACATACAGCCTTTGGGTCAGACTTGATTTGACAATATTCCGTTGAAATTTATTAAGGGATATCATGACATTTTGTGGTTTCACATCCATGTGAAGTAGACCACGTTTATGACAATACATCAGACCCGATGTTATGTCCATAGCAATGCTAAATAGAAAAAATATCAATAAATTTTTAAGAAATAATAATTTGAAAAATCTCTTTACTTTATTCGATGCAGTACCGATAGTTCCATGGTATCTAAAATTATTTGCAAACAATCGCCATTAAAACGTTCCATAATGATGATGGCAAAATTCGGAGTTGATTCAATCTGTAATGTTGTTAAGAAGTTGATTATGATTTTTAAAAATAATAACAATTCCAATTAACCTTAACCTTAAGTAGTCGTACTATATTCGGATGTTTCCAATTTAAAATATGCGCTTCATTTAGCATCACTTGATTGTTGATGTCTTTGGGGTTTTTCATAATTTTTACTGCCACGGGTTTTGCTAAAAGAAAAAAAGGAAATCATAAATACATTTCTTTAATTAGGTATGGATTAGAATCTAGATCCACTATTCAATATATTTATGGCAACAATTTGAACATATTCGTCTACTATAAAAATTATTCTTAGATTATTAAAACTCTTCAGCTGAAGAGCCGGTTCATAACAACCGGAGTCTGTTCATAACCACTTCACTAGAAAGTATCCATTTAACATCTCTATGACAACTCATTCCAGCTCATTATCAAATATTCCAGAATTTAAATAAAATCGTTTCCTTCCTACCTTTATAAATGGCCTTTATAACCGTGCCATAGGCGCCTCTGCCCAATAGATTACATTTCATTTGATTCAATGGAGGACCATCTTTTAGTAGCTCTTTGCGCTTTGGAGTATTTAAAATTATTTCATTTTCTTTGTTGAGCACGTTAAGGAATGACCTTGAAATGCAAATATTAATTGAAGAATTGATTAATAATTTTATTATACATTTATTTACATTTTGCCATGGATCTCGTTTTGTTTGTTTATTTTATTATAAATATAACGGCAAATGCTTCTTCTTCTTTATTAATTCGAGTGCAGATGACAATAAAATGATAACAAATTGTCATTCAGGCTCTCAAGTTGACATGACATTTTAAATAGGGATGCCATTTGGAATATGAAATATTCGGTATTTCCAATTTTCGGCTCTTTAGAGTACATGTTTTTGAACAGAATGTGTTGTAATTTTGTAGAGTATATGGGTTCACTATTTGGTGTAAACTCAAATATCCGTACCCACTTGTTTGGGTATTTTTTTGTCATTATGGGTTTTTGGTGGCGGAAAACAATCTCCTAGATAATTTGTAATATAGGTCGAGGTTTAATATATAAGTCATATGGCCTACATATAACGGAACCACCCAATTCCGCTATTTTAAGATTTTAGTCAAATTTTACAACCGAAGGGTCTTTTGTCTGTTCTTTAAATTGTTCCGTTAATTCGAAGATTTAATTTTATTGATTCCCTTCAAAACGAGCTGAATAAGCCACTTTGGTGCCAACATATCGACCTGAATTTCTAGACCAAAAAATACCATAAATGGGTGGGAATCTGTACATGTGGTCCATGTAAACTTAAAAACTACATTCAGATCGTCTATAAGGATTCCATTTAGTTTGTTTATAAAAACTCCCTTCCGCTCGTCTATAAATACTCCCTTTAGCTCGTCTATAAAGACTCCATACAGCCCGTCCATAAATACTCTATTTAAAGACCCCTTCAGTTGGTCCATAAAGATTCCCTTTCTACTTGTATATAAGGACGACCTTCAGCCCGCCTCGCATATAAAGATTCTATTCACCTCACCTATAAAGACTTCCTTCAGATCTATAAGTCTAACAGCCTATAAGACTGTCTTTAGTTGGTTCAAAAAGACTCCCTTGAACTATCAGCAGAAAATACCACTCGTGTATGAAGACTTCCTAGTTTAAAATATATTGACTAGCTCTGTAAAGGTTACGTTCAGCACATAAATAAAGTCTACCTTCATCTTATCTTAGAATTTATATCGTTGAACTGAAAGGAGTTCAACTATAAAAACTCTCTTCAAATCGTCTATAAAAACTTCCTTCAGCTCGTCTATAAAGAATCCCTTTAGTTCGTGTATAGACTCTCTTCTGCTCGTTTCTATAAGAAACCCTTCAGCTCGTCTATAAAGACATCAGCTCTGTAAATTCCCCTCAGCTCGTTTAGAAAGACTCCCTTCAGCTTGTCTACAAAGACTCCCTTCAGTTCGTCTATAAAGTTTACCTTAAGTTCGTCTTTAAAGATATCCATGAGCTTACCTTGGTTTAAATATTCATTAAAAAATAGATCAATATTATTTTCAGTTATTTTTTTTTGTTTATTCATTTTTCTTGTTGTTGTTTGTTGGTTGTATTATATAAATATTAAAAAGGTATACATAATATTTCGGAAATTTTACGTATGGTAACTAACACTAAAGTCTGCAAAAATTATTGTATGTATGATATCTAAATAGTAGTACACGATCATTATCGTCGTCATTGTCATCATCATTATTCTCATCGTCAACATCATTATCATACACACAAACAAACTTTCTTATTAACAATCGACTTTTTATTTGATAACTAGTAATTGGTATTTTGTTGTTGTTGTTTTTTATTTTTTGTTTAGTTTTGGAATAGAAAAAGTTATAACTTATTCTCTTGTGTATTTGGGGGAAGTTTGTGGGGCAGATGGGAAGTTCTTAATATTTTGTTTTTATTTTTGTACTGAACCTACAAAACAAATACTAAATAATAGTGTAGAGTTATACATAGTTATAATATGGAAAATAATATAGTATTTATATATATTAAAGTGTAAGTGTATGTATGTTTTTAAATTACAGTTTAATTTTAATAGCTAATGGATAGTAGTTTACATGTTCAATACATAATATAAGTAAGTAGTTTTAGTGGTTGTTATATATATATATGATTATATATAAGTATATATAGAAGAAGAGCGATAGAGTTATAGGATAAAGGAGGGCGTAATGATATTTTTGTTAGGAAACGATTTTTGTAAGATACACATTTAAATTATACACAATTAGTTGTAAATCAAAATTTATAGTTTATTATAAAAAATAAATTATATTTTTGTGTATGTGTGTTAATAAACAAAAATATTTTTTTTTTATATTTATTATGTATGTATATAACTTTCGTATAATTATTGATTGATATATATATCTCTTTCTAAGATGAACATTGTTTTGTGTTGTTTGTTTATTTTTTAGTTTAATAACTAACAAAGCTACTTTGTTTTATTTCTTTTTGTTATTTTTTCTTATTATATACTTGCTAGTTTTTTATAATATAAACAATTGTTTGTATATACAAAATGTTGTAAAGGAAACCTTTAATTTTATTATTATTAGTTTTATTATAAATCTAAATATATTGTAAACATTAGTGGAATTATTAAATGCCATGGGTTCAGTTTGTTTGTTTTTTCTTCTCTTTTTTGCATTTAATTTTTTAACTCTTGTATTTAATTTTCTCTGTTGTGCGGAAGACTACTCTGAATTACAACACTATTATTTTTTGTTTTATAATTATACCAAAAATATTTTTTATAGTTGTGAAGGAAGAATGAAATGAACATAAAAACTATCCCTAATAACGTCAGATTCTTTTCAAATTATATAAATATTCAGTTTTTACAATATTTCCATAGTTTAAATCTATTAACAATTTAATAGATTTTCTATTTGGAATGATAATTGTAAAACTGTTTATTTTTTTTTATTTAAATTAAAATTTATATTATAATTATATAAAATATAGTACATTTTACAGGGTAATAGTAAATAATTTACAATTATTCTTTCAGGGAATAAATAATAATTAACAAAAAAAGATTAAAAGTATTTTTTTCCATTACCATTATGTAGAGTTTGGTGACCAAACAATGTGTAGTATCCCATACAGCTTCGTAAGAGTCTGTATAAAGGAGTGTCATTAAAATTGGTTTGAAGGAAGCGGGTCTTTATAGGTAACTTGAAGAAGAGGGTCTTTATAGACTAGCTAAATGGGAGTCTTAATAATGCAGCTAAAAGAAGATTTAAGACGAGTTGGATGTAATCTTTATAGACGAGTTGAAGGTGGCTTTAGAGGCAAGATGAATGCAGTTATACAAAAGTTAAATGGAGTCTATATAGGCTAGTTGACCGGAGTCTTTATATACGAGCTGAAGGGATTTTTTTTAGAAGAGAGTCTTTATGGACGAGCTGAATAGATTTTTTATACACGAGCTGAAGCAATTCTTTGTAGATGAGATGAAGGGAGTCCTTATAGACGACCGACGAAATTGAAGTAAAGTATGTGTTTTAATGGGATTTTAACTCATGTTTTCTTCTTTAAATTCCGATTTCCATTGTAGATCAAGTATCAGTGATCAATTTTTCCAAACTCTACAATAGGTACGTTCAAGATATATAATAAAGAACAAAATTTGTGTATTATTTTGAATTCATATATCAGGCATTTTCAAAACCACAAAACACTCTTCACTTAATGGGAGAGTGGGGTGAAAATTGTATTGAATTCAAAACAAAAATAATAAAAACAAAAAATAATAATTTGATTTAAAAAATATTTTCAATTAAAAAGAATAGAAAATAAGTATACATTGAAATTAAATTTAATATATAAATTATGTTCCAATTATATATATTAAAATTGAAACTTTGAAAAAAAAATACACACATTAAATTAAAATAGTATCTCTTAACGGGTTCTACTAGATCTACTAACAATTCACCAACCAACTACCAACTAATGTCTAGTATAAACACTAAATCTAATGAACGCCTCATGGAAATGAGGGTTATCTTCTTACCCCAACGTAAACTAGGCTATTATTGGGATGGGGTAAACACAACTCTATTATTTTTGTTATTGGTGTTTTTTCTTTTCTTATTCAATTTGTTAAAGTAATCTTTTAAAAAAATATTTTTCAAATGTATATCACATATTAGTCTTTTTTATATAAATCTTATAATTAAATGTAAATTTTATTTTTTTAATTCTAATTCGCTTAACTACTAAATGTTTTTTATTGTGGTTGTTTTATATATACAAAAAACATTTTTGTTACCTATGCTGGACTTGTTTAAATTTTTGTAATTATTTTTTTCGTATTTTTTTTTTTTAATTTAACTAGCATAGGAACGTCTTACGGGTACAGGGGGAGGAATTTTCGATTTACGTACTGCAGGCGTTTGATGTGAAGAATTTTGATTAGAACTTATATTGTTGGCTGCCACGGTCACTGCTGTTGTTGTATTGTTGCTGCTAAAAATTTTCGTTTGTTGATTATTCGAGGAATGATGCAGTGATGAGGGTGATATACAGGATGGTATACGTGTTGGTATCACTTTGGGTGGACTTTTTGCATCATTGGATTTATTTGTGTCCTAAAAAGGAAAAACATGTTAGTAAGAGACAAGGCTTTAAGAAAGATTGAAGAGAATCTTTATAGACAAGCTAAAGGGAGTCTTTATAGACGACCTAATCGGAGTATTTATAGAATAGTTTTATGTGAACTGAAGGGAGTCTGAAGAGAATCTTTTAAGGCGAGCTAAAAGCAGTTTTTCAGGACGACCTGAAGGAACTATTTCCAGACGTGCTGGTGTTGGTCTTTATAGGCTATCTGTCTTTATGGAGCTGGAGGGAGTATTAATAGATGAGCTGAAGGCAATATTAATAGAAGAGCTGAAGGAAGTCTTATTAGGCGAACTAAAGGGGAGTCCTTTCACGCGAAATATATGGATTTTTTTTTTATAGGCAAGCTAAAGGGAGTTTTTATAAACGTGTTGAATAGAATCTTTAAAGATGAGCTAAAGGAATGAAGGGAGTATATCAGGAGAGGCTGAAGGAAGTCTTCCTAGCCATAGTGTATTATGAAATCTAAAGGCAGTCTTTATGGATGAGCTGAAAGGAGTCTTTATTAAAGATCAGCATGCAGTCTATAGACGAGCTAAAGCGAGTGAATTTAGACTAGAGCTAAATGGAGTATTTAGGTGGTTTTAAGGGAGGAGTTGAAAATAGTATTTGTAGAAGAGGGGAAAGGGTCTATATAAGCGAGTTGGAGGGAGTCTTTATAGGCGGGTTGAAGGAAGTCTTTATAGATGAGCTGTATGGAGCCTTTGAAGGCGAGCTGTCCCAAGTCTATAGGGAAGCTGAATGGATTATTTATAGGAGAGTAAAATGAAGTATTTTTTTCATAGATTAGGGCAGTCCTTATATGGAATATGAAATATTTTTTTATAGGCAAACTGAAGGAAGACTTCATAGCTGACAAGTAATCATTAATGTAGTCTTTATAGAGAACTGAAGGCCTACATTATGAACAAACTGATAATATACCTTATATGGGAGCGGCAAGGGTATACTTAATGGAATAGCACCAAAGGGACCTCTTATAGAGGAGCTTTAAGGGGAAGTTGAGGGGAGAATGGAGAATTTATAGACTCTTAATTGACTCAATGTTATAAACTCTGCAAAGGTAGTCTATATAGACGATCATACGTCAGCATCTAAAGAATTGTGATATGTGTGTGTGCGCAATTTACCTTTTTTGGTGAAACAATTGTTGGCGAACGTGCCGGCGACATAACACGTTTCCAACCATTACTGCGACGCCATGAATTATTGGCATTCTGCAGACGCTCCTGATATTTATTCGTTTTGGCCACCAAATTTCCATTAACACTACCGCTACGTACTACCTGGCCACTAGGGTTGAGATGTTGTGGCGAATATTGATTTCTCAAAATGTGGCATGTTTCACGCTCCTCTATGGTCGATTGCGATTTCATTAGTTTATGACGTTTGGGTGTACGGCTGAGTTCCGTTTTAATTATCTGTTCAATGCATTCCTTTTCCGTCATATGTTCCGTTATTAATCGCTGATGATTTGTGTGATTCTTCAAGGGTGAATGTTGTGGCGGCGGTGGTGGTGGTAAATTGCTATCCAATGGAATGACATCTTCAATTTCAATATCACTGTGATCATCATGATGATGATGATGATGCTCGTGTGACTCTTGCGATTGATGTTCAGCAAGACCATTTTCGGGGATTTCACAACAAGACGAATCGTCTTCATCATCATCGTCGACGTCATTTTCTTCCAGCGTGTGCAAGGGTATCTCCGTATGGATGGAATTTGTGGTGGTAGTGCAGTGAGAGAAATCATCCGTTTCACTTGAGGAACAACTAGTAACTTGGGCTCGACCAGCTTCGCTGGGTGTGGGGCTGGGTTGTGATTGGCGGGATTTTAAAACTTTGGAGCGTAAACGTTTATGACTGGGTGATAGGCTGGAATTGCCATCGTCTTCCAAATCATTTTCTGTGTCTTCTTCATCCTCGTCATCATCGTCGTCTTCTTCATCGGTATCTTCATCCACATAAGAGTAGAGGCTGCGTGCTGAATTCGAACGTATATTGACCAATTTATAAAAGTCATTGGTGAATTCCGTGCATGTCACCTCCTCATCTTCGGAATAGATGATCTGCTTGGAAAATAATAATGGAACGAAATGAATAAAGGAACTATCTGAGGTTTTTAGTTCTGCTGCTTACCTTTTGTTGCAGTAGCTGTGATATATTATCCGTTACCGAATCCGTTTCCACCATGGTGGAATTGAGTAAATCATTCGAATTCCATAGCCAATCATGTTCACCATTTACACTATTACTACTCAATTTCAGCTGTTGCCTCCTCTGCTGCTGTTCCCGACTTTCATCCAATGTTATCACAGCCAATTCCTCTTGCGACATACTCCAATCTTCCATTTCCGTTGAGCATGGTTCAGCGGGCAGCAACCATTGTTCGGGTTCTTCGGGTAAGTCTTCTAAATGACCATTGGAGGGTTGTGGTTGGCCACTGCTCATTGTACAATAGCCCTCATCACGTCCCTTAGCGGGGCTGGCAGACAGCGCAGCATTTTGAGCTTCCAAATCACGTACCCGACTCTTGAGTAGTACAACTTCTTCGCGTAAATTATCCTCGGCCACAATGGCATCGACCACCTTACGCATAACATCGTCCAGACAATGTTCGTATTGTCGTATTCGTGTTAGTAAAGCTTTGTTTTCTTGTTGTAGAGCGTGCAGCAAGTTCTCCTGGCGTGCGAAGCGAGTCTGGGAATAGAAAAAAGGGAAGAATATTAGTTGAAGAAAAAATATATATATAGAAAATAAGGGCACTAATTCCGATCCGATTTATCCAAGTTATAAAAAAGCTTTAAGGTTGGACAACGGATAAACCTTTTCTAAAAAATAATATATTCATCTGTGTTATCTTACCTGCAGTGCTTTGTGATCCCGACATGTTTGTAATTGTCTTCGCTCTTTGGATTTCATAACACGACTCATGCTGTAAATAAAACCGCAAAGAAAATAGAAACAGAATTAGTGAAAATTATAGGAAATTAGCATAGAAATTGAATTGGAACTCAATAAACCACACAACAGAGGAGAAATTGTTCAAAAAGAGGTGCCGACATTTCGAATTGAAATTCTTGGCCAAAAAAAAAAAAAATCATTCGAAATGAATGAAAGGAACGTTCGCATTATTATCACGGTTCGCTGCCAGTCACCTACCATTAACAAACATTTTTTTGCTTGGCCTGGTTTCTCATTAGAGGAGCAATAATAAACAACAGCAACAAAAAGACCACAGTAGAATGCCATTTTCCACTGGGTATCACCGCCACCACCAACAACATCTCCAGAAGTGTGTGTGCGCTCGAAGAAGAAGAAGGTCCGCATCGTCGTGATTGATGGTGTTTTCCAGGCAATTAATGAATGTTCCAAAGAAAACACTATCCCGTTTCAAATCGCAGATTCACATATGTTTTGCATCGTGTACGGGTGTGTGTGTATGTTGCAGTTGCAATACACGGCTTGCAAATGCATCTAATGTACTTTTGGTTGGCCCATAATGTGCTTTGAAAGTTCAGCCTAAAAGCCCCTAAGCAATGCACAAACGTTACCGTGGTTATTTTCTTGTTTTTTTTTTTTGTTCGCTGGTGGAATTTCTAATGACGCACTGTGGTTTGGAAAGGTTTCGTAGTGGGGAATAATAGGGAAATGTGTAGCTGATTTGAAGTCCGTATATTAAAAGGGGGTACATCCATCTTGAGATGAAGGGCATCCGAAGAGGGGTGGATTTTTGAACTCATTTTTTCAAGGCTTATAGAGCCTGGATTTTGTAGAGCGTGGATTTTTGAACTCATTTTTTTTCAAGGCTTTTAGAGCCTGGATTTTGTAGAGCGTGGATTTTATAAATATTTTTTTGAAGACTCTATAAGAGGTATACTTTATGGGGTATACGGTGAATATTTCGAGGAATGGCAAATGGAATCAAAACTTGAATAGGGTGAATGTTATAAAAAATCCTGTTCGAAACCACTGTATCAACCAACGCCTTGCAAGTTGTAGCTGGTACTCTTCTATTTTTGGTGGTTTTACAATTTTGTTTCGTCGTGTTGTCCTAGGCACATAACTCTTAATTTATGTGTGTACACATCTCCATACATATGTATGTTTGTCGGTGTGAATGTGTGTGTCTGTTTAGTCATTTTAAATTGTTTTCTTTTGAAGATGAATTTTCTGCATTTGGGGAGATCCTCACAAATTTGCATTCGTTACTATTTTTTTGCCTTCCTTACATCGACTCTGGCCACAAACGACGCGTCAAGCTTTCGTTTAGAGCTAGATTGCCTGGTTGTTTGCTGTTGTTGGTGATGATGATAATGATGGTTGGTGGAGGCTTCTTTTTTTGGCAAAAAAAAGTAGGCAATTTTCTAAGTTCAGTGAAATGTAAAGGAAATTAGCTTAAGAGCTGTGTAACGGTAACGAAACAAATTTTAATAACTTGGGAATGTTTATGGCGGCAATATCCCACTCCTTCAAACCAAAAACCAAACCGTCAGCCATAAGTGGTTGCCTTGAATTCAAACACTTAACATTTGAGGTTGGAATTTAGTTTGAAAAAAGAATTCGTCGTGCAATAAAATCATTAAATTTCGAAGAGAGGGATAGGCGGAATTTTAATGTCTCTTGAAATAGGGTGTTGTTGTTGTCTGATTATTGTTTTTGTTCTTCTAATGGGCTTTGGAGGACATGCTTATTACTAATCAATAATAATAATAAACATTTTTTATAGCCATTTCGGCTGATATTTGTTTTTGATCAATTTACTTACTTTTCCAGCTGCTGGCGCAGTTCTTTTTCAAATGTTGGCGACCCGCATTGACTCTGCAAGTAAAGGAAGAAGAGAGGGGAAATTAATAAATAAATTGAAACATTTTTTATGTTCTTAGGAAAAAAAACAAATCATAAAATCAATTAACATTTGTTTTATTGCCTCAAATGTTGTCATGAAGAGGTTAGGGGTGAGAAGAGATTAGCACTAGAGAGTTGCCACATCTTTAGAAAATATAAGATTATTAAAATTTTGCTGTCTACATTAAATATAGGTTCCCTAAAATATATTTTTAAACATTTCACGCCTATTCAGGGCCTCTAAAACATATTTAAAAGAAAATCACATCTATAAAAGTCTCTAAATATATTTAAAAAAATATATTTTCAAAAAAATCCATCCTTTGAAGAGTCTCTAAACATATTTCTTAAAAATATACTTCTATAAAGAGTCATTAAAAATTATTTCTTATTCTACGCCTTTCTATGGCAATATTGTTCGGCCGGACCGAAATTGTATACCCTGCATATTGAGATAGACATTTAAAATACCAAACAGCGATCGAGACTTTTATTAGGGTACGAAATATTAAACTATAGGCTCTCCGAGTGGATATAGAGTTAGGACCTTGAACGTACCTTAAAATTACTAAAGATACCCCTATACGGATACTTGGGCAGATATTGATAATTTTTTTAAGGCACTATGAGAGACGCAGATTTTTTTAAATAATTTTTATCAAGGATATCAAAGATTTATAAGAGGCGAGGATTTTTTAAATATTTTTCCAATGCTTTATAGGAGGCGGGGACCGAACTTTTAATACCCTGCGTAATGAGTTATACTTTCAAAATACCTAATACGCAATACCTAGTACGCAGAAATACAAATTTCCATTAATACAATCTAATAGAAGTTTTTTTTCCCAATTTCAGAATCTCTGGCCTATCGGTTTCCTCTAAATCCAATTTGAATTGAATTTAGTGCCAATATCCAGGATTCCAGTTTTATCTGTTCACCCAAAATTCAAATTGTACCAAATTTAGTACCCGTAAGTACGAATTTGCAATACTACATCCATACCTCCATCCTATCACTCAAATCCAAATTGTACCAAATATATAGTACAATTTAGTACTTTTCGTACACATAAGTACAAATTTCCAAAACTATCTACATATCGCTATCCTCTACACTTATGCGTTAATGTTTATTTCAAATTTCAGGATTCGTGCTCCATCCGTTTCTCCCAATTGAAATTGTACCAAATTTAGTACAGTTTAGTACTTTTCATATATGTACATGGTTGCACGCTTTCAAAACCACCTCCTTATAGAAACCTTACTTCTCAACCTTAATTCGCATTGCAAATTTCCAGTTTTTAGCTCTATCCATTCAAATGCTACAAAATTGTACCAAATTTAGTACATTTTAGTACTTTTCGGTTACTTATCGGTTCGAATTACTAACAACCCTTTGGTACATCTATCCCACACTTCATCAATGACCAACCAGTCAGTCAATCACATTACTCTTTTATTAGTATAGATTATAGCTAATTTGATTGAAAAACGTACCCAAACTTTCCAAAATATCGAAATTTGGGAAATGCCGTTATATGGGGACAACTCTAAAGAGTGGACAAATATCGATAATTTTTGGTTTACCCAAAAAAATCCAAAATACTAAATTACAACCAGTTTGGTTGTTAAATATCGACAACAATATCCATATCGATCAATATATTCCGACCATTCCCCCCTCACCCATTGCCGATCTTTACATCCGATGTAATAAAAACAAACCTAAAGAGAGTAGAGGTGGGGGAAATTAATTTAATGTGTTCATGCACAATAAAAAAAAAACTGTCACTTTGACGTATTAATGCTCACATGAAATGACACAATTAATTCAAAATATGGCTGCGCTGCTGGTTGGAAATTCGAAATATTCACAAAAAAACAAAAATCGATCAATTGAATTGGGTATTTTTTTATTACGATTTTCCGTTTGCGTGAGTAGCTTGTAAAATATGGTGTAATAAATTTTTACAAAGTAGAAAAAGAAACTGCAAAAGTAGGGGGATGGAGAGTGGAATTCGCTTTTCTTTTCATATAAAATACAAAAACAATTAAGATAAATGTTTGTTGGCACGTAATATGACCGAGAGATCACAATGACTTTATTATTATTTGTTTTGTGCCGGGGCCAAGGGTTTTTGAAATCGAAAACCTTGAAAACAAAAAAATATTCCTGCAGGCTGTGGCATTGCATATCCCGCCAGAAGACAAAGAGAAGTGGTGGTGGTGGTGGTGGCGGTAATTGTGCCCAATGAAGTATTAATTAATCAATTTTATAGCCCTAGTTTGACAATATGTTTGTATGTAATGTCATAGCATAATGGTGGTGGTGGTTGGAGGGAGGTAATGGTCGTATTGTTATTGTCACACATGATCACATATGTGTTGTACGTTCTACTTCCGCTGCATCCCAAATGAGAACGTTTTTGTGAGAAAAATGTTTCGAATATTATTGTTATTGGCAATCAATGGCTTGCAATTTTGAACTTTGCAAGGCATTTATTAAATTTTTTATGGGAAGTGATAATGGCATAAAGTATTTCATTGCCATTGAATTTTCGAAAATAAAGCATTTTTAAGGTAGACATTTTATAGCGACTTTAATCTCACTTTTACCCTAGAATCTCTGAATTTAAAGTTCGTTAATTTCGGCCTGTACAAATTTTATGAGGTGGACATTCAAATTATTTTAAATTGGTCGAGACTTTTACAGGTAATTTTTTAAGGCAAATTTGAAACCCAATCAGGACCCAAAAATGGCAGCCAATTCGATTGGAAAACATGCTCAAAATCCTCGAAATGCCAATTAATGGGATTAATGAGGGCCTATCCCGAAACGTAATTCTATATTGATAGTTTTTGGTCGGGAGAATGTCTACCAAATGATAATCCAAAATACTAAATTACAACCAATTGGATAAAAACAAGCCCAGACCTCACAAAATATTTGCACTTGGGACGTACCCCTATGGAAAGTTGACAAATATTGATTATTAAATTTTAAATAACAATCATGTTGAATTAAAAAAGTGTCCAAAATCCACAAAGTTTCGAATATTGAGTGGTACCACCTTATAAGCACTTGCTCGAAACGTAGGCTAATATCTATAATTTTTAGTAGACCGATTTTTACCCCAAAATACCAATTTACAATTCAAAATTATTGACAATTTTTTTTCAAAAGTTGGTAGTTATCCTTATATGGGGTCTACTCTGAAAAGGAGACCAATATTATTCATTTTTAGTATGACGATTTACTATTCAATGAGAAAACAAATTATGAAATTATTTGCCAATTGAGTAAAACGTACTCGAACTTCCCCAAATTATTGAAATATGTGACAAATCATTACATTTTCTCGAATATTTGTTACTCAATGTGAACCCACAAACTATCAAATTACAGTTAATTGGTTTGAAAAGCGTACCCAAATTCCAAAAAAAAAAAAAAAAAAAAATAAAAAAAAAACAAAATTGGGAGGTACTTTATATAGGGGCTACCATTAGAAGTCGATCAAGATTGATCCACTTTTTATCAGGAAGATTTGCTACTTAATGAGTACCCTAAATACCAAATTCCAGCCAATTTTATTGAAACATGTGCCGAAATTCTCCAAAATGCCACAATTCTGGAGGTAAAATTATCTAAGGCTCATTATTAGGGCAAAAATATATATAAAAGTCCTCGTACCATGAAAAAATATTCTGACTGATGACTAAAGACTAGATGTCCTATCGGTCCTATAAAAGGGCATACAATTTTGGAAATATAATCTTCATCTTAACCCTTTGATATTGCATTTATTTTAATAATAACACTCTTTTATTTTCTTTTTTGCAGGCCCTGCAGTTTTCTAGTGGTCTCACCAGCTTCATAATATTCGCTTTATTATAATAAACGTTAAAAAAAACATTAAATAAAAAATAATATAAAAAATCGCATTTTTATTTGTTTTGCATTTTAACTGAGGTAACGATTTCTTTGTGCCTCATATTTTGAAGCGCCTAAAAATATGCTTTAAAAAGTGTTTTGATAACCTAGTCTTTCAATGTAGGTTGGCAACACTGGCGAAGACATGGGGATAGCGCCATCTATTGAATCGCATGGGTGCTCTCCGCATAGCAAAAATTGAAAAGTCCCAAAACTCGGATGTCTTTAAATAAGAAAAATCGAAATATCAGCCAATTTATGACCGATTTCTTTCGGATTTGAATAGCATCGTAAAAAGAACATCTGAAACTTTAATTTCATGCAATTTGTATATATTTTCATTTTGAATTTATCGAAAAAAATGAGATTTATTGTAGCCTTCAAACGAACTCAAATATATGTTTATTTATAGTCTTTATGTATATTTAAAAGGGTTTAAATTCAATTTGACAGGGTCTTAATGATTCTAATACCAACATTTGATACAAATTTGGTTTTTTTCAACATATATTAAGTCAGTAATACGACTTAAATAGTTTCGTAATAGATTCTTCATTTAAAGCAAAATTCTTCTAAATTAAGTATTTTTTTGAACAGAAAATAGTTGCTACGTCCAAATCTGGACCTATTATAGTTCACGAATTTCAAAAAAAATGCTTAATTTAGAAGAATTTAGCTTTATATGAAGAATTTATTACGAAACTATATAAGACGTATTACTGACTTAATGTATGTTAAAAAAGCATTTTTTTATCAAATATTGGTATTAGAATCATTAAGACCCTGTCAAATTGAATTTAAACCCTTTTATATATACATAAAGACTATAAATAAACATATATTTGAGTTCGTTTGAAGGTTACAATAAATCTCATTTTTCTAGATAAATTCGAAATGAAAATCTATACAAATTGCATGAAATTAAAGTTTCAGATGTTCTTTATACGATGCAATTCAAATCCGAAAGAAATCGGTCATAAATTGGCTGAAATTTCGATTTTTCTTATTTAAAGACATGTGAGTTTCGGGACATTTCAATTTT